ATGCTAGCCTCCAAAAACAACTTTTTTGGAAATTTTAAATGTCGTATTTTAATGAAATAGAGCCGGTTTTTGAACAATAAAATAAAAAAAATAAAGTTTACATTGCTGTGAAATATTACAACGTGATTTTTACAACTAAATTTATATGTACTCAAGAAATCCGGCTCTATTAGTATGTGTACGCTTGATTTTAATATCATAAACAGTTGCTAAAAATGGAGAGTTAAACATGCATATAAAGTTATGGGCAATTTAGTTTTACTAGTAATTTATTATATTTTAATAAAAATCTATAGTAATGATCACTATAGTAATGCATTATATTTGTAAATTAACCGATAACCTGATTTTAAATAGAAAATTTTAAATCCAAAACTCTTTTTTTAAATTTTTTAAATGATTTAAATCCAAGATTCTAAAATATTAATAAATTATAAAATGATCGACAGATGATCGACAAGAAAAATCCTTAATAAGGATGTTTACTATAATAATTGCACTATATTTGTGATTAGACTAATATCGCACACCCTAATGGGATGTCTTCCTATCCAATTATTAATATCCAATTATTAATAAATAGTTTAAAAAAATCTGTAATAATTGGTTCATGAGAAATAATATTAAACTTAAATAGTTTAGTTGGTGATAATCTAGTTAACATTCGAATAGTATATCCGAACCAAAAATTTAAGATAAGAAAGTAGAATCCATTTAAATATTGACTATTAATTAATAGTTGTTCTAATTCTAAAATATTTTAAATTATAAAAACACTAATTTAAGAAATATAAGATTTGGACAATTTTGATAAATAGCTTTAATAATATTTTCATTATCAGTATTACTATGATGAATATTATTTTAGTAAGACTTCCATTTGCGTTAACAATTAAATTTCTTAAAGTATTGATTTGAAAAATATCAGTTTTAAAATTTGTAATGAAGGTAGAGATATACTGTTTTCTAGGCCATTAAATTTTAATTTTATCTTTTTAAATTTACCAAAGATGAAAGAATTCCTGTGGCAGGTGGTATAGTATTGTATAGTATGTGCATGTTTCATTGATGAATTTTCAAGGATTAGGCGAAAAATAGATTTTGGACTCATCTTTTTTATTTATTTTTTAAATAATTTAATGAATTTATTTAATTATAGAGTAGTGTATTTATGTATTTATTTAATTAACAAAAAAAATTGTAAATAGTATATTTATATAATTTTAAAAAATAGTGTATTTATGAACGATTATACAGTATATTTATATTATTCGTGTGTAAATTGGTAAATTAAGAAGTTATGATATTTAATATATTCTTTTTAATATCTTATAACCAAACTTTACTGCGAGTTTATTACGTAATGATCTATTAAATACATTTATAATTACCGGACTGATGGGATATTTTTATTAGAGATTTCTTACTATGAAATACGTTGAAATACGCGTTAATTAAAATTGTGATATTTGTGATATGAAATTATTTCTTTTGATAGATTTCCAAACTATCGCGGATATTCTGTTTGTAAAGGCAACTTTTGTGAAATTTCATGGTGATCACGATTTTGAAATATCATGACTCATTTTCTTTATTCATATCTGAGCTTATAACATTTATGACTCATTTTCTTCATTAATAGACTATACTGATTGTTTTGGAAAATCCGAAAGTACAGTACATTAGTCATCTGTTATCGCAAATATGAGTCATTACGTATTTCTCATAAAAGTTTGTATATATATATAACTATTTCTTTCTTCACTTCGTCTTTTTTTAGGTTTTTTTTTCGGTCTTACTTTTTTCTTTCTTTCAAGTTTTGTCTTCTCTTTTTTAGGTTCTACTTTTTTTCGAATTTCGAATTTCTCTCCTAGGTTTTTTTCGGGTTTCTTTTTTTTTAGGGCTCTGCTTTTTTTAGATCTTTTTTTTCGGGTTTCATTTTTTTTCTGGTTTTGTTTTTTTTAGGGCTCTACTTTTTTAGATCTTTTTTTTCGGGTTTCGTTTTTTTTTCTTTCAAGCTTTTTAGAACCCATATTTTTTTAGTAACGGTAAAGTTTATGCGCGAGAGAAGCATCCCAACCAACTTATTTGTTAACTTTAGTCTTCTCTCTTTTTAGGTCTTCACTTTTTTCGAACTTCTCTTTTTTTCTAGGACTCTTCCTTTCGGTCTTCTTTTTTTTAGGACTGATTTTTTCTTAGGTTTTTTTTAGGTTTTTTTTTTTCAGTCTCGAACTTCTCTTTTTTTTAGGACTTTTTTCGGTCTTCTCTTTTTTTTTAGGATTCCGTTTTTTTTCTAGATCTTCTTTTTTAGGTCTCTCTTTTCGGTCTTTCAAGTTTTTCAGGACTTATATTTTTCTTAAGAGTGGTATAGGTACGGGCAAGGCATCCTTTATGGTAGGACTAATTTATTTTGTTAAGTCTTTTCTCTTTTTTGGATCTTCTCTCTTTTTGATTTTCTCATTATTTCTAGGTCTTCTCTTTCTTTCAGTATTCTCTTTTTAGGTTTCTCTTTTTTTTCAGTCTTTCTTAGAAACAGTATAAGTTCTATGCATGGGTGAGTAGGCCAAAGGTAAGTCTATTGGGTACTTATGTTGGAGCAGCATGATGCTATGCATGGGCGGGAGCATAGTGTGCTTACTTTGTAAGCCTGTGAGTACCAGCTTTGCTGCAGTCTCACAGTAGGGCTGGCTGGGATTTTTTGGAGCGGTATAGTACTATGCGAAGGGTTGGAGCATAGGCGCTTACTTTTAGTAAGCTCGCAGGTACCAGTTTACTGCAGTCCTGCGATAGGACCGGTTGGTTGTGGTACGGCATGGTGCTATGCGTAGTTTTCATGGGAGGAGCATAGTGCACTTCTTAGGAAGTCCCTTGTGGCAGGGCCATAATACTTAATCATTAATTGTCTAATGAGAAAGTATAAGATTTTCAAATGCAATAAAATTAATTAAAAAAATTGCAAAATTAATTACAATGTTTTTCCCCTTTTCTCTTTTTAGCAAATTCTTTTCACACTCTTTTTTAATTAGGTTACTTTACTTTATTAATTTGAATAAAATAAAATATATATTATATTAAACAAAATTTATTATATGTTTGATTTATTGTTATTAAATTTGCATTTTAATCATTTACATATTGAATATTTTGCATCAATAAATTTTACTTAAATTACCTTTAATGAAATAAATTTGCTAAATAAGTAATTTTTTATTTATATAAAAAAATATATATATAATATAGGCTAATAGTAAAATAAAAAAAAAAGGTAGTATACAAAAATACTAATTACTGACTACATACACTTGACACTTCCATATAAACCACTTTTTCCTTGACTATATTTATATTTTCTTCCTTTAAAATGCTTATGCCTTGTCCAAGCTGTTGAGAAACACTTTAATCCTATTATTAACTTGCTCAAACAAGTTCCTTTGTGCTAACCTTATCTTTTAATTCAGAGAGAATTAAGTTTGTTATAAGGGCAAAAAGATTGCAAATGAAATTTGTTAAAAATAGCAGAGTATGGATTTAAATATTAATGTTAATAATATCATAATTTTCTATTTCTATTGTTCTGTATAGATTTGCTGCTTTTGTATTGTTACTCAATCCTCTAATATTTAATATATTAAAGTTGAGACTATTTATTATTGTCCTTTTCTGATTGTTTTTGTCATTATTATTGTCATTGTTTTTTTATTATTATTTTTTTTTGATTTTATGGTATTTTTGCTGTTTGATGTTGACTGGTATTGTTTATTTTCATATTCTATGATTAAGTCTTCTGATTAATCATATCAGTCTCTATTTCCATTAGGCTCTCTATATTCTCTGTTTCCTTTATTGTAGTTGTATCTACTGTTGTAACCATATCTAAAATGTGGTTAACTTTAGACCTTTAGACTATACACACCCATCTGCAAGCGAATAAAAAGCATGACTATCTTTGTTCCAATGTTGTTACTTTAAAAATTATAATTATCATATTTATATATAGTAATTCCTTTTAAATATCCTTCTTTAGCTGATTTTTTACATAATTCAAAAGCCTTTTGTACAATTACAAAACATAAAACGTATAAATGTTTGCACCTATAGTTGTTACCTCTTTTATCATTGTTGTATTTATTTTGATATTCTCACTTATGAAAGAGCTGTTGATAAAAGTTATAATTATCTCTTTTTTGATAATGGTTTATAATTGGAGTTATATTGTACACAATCTTTTAAGTTTTAAGTAATGATTTTTTTGATTTGCATAGTATGCTATCTTTGTCTGTGTTGTCTATTTGCATACCTATATAGAAATTTTATTCTTCTTTTCCAAAACTTTTGATATAAGATCATCAGAAAGAGTTTTTTTTCCTTTGGACTTAGTTTACCATTTCCTAGTAACTAGCATTGCCAGCTTCTTTTAATTTATTAAAACTATTTTAAAAAGTATAAAGGGGAATACTTATGTGAACTATAAATTCAGTTTTATAAATTTGTAAATTTAAATTTTTCTATCAAGAAATTCAAGCTGCTATATTACTTACCCTTAGCAAACCTATTAAATGAACTAAATTTTAGGATGGGAACCTAAAGAAATTCTTCAAGCATGATATAGTTTATGGCTTTTCAAATCATCTTTACCAAATGATAAGGAAGACTTTTGGATTACACTCAATGAATTCAGTAATCATTTTTATCAAGAACTCAGGAAAAAACATGGTATTTAAAAGAAAATAATTTGTAAAACAGGTAGACTTTATTTATATGTAAAATGCTTTGACTACTATTATTATTACAGAGGGCTGTGTTATAATTAAAAAAAAGGCTTGGCAAAGTTCACATTAAAAGCCACACCAGCATCAGAGATGGCAAATGTTTTCACATTTTCTTCTCATACTTGTTTAAAATTAATTTGTTAAAGCTTTTTTTTTTTGAATTTTGCAATAATTTTTGTAATAAACGCACAGCCCATACTAATAATAAGCCCATATTTGCTTTTTTTAAACCAACTGATTTATAAAAGAATTTATATTGCTTTATAAAATATTACTATGAATTATTAAATAAAATAAATTTTATCTAAAACCAAAATACTTGTACCAAAATTATAAAGTAAATGTAATTTAATAAGTGTTATGTCACATTTCTTATAAGTGAATGGATAAGGATTGTTGAAAATTTTATCATGACTCCCCGTGAAATAACTATTACAAATATAATAAAGTTCAAAGTACAAAATTTACATGATAAATTGGTATTATTGTAGTATTATTTTATTATAAAGACTAAAACATAATCTTTTTATCTTCAGTTATCACGCACTCTTTCAAACAAATAAAAGCAGATTAAAATTGATTATTACGTAATATTTATAATGTCAACATAACACATAAAAATCATGGAAGCCACCGTACTACTACATAAGCCATTTGGGCTATGGCACACAGCCATCTCTGAATAGATTATAACATTAACCATTTTAACATTAATTTTATTGGCTATCAATATTCAATATTGTATAGGAGCATAATGAATAATGTTATTATTTTTTTAGTGGCACCAGTATTTCTTTTGAATTTCATTTTATTTTTGATGTGGTGCAAACATTCTATGTAATATACATAGAATTAAAATGCAATGTTAGTTTTAAAATACATATATTGTGCTTCAGGTGAGGTTGAGTATAATTTTCTAATGACCTAAATTCTTAGGAAGTCCTAATAAATGATTTTTTTTGCATAGAAAATGATGTTTAATTAAAAAAACAATAAATTTTTGCTTGAAAAATGGCACTATAATATAATATCGAAATATTATGCAAAATAAAACTTTATAATCAAAATTGAATTTTTGATTTCGCCTTTTCATTCGAAACTTCAAATTTGGCTAATAAAACCATTGCCAATAAAAAAAAATTATCCTAAGTAATAACTGAAATAAATATTATTAAAAAAAAAGAAAGAAAGAAAGAAAATTAATCCATTATTAAATAATTAATTTTTTTTATTACCATTGAAATTTATTGATAACATAGAAAATCATCGTCATTCCATTTTTTGAATTCTATGATTATTTGATAAAATAGGTTTTTTACCAAAAACAACTTTAAAATAAATTTTGCAGAAAATAATTCTAGTCTATAAAAAGATTAACCTTAACGTCATTTGTACCTTTGTAGTTTTTAATCATATATGTACATATAGAAGATCCAAGTTGCTGGTAATGCCGATCATTATTTTGTTTACAATGCAGCACATGACAGGATCGACAGGTAGAACAATATTAAAATTTTGGTGGCTGCACAACTTATTTGTTTAGCAGTCTATGGAATTTTTTTTTTGTTAAATAATTTTTTCTTTTACAAAAATGTCTAATATTCGAAGAGAATTAATACGAGCAGCAATTAGTAGAGCATTTGCATCAATTGATTATAATGCTTACAATAACTTTCATGAAGAATATGAATTTCGTAAACAATTCGTTCTTGCTGATAATTCACTTACAGAAGAAGAAAGAACTGAAGCAATAAGAATAACTAATAAATCTTATGACCGAGATAAAATTATTTTTAATTCAGGAACAAGGAGAATTTGTGAGAATTGTAACCAAAAATGTTTAGCTACATTATATTGTGAATATTGTGTTCGAAATTATTTAAAATCTTATTTTTCAAATTGGACTTCTAGAAATAATGTTATTGATAATTTAATAAAAAATTGTCAAATGGAAACACTTATACCAAATGTAATTATTGAATGGATCCCATATAATAATCTAGAAAATATTAAATATCTAACAAAAGGTGGATTCTCAGAGATTTATACAGCAAATTGGATTGATGGATATTATGAAGAATGGGATTCTAAGAGCAACAATTAATAAGATTTGGAACTCTTTCCGTAATACTTAAAGAATTAAAAAATGTTGAAAATGCAAGTCAAAGTTGGTTTGAAGAGGTTTGTAAATTAAAAATATTTAAAGAACTTAAATTTAAAATCTAATTGTTAATAATAATATTTATTATTTTTAAAGGCTAAATCACATTTAACTTTAGGCAACAAAAATTCAGAGATTGTTCAATGTTTTGGTTTAACACAAAATCCATCAAATAGAAATTATTTACTTGTAATGAAAAAGCTTGATGTGAATTTAAGAGAATATTTACAACAAAATCATAATCAACTTACATGGAAAGAAAGAATTAGAATTACTTTTGAAATAGTAGATGCACTTGATTGGATTCATAAAGAGAATTTAATCCATAGAGATTTGCATTCTGGAAATATATTATATTCACAGTCTAATGATGCTTGGTATATTAGTGATCTTGGATTTTGTTGCCCTGTAGACAACAATCAACAAGTATATATGGAAATCTTCCTTACATAGCTCCTGAAGTTATTTATGGAAAAGAGTATACTTATAAATCTGATATATACAGTATAGTATTGCAATGCTTATGTGGGAAATTTCATTTGGGCAACCTCCATTTATGAATTATGAACATGATAGTATTCTTGCAATTAATATCATTGATGGTATAAGACCAAAAATTTTATCATAAATTTCTTCCTAATATAAAAGTCTAATGGAACAATGTTGGGATGCTAATCCACTAAAAAGACGTGATACTGTTGCACTCTTTAATAAAATGAGTGAAATTAAATCATATTATCAAAATAAACCTGATGAACTACCTCAAAAAATAATACAATTAGATAAAAAAACAATCAATATAATGAGTAGTAAAATATTTACAAGTAACATTCATAATTTTGAAAATCTACCTGAACCTAAAAATGCAACAGAAGGTATGCTTTTTAATGTTTATTAACTATTTAATTTTTTTCTTTACTACTATAATTAATTATACCTGTTTTTAATTAAATAATAATAGAAGAACAAAAAGGTGATATAAAGTTAATGATAATGGTTTAGTATAAATTCTTTAATTAATGAAAATCTTTTTTTTTTAAATAGCATTTTATACCACTAGATCATATGATTTCAGTATTTCTGATAATAGTAAGTATTTATTAAAATAATATTGAATTTTATATAAATAAAATATCATATAATTGATTTTCATTATAGCTAGTAATCATAATCAGTATATATCAATTAATTTTAAAGGTAATTTATTCTTATATTCGAGTTTTATAATGAATAAATACTAATTTATATCTTGATTATAGATAATGATAGCAAAGAGTCATCCAGATTATTTAAAAAATTAAAAATGGAGAATGGTAAAGCCTTAAATATTTAACTCTAATTTTTTGTTAAATATAAGAATGAATATTTTATTAAAATTGATTTATTAAATAATAGTAGAAGTTCAAAATGACTATGAGAGAGAAATAATGCAGCAACGATCAAATATTAGTGATAATGGTAAATAAAATAAATTATTTATAATAATTATCAGTTATTATTATTCTAATTTATCTTATTATTTTTATAGATGAAGTACAAAATAATCCAAATCTTCATTCAGAATAAAAAGATAAACAATAAACTCCCGATGGTTTGTTTATAATTTAATATTTTTAACAATATTAAAATAATACATTACTAATATATTTATTCTCTTTAAGATGGATTTTAAATTAATTTACTTGAAAACAAATTCATTTTTACTATCTATTATTTTATTTTAGAATTATTTAAACACTAAGATTAGAGTAGTAAAAAGATTCTTAGTTTGTAATTTAAATAATTCAATTCTCCATTTTTTTATAAGACTTTTCAATTATTAAATAAAGATACCAATTATATGTGTAAGCAAAGTAATTTTGTAACAATGTATTAGTATTCTTCAATAAAAATTATTTATAAATCATTCATTGGATTATTATTTTAGATTACGTCCAGTTCTCATCCTGTAATCAATATCCATCTTGTAACCTGTTTCAATCAAATATATCCATTTTTGAGAATATTATTTGAATTTGGAAGTTGATGTAATGATAAGTTAGTCAATTTTCATCAGTTGATAACTGATGCATGTTACCTATGTCACCTGTAGTCTTCTATAGTAAACACATTTTTTTTATTAATAAATCACTTTTTATTCTATAATCCTATAAGTAAATTAATATATCACAATGAATTATACACATTATAAAAGTTTTATACTTATTTAATTTATATACTTAAAAAATCTTGTGAAGTGTTTTCTATAAATTCAAGTCTAATCAATCTAATAATTTAGGATTGTATATTTTTTAATGTAATAAATAAATTTATTTAATAATAAAAAATTATTAAGACTGGAAAATTTAATATTTTGACATTATTTTTTTTTTTTTTTTTTTTTTTTTTTCCTTTGTTTCTTTTNGTTCACAACTCGCGTAAACGCATTTATTTATTAAGTAGTTTGTAATATATAAAAAAACAAAATACAAATGAAACAGAAATACATTGAAACGTAGGCGTCAAGCACCATCTATTTCTCCATTCCGGACACTTTGACTTACCGCTCGGTCCCCACACTCCCACTTTTAACAACATACAACTTATAGTGAAACTACTAATTAATGTGCCAACGTCTACCTCCTCTACTTCTGCCATGACTACCAGGTTTACCTCCATGCTTTTATTAGAGTTGACTATTCATTTTCCATCGCTACCCTCTTTATCTTCTATTATACTCCTATCACCTTACTTACCTATAACCCGCTTTTTACCTTCTTTTATATCTTCTTTGTCAGAAGACTATTTCCCCGCAGGTGGTAGTCTTTTCGAACAAGAAACGTTTACCGTATCATATTCATGCAACTCAATTGAGCATTGATGGAAACTTATATGAATTCTTCGGAGTCCTATCGATCCATAATCAATATATATTTTTTCTTATCATGTAATAAAATATTAAAGAAACTGAAATTATTAACCTGACTTCAATATTCGTCCTACTCCAATTCAGGAATTTCATAATGCAGATTTATCTCATATTTTCAGAGATAAGGACAAAATGAATTGATATACGCCCTACAAATTTTTCAAAATTTTTTAGTCACTATCACCTAATACCATATGAGGTTTACCACCCTGTTAATTATGCATAAGCAGGGAACCCCAGGACACCTATGTGGCCATCATAGGATCTATGGCAATCTCATATAGTATTCAATAACAACAACTAAGTAAGTGTCATGACATAGAAATATGTGTCACTTCCACGGGCACCACGGCCTGCCCTCCCATATGGATCGGCTTGGGGATCACCTATGTGGCATCATTGTAGCTACGACTTGTGCACAAAGCAGATAACTACATAGCCAGTAGCAAATGGTACGTACTACGAGCACATAAACCTCTATGTCAATCATAACAATCCACCATCCGGAAAACTTTCTGCGATCCCTTATCCGGTGAACACGTACTCGTACGTCCATCCGGCAACTGTTATTTATACTCACCATTTAATGATATGACCCAGCCTCGTTTAGTGTTAGCTTGTCCTCTATCGCAAATGGATACCAAATTTAGCATTATCTTAAATGTACTGTTTCAGTTGATCTGCCCAAAAAAATTGAAAGAATCAAATATGTGATAGACAGCAGAAAACATGTAAAAAAGAACCACAAAAGCGTCTAAACGAGTAGTTTTTCACTTATAAAACAAGTTTCCAATAGCTAGTGAAACTCATTACCCATATGTTGTCCAAAGACAGTTCCACCAGTAAATACAGTTCTTGATGATGGTATATATATATATATATTTTTTTTTTATTCCGCATTAATATTTATTTTCGCGTGAAAAAAAGTATTTATTTGCGCGTGAAAAAAAAATGTATTTATTTACGCGTGAAAGTATTTATTTACGTGTGAAAGAAAAGGTATTTATTTGCGCGTAAAAAAAAGGTATTTATTAGATATTTATTTGAAAAGAAAGTATTTATAAAAAAGTATTTGGTTGTATCTGAAGGAGTGAAAGAGATGGGTGTATTGAAAAAAAAAGAAAAAGACTATATAAATATTATTTTTCTTGTTGTACAAGCTTTTCATATAAGTATAAATGATATCAACACACAACAATATCAAATATGATTATATTGTAGCTTTTAATCACCTAATCATGACGTATTTACCTTCTTTTAGCATGCTTTATTTAGTTAAAATTCAACATGAAGTTGATTTTCATGATAACATTATTCGTTTTGCTATGGAATAACAAAAACTTGAGTCAGGTATTATTAAAGTTACCATAATAAATATAATATTCTTTTAGTCGCATCATTTAGAAAAGCATAATAATTATTTATTATTTATTATGAATTTATTTGAATAATAACATGATTCCAATTGAAAGATTTCATTTCTAATTTATATTTTAGTATTTTAATCGGTTAAAAAGTTATTCTTCTTTTAAAGAATTAATTATTCATAATCATTAGAGTTTCATATCTAATTTGAATAAAGTTTCCATAAAACGACAATATTAACTAATTGATATCATAATAATAAAATCTTTAAACTAGGAAGATATAGTATATCAAATTTTAACGAAAGTAGAATTTTAAAAGTCATATTATTCTTAATTTAAGATTATTCGGTAGAATGATCAAATAATTTACGAATATTGAATGGTATTGTATTTACCATTTATCCCACGGTTCCTAGTTAAAATTTGTCTTGATATTTTCACGGATGGTGTTAATTTAAAAAGATGGGTAAAAAGTACATCAATATTGGAATATAAAGTCTATCATTATTAGTCAAAATAAGTATATTAAAAAGCTGATACTGTGGGGATAAATCAGTTATTTCACGAAGATTTCACGAAGTCACTGGAATATCATGATTTTCACGGCGCAGCCATGAAATCACTACAGTCGGACCTCCATAATTGCACACCCCTTGGGACCATATGCATAATTTTCAAAATAGTGCATTTAAAGAGGGTGTGCATTTATAGAGGTAAAATAATTAGAGATCATATAAGCTTGGGACCGAACCAGAGGGTGCATTTAGAGAGGGTATACATAGTGGGTGCAATTATGGAGAGTGCAATTATAGAGGTCTGACTGTATTACATATCGGTTAACGTAACGAAGTTTCTGTATTTATTAATAAACTTTTTTTTTAATATTACATTCTATTACTAGAAATTAATTTCAAACAATACTACTTTATTATTGTCTGGCTACAATCATTTCACCAACAATTATCTCTGACAGACGATTAACTGACAGCCATTTCACTGACAGGATCATTTACCAACAGTCATTTTCACCAACAATTTTAAAATCCTAATCCATTTACCTCATCCTAACTCTATCCTAACCCTAATACTAGCCCTAATTCCTTACCTACTAACCCTAATCCCTAATTTTTTTACTTAACTCTAACTCTAATCCTATATTATAATGCGCCATACTGTTCAAAAAATCCCGGGTGGCCACCATGGATGCATCCAGGGTAGCTACCCGGGATGTATCCAGGATTTACCCTGGATTATTAAACGCCGTACTGTTCAAAAATCCAGGGTGATCCCCCGGGATTATTGAACATTTACCCTGGATGCAAACATTACCATTGAATTTCTACACCAGTCGTTACATATTACAGGTCACGTGATATATCACATTTGCAAAAAAAAATTTCGCAATATTTTTTATATTATTAATAAAAAACATAGCGAAACATTTTTTAATAACGCCAATAGATTGTTATAGATATAATAAAATCTTACAGAAATTTTCTTTAAAATTTTTTTTTCTAATAATAGGTATACGTAAGACACATATTGTATAAATAAAATTTTCTAATAGTATCAATAGATATAACAGAAATTTTTTCTAAATTTTTATTAGAAATTTTCTGATTTATTTTTTTAATAATGCCAATAGATTGCTATAGATCTTTTTTCAATTTTTTTTTAAATTTTTTTTTCTAATAATGGGTATAATACGTAAGATGAATATTGTATAATAAAATTTTCTATTTTTTTTTTTAATAATGCCAATAGATCGCTATAGACATAACAGAATCATTCAGAATTTTTTTCTAAATTTTTCTAATAATAATAACAATAAATTATATAATACATAAGAGAGGTATTGTATAAATAAAAATTCTAAAAATTCTTATTTATTTTTTAATAATGCCAATAGATCACTATAGATCTTTTTAAATTTTTTTTTAAATTTTTTTTTCTAATAATAAGTATAATACGTATTGTATAAATAACAATTCCAAAAATTCTGATTTATTTTTTAATAATGCCAATAGATCGCTATAGATCTTTTGGAATGTTTTTTTAAATTTTTTTTTCTAATAATAAGTATAATACGTAAGACGATATTGTATAAATAAAATTTCTGATTATTTTTTTAAATAATCATAATGATCATGCTAATAGTCAAAAGATCGTTATAGATATAACAGAATCTTTCAGAAATTTTTCTAAATTCTTTTCTAATAATAACAACCAACAGATATTGCATAAATAAAATTTCTGATTGATTTTTTAATAAGGGCAGTGACATTTATTACGTAATATCCATTTACTATAAGCCCATACTCCCCACCCCCATGTAATATGAAAAATCTTACGTTACACTTATATGTTATATGACCTTTAAATACCCTCCCACCCCCTAAAATATTACGTAATAAATNATATGAAAAATCTTACGTTACACTTATATGTTATATGACCTTTAAATACCCTCCCACCCCCTAAAATATTACGTAATAAATGTCACTGCCCTAATACCAATAGAATTTTTTTAAAAAATTTTTTTTTTCCTAATAGGTTAAATTTTTCCAATTTTTTTTAATAATGCTAATAAATCTAACAAAATCTTCGGAATTTTTTTTTTAAATTTTTTTCTAATAATAACAATAGATTGGTATAATACATATGACAGATATTGTATAAACCAATTTTTTTTAATAATGCCAATAGATTGTTATAAATATAATAAAATCTATCAGATTTTTTCTAAATTTTTTTCCTAATAATTCCAATAGATCGTTATAGATATAAGAATCTTTCAGAAATTTTTTTTTTTTTAATAATGGATATAATATATAAGATGCTATAGATCGTTATAGATATAACAAAATTTTTCAGAAATTTTTTCAAATTTATTTTTCTAATAATAACAATAGATCGTATAATACATAAGGCAGATATTGTATAAACAAACAAAATTTTCAGATTTTTTTTTTAATAATGCCAATAGATCGCTATAGAAATTTCAGAAATTTTTTTTGACTTTTTTTTTCTTATAATAATAAAATAATGCACATTGGTATTATCATAGGAACGAAGCCCTCAATAATGAATGCATACTTCTAGTTAAATGTTGCCAACTATTTTTTAAGTGATTTAATATAACATTTCGCAACATTTATTTTATATTATTACTGATAAAAAATATTATTAATATTACACAAAATTTGTTTAATATGAAAATGATCTACGTGATTTATATTAAAACACTTAAAAAAAACGTTTCGCCAGAATACTTCATTTCGTAATTAAAGTTATATTTTTTTAAATTAGATATTTAAATTTTTTTTTTTATGATTATTTGAATTAAGTATTATGCATTTATAATTTTTTAAAAAATTATAATATTAAATTCATTAAAAAACGTTTATTTTTTATCTTTAGGCTACTGATTAAACTAATTAACCATATTAAAATTCAAAATAATTATACAAATATTTTTCTTTTATAAAATACTTTAATATTACTTATATTGAAAATATAGATCTTTTTTTTTTGACCAGCATTAAGGCTAATTTCTAGTATTTTACCAGCATTAAACAAATTAAGCAAATCATTTATTTAATAAATATGTGATATTTTTCTATGACTGTTATAACTAAAATTATATTAAAATAAAAGATACATATAAAATATATAAAATAAGGTAAAAAAATAAATTAAAATAAAAAATTTTTTTTCAGTTTACAAATTTATTATGAAATAATTGACAATGTTAATTAAACTGATTAAAACTTATTAGACTAAAATTTTTAATATTTATAAGTTATAAAAATATTTTAGAAACTTTATAAATAATAAAACATATACCAAGAAAAAAGTGTTACATTATATAAACACGATGTTATTCTTAATTAAAATTTTTGAAATTAACAAAATTTAGGCCGGCATTATAAAATTGCCCAGCATTAAGAAATTTTTGGCCAGAATTACGATTTAATAATTGGCAATTTAAAAAGTTAATATGCAATAGTTCGTTATAGATATAACAAAATCTTTCAGAAATTTTTCCTAATTTTTTTTCTAATAATAACAATAGATCGTATAATAATAAATAAGGCAGATAATTGTATGTCTTACGTATTATACCTATTATTAGGAAAAAAAATTTTAAAAAAAAATTTCTGGAAGATTTTATTATATCTATAATGATCTATTGGCGTTATTAAAAAATGTTTTGCTATGTTTTTTATCAAAAAAATGTTGCGAAACATTTTTTTTATATTAAAACACTTAAAAAAATATTTCGCAACATTTTTTTATCGATAATAATATAAAAACGTTGCAAAACATTATTTTATATTAAATCACTTAAAAAAAAAACGTTTTGCAACGTTTTTTATCAAAATTAATTAAAAAAATGTTACAAAACGTTTTTTATATTAAAATACTTAAACACTTAAAAAAAGCAACATTTTTCATATTATTATTGATAAAAAACGTTGTGAAACGATTTTTTTTAAGGGTTTTAATATAAAAAAACGTTTTGCAACATTTTTTATATTATTATTGATAAAAATCATAGCAAAACGTTTTTTTCTAAGTGTTTTAATATAAAAAAACGTCTCGCACCATTTTCTTATATTATTGTTAATAAAAGTATAGCGAAACGTTTTTTTAAGTGCTTTAACATAAAAAAACTTTCTGCAATATTATTTATATTATTATTGATGAAAATGCATAAAAATTACTTGAGTTATCCTATAATAGTTTAATAATTTATATCTCATTGGCTTTCAACTTGCTTAGATGAATCTAAGAGTGATAATATCATAAGAATTGAAACCTTATTGGCTGAGTTTGACAAATGTGATATATCACGTGACCGACAAAATGTAACAACTAGTGTAGAAATTCAATGATCATCCAGGGTAATGCATCCAGGGTAAATGTTCAAAATCCCGGATGATCACCCTGGATACATCCAGGGTCATCCTGATTTTTGAACAGTACGGCTTTTAATAATCCAGGGTAAATCCTGGATACATTCCGGGTAGCTACCCTGGATGCATCCAGGGTGCACACCCTGGATTTTTGAACAGTATGGCGCATTATAAAAATCCCGGGTGATCACCCTGGATGCATCCAGAGTAGCTACCCGGGATCTATGTAAATCCTGGATTTTTGAACAGTACGGCGTTTAATAATCCAGGGTAAACCTGGATACATCCCGGGTAGCTACCCTGGATTTTTGATCAGTACGGCGCGTCATACTAAATTCCTTGTCGGTGAGATGATTGTCGGCGAAATGACCCTGTCGGTGAAACCGTCTGTCTGGATAATCGTCAGACAATTATTTTGAGTCTCGTGGCTAGCTGATCTCATGTAAAATTTAGGAACTGGCCAAAAAACCTTAACTGGTTAGTAACCGGTTAATCAGAGTAGAATTTCGTGACAATTAAAGGTTGCGTTCATTTTACCGACTATCATTCCACAGTAAAAACAGTTTATAGGTTTACACCTCTCTATAGAAAATTAGGAGAATTGAATGCCTTTTAAAATTCAAATTAACATTAGTTATAAGCAGGAGAATAATCTTTTTGTAAAATTAAAAAGAGCCATATTTAGCGGGAGAATAAATGTGAGATTAATGAAAATATTCTTTTAATATAAATATTGCCACTTTTATCGACATTTGTTTAATTAAAAAATCACAATAACATTTGCACATCATGAATCAGAAATACTTAATTGCTTTGATAGTTGTATTTTTTTTCCTTGTACATGTTGAAAAAATTTATGGATGCCATCCTAGTGGGCAGGGTTGTAGAGACAATGGTATTTCAATTGTCATTATTCACAATTCTTTGAGTAAAAAAAATAACCCTTTAACCTTTTTTTCATATAGGTTGTGGTGCCAAGATTATAGATGCTAATTTGTTACCAAATAAAAATCTCAATATTACAATTGTTGTTAGCGGAGACAACCCTGTAGAAGGAATTGGCCACTTTACCATGCAGGATGATACTAACAACTCGTGGAGATTTTTAAAAAAAGCCGAAATTCGTTAATGGCCATTATTGTAATAAAAATTATGTTAGTGCGATATATGATCCATACGGGAATATGGTTTTACAACACCTCCAAAAGGAACTTGGTTTGATGTTTGTGTTGCGGTATATTGGAATTGTTATATGAATACTAAGTTTGAGAATAGAGAATGTACTTCAGAAAATATACACTATCGAGGTTATGTCTACTAGTTTTAGATTTAAGCTTTTCGTTTGTTTATGATAGTAATAATGAATAATTTTTATTCAAAATAGTATTTCATACATATAAAGTAATTCATATTAACCTAATAATTTCATCTCATTAATCATAAAATTTCAAATTAAAATAAAATATCTATAATTTGTACCATTTGAATACACATGTACTCCCGGAATTACAATCTTCCCAATTTTTACCACCATTGTTTTATTGTATAATTGTAATAAGAATTAGTTGTTTCTGAACTTGATTGTTCCACTTTATATCGCATTAAACGCAGTGGGCCAATTGACGAATTTTTCTAAATCTCGTGTCCCCAACTAATGAAACCTTAATTGCAATAGAAAGTTTTATTTAGCAATTGTGCAGAAACGTGAAACTGCGTATATCAAAATTGAGTTAAGTATCAAGTTGCATAATGCATATTTTTGACACGTTCCATTTCATAAAAAAGAGGTTTTTAAAATTATTTTATAAAAAAATTGGAATATGATCCTAAAAATAGAAAATAAAAGGGTTAATAAATTTAGCAAGTCGAATATTATTTTTTTTAAAAAAAAAAAAATACTCAAACCGAATTTTTCAGTCTCAATTCACAGCCTTCCAGAACGTTCTAAAAAAAAAGAAATAAAATAGTATTTTTTCAAAAGTAAACAATTATTTCATAAAATAAAAAAACTTATCCAATTCAAATTTCCCGTTACATGGCCTCGATTCCAAGTCCTAGATCTGCCCAAAAAAATTTAAATACAACAAAAAGAAACCGGAATACCCCTGGTTGTCCGAAAGGACTTTAAGGAATTTTACGTTCGGGTACGAGAGTCGTCTGTCCCGCACGTGATATGTTCTGATTGGTTAATTTCGATCTTTTTTTTTAGAACAAATCTAGGTCGATTGTCAGGTAACAATTTCGGTATTTTACTATCTATGACAATGTTAATATACAGTAATAACGGCAGTTTATAAAGTGCTTGAGCGATGATCTTCATTTACCTTAATATTATCATTCTTATTATGATCCAACTTTTGATCAACCTCTTTTCTCTTTGACGAACTTTTACTGCCTATTGAAGAACCATCAGTTGTCTGAGTCTCGTTCTTAAATTCGTTTACAACCTCAACCACCTTTTCTGGAGTACACGGTGAAATTCGATATAATGGAACCATCCGTTCCATTAGTAAAATTTGCCAAAAATCCATTATATCAAGAAATCCGTTATATTCTCTATATGCATACAGTATCTCAAGCAGCTTCGTAATAAAACTTCCACTATCTCTCCTTTTATTCCAGTAGTTTCGCTTATTTCTGCTAACACTTTGTGAGTTCTTAGTATCCTGAAAAATATTTTGTCTAGCTTGTCTTGTAATAAAGCTTTTCTTCACCAAAGTGCTAACTTCTTTTAATATTCTTTCATCGAACTCATCTTGACGTAAAAAAGATCCATCTTCTGAATATTTATAATTGTTTTTTATTAGAAAATGGATATATTTTTTGAAAAAATCCTTCCTGAAATTTTTGGTATGAAGGATCCGAAAATTTAAAGATTCTAAGCTTGTTCGTCCCTTTAATTTTTTTTCAATTTGTAAGTTTTCACTTATAATACTTTATTAAATTTATAGTAAATATATATGGTTCCTTTCGCCTGTTTAATTTGTTGTTTTAATTATACTATGTATAAGAAAGCATTGAGGATATTTTAATGCTATTTACAATAAACAAAGAATAATAAATTTTATAAAATAGCTGCTTTATTAATTGAATTTTAATTTTATTAAAGGGTATAAATTAATAAAAATAAAAATAAATTATGTAATTTTAGTATAATATGTTTAATATGTGAAATCTCGTAATTGTGTTTTTAAAAAAAACAATTGTCTCAATTAAGATAAATTACGTGATAAATGTAATAATTGTAAAATAATAAATTCATTGTTAATTTAATAAAAAAATTAAGAAAATATTATGCAAAAAGTAAATTAAATAAATATAAGTATTTTTGTGAATCATTTTTCGTATTTCGTAATTTGATTTCAGGAAAATGTCATGTCGGGATAATGTCATGTCAGGAAAATATGTTATTCAGGAAAATGTCCATTCGGGATTTTGTCATGTCGGGAAATCATTGTCAGGAAAAGGTTACGTCAGGAAAATGGATGTTGGGAAATCGTTCTGTAACCAAAATGGACATCATTTAAATGGTCTTGATGACCTCTTGAAAAAAACAATTATATGAAATATGTCTTTTAAGCCTTAATACTTAACCATTATTTTAGTAACTTTATAATCATCTGTGTTTACTGCGCCACATTATATTTACTCATTGTTACGCTAAAAAATTATTGGTTTCTTTACAAAATTTGGTATTTTTCATTGTTAAAAAATTTTTAAATATAATATTATTTTCAAAAAAAAATTTTTCCAATGTTTCCAATGTCACTTCCAGTAATTCCAACACATTCAACATGTAAAAAATGTTTTAGTAAATATACAAATGTAGCGAATGATTGGTTAAATCATGTTAAATAAATAATTTAAAAGAAAATTTTACAAAATGGACCAGTAAAAATAAAGAAATTGATGATATTATTAAAGAACAACAATTAAAATTAAAACTCATCATGATGATGTAATATCTGAATGAATCCCATATAATAAAATTATCATATAGCAATATGGAATGATGGTCCATTATATTATGATGATCTTGGTAAAAAGGAATAGATAAGAGAATCGGATAAGAAAGTTTGTTTAATAAATTATTATGACGTTATTAACGAGTTTTTACTTAAGTATGAATAATTTTAAGTACTTTATGTAAATCATGTATAATAAATAATTTAAAAGTAAATTTTACAAAATGGACCAGTGAGAATGAACAAATTGACGTTTTCATTAAAAAAAGGCGATTACAAATTAAAAATTATCATGATATAGTATTTGAATGGATCAATTTGATAATATTATAAGAAAAGGTGATTTTTCTACGAAACATCCCTTCGGCGAAATGGCTTCGGTGAATTGGATTTCGGTGAAATGTACCGTAACCAGGTTATATGGTATGGATGGGTTATAGAGGTAGAGTTAGATTATAGAATTTCGGTTATATAAGTATAATTAGATTATAGAAGCGTATCTAAAATCTAACTAGATTGGTTTAACTTACTTATATTGGAATAATCTAATCTGCTATTCTAGATATCGTTTCAGAGTTTTTCTCTCTATTAACTTTTTCTGTTTCAATATGATTTAACTATATTGGTTTAACTTAAGTATACATGTTTTGGTATACTCTAACTATTCTTTATTTTGTCCCACCGGCATTAAATGCAATTTCGGAAATTTTCGGAAATTTATTTTTTAATTCGTAAATACTGTCGGGATTTTGTCCCACATTAAAATTCGGGATCAATTTTATTTTTGCAAATCAAAAAATATATGGTTTAAGTCACGTGATTTTACGTAAATTAAATTAGGATTATAAGGTAATAGTACTACAACTATGGGATGAAGGTTTGGTAATGAGGGAGGTATTAAGTTTCGTTTACGGACCGTTTCCCGACAGGACATTTTCCCGACAGCTTAACGCTGGCCGTTTGATCACGTGTTCGTGCATAACTGTCGGGAAAATTCCTGTCGGGAAAATGTCCTGTCGACCATTAGGTTTTACTTAATTTTCGAACTCCGGAGTTATTTTATATAATTTGTATGTTCTTCATATAAATAAATAAAGTGCTTCGTTTATCATATATATATATATATATACATATGGTCATTGATCTTCAATATTTGATTTGTATTAACCTTCATAGAGGACGTCTAAACGTAAAATCACGTGACTTCGGAAAAACTATTTTTTCTAAATAAAACTTTTTGCCATATATTCACAACCTTTTAAACAATTTTACTAAGTTTTTTTTGGCCTGCTCCGCAAGTTTACTTAGAGCACAAAATGAGGTTTCAAATGCCCTTTTCGATTTACTTGATTTTCATTTTTTGTCTATTCATTTTTGGATATGATCGGGAAAAATCTTAATAGTATTCAAAAATCTACTTTTTTTTTTTCTTTTAAAGCAGGTTAAGATATGCTTATTTTATGATTTTCAAGTTTATATTAATCTTAATTTATAAAAAAAATTAGTCCGCTTATATTATATCGAATCATGTGATTTGCCCGCTTTAGACGATCCCCCTTTTATATACAAAATGATCTCTGTCAAGATGTACAAAATATAATTTCGGGATTGCGTGAATCAGAAAAAAAAAATTTCGGGATTGTGTCAATTAAAAAAAAAAAATTCGGGATTATTTGCTTTATACGGCCAAATAGTTGATAATCAAAAGTCTCGGAAATTATTCTTTTTTACTAAATGTTATGTAATTAACAATTTAAATAGACTTTTAAAGAAAATAAAGTAAAGAATGATTTAGTTAATAAGATATGAAGTGTCCGATCACTGAAAATATCCAATCATTGAGAATTATTTACAGTGTATTTTATCAAATCTATTGATATATATTATTTGAATTTCAATAAAGATGCGATCATAACTCCAAAAAACGTATAAAAGAACGTGTTTTTTTCCCTGAAAGCATTTCATTCTTTTACACTAAAACATTACACTAAAACATTTCCTCTGTAAAGCAATAAGCAATGAAGCAGCAAATTATTTCCTCAAGTTGCAAAGCAACTTCTACCAAATACACGCATAACTCCTTTTCACATCTTTTACAACACACATTATCCTTCAAGTTAATTACTTTAATCTCTTTAATCTTTTTATCAGTATTAATCGAAGCTTCTCCAGTACCTAATACTCTTGGTTCCATTACATCATTCCCTGTGTTACAGAGCTGCGCTAATTTCGCTGCTGCTGCTTATATTAATTCTCCTCTTCAAAATTGGAACTGTGGAGACATCTGTATGGCAAATGCGGGTACCCAATTGGTTAAAGAATTTAAAAACGAACGGCTTAACACAAGGGGTATTTTATATTATTACTGTGCCACACATCGTTAATTTTTTACGTTTACTAACAAAATAATAAATATATAGGTTTCATAGCCACGCATCCAGAAAAAGAATTAATCATCGTATCATATAGAGGAACGCAACCAGGAAGTATCAGAAATTACATTACTGACTTTGTCATTTATCAAGATACTTATTCTCCTAAACCTGATACCAAGGTACACCATGGATTTCTTAATGCTTGGGAACAAATTCAACCCCAAGTTACTGATGATCTTATAAAATTAATCCAAGAAAATCCCGATTTCAGGATCGGATTTATGGGTCACAGTTTAGGTGGTGGTGAGTTCAATAAATTTAAAAAAAATTACATATTTAATTACAACTTTTTAACAGTCTTTTTTTTTTATCATAGCACTTGCTACATTCTCGGCATTAGATCTTATAGAAAAGAAACCAGATTTAGCTAATAATGAAAAATTGTTTCTTGCTACATTTGGTCAACCAAGAATTGGTGATGAAAAGTTTGCTAAATATGTTGATGAAAACATAAGAGCAATAAGAACTATAGTTCGTGGTGATCCAGTTCCTCGTTTACCTACATCATGGCCAATTCCATTTATTGGGTCCTACAAACATTTTGGTGAAGAATTATATATAAATAATCCTGATCAAGATCCATCTGCCTTTATTGAATGTAATGCTGAAGATCCAAATTGTTCTGAATCGGTACCTCTTCGACAGTTAAGCCTAAAATATCATTCGGGTCCCTATTATGGTGTTAATATGAGAGATGCTAATAAAGGTCCCAATGAAATTGACGAAAATTACGATTACTCAGCTGATCCTTATTTCAATTATGACCCAAATTTCAATTATGAGAGTTTTATGGGAGTTAATGGTGTTGATGGTACCAAGGGAGTTAACGGTACTGAGGAAGTTAAAGGTACTGAGAGAGTTAACGGTACTAAGGAAGTTAAAGGTACTGAGAGAGTTAACGGTACTAATGAAGTTAACGATACTAAAGAAGTTAAAGGTACTAAAGAAGTTAACGGTACTGGGGAAGTTTATGGTACTAAGGGAGTTAAAGGTACTAAGGGAGTTAACGGTACTAAGTACTAAGGGAGTTAATGGAGTTAACAGATGATAATAACTAAAGGTTATAGATAGATTAATTTTTTATTTTTAGACTTAAAGTAGATAATAATGTAATTTAATTAATTTAATTAATTTGTTGACCTAAAACAGATAATAATATAATTTAATTGATTTAATTAATTTGTTTTATCGCCGTTTTCGAATTACTTGAAACTGCATTTTGTCGTTCACGTGACTGCCTCGTTCACGTTTTTTATATTTATTTCAGCGACTTAGATTTTTTGTCCTCTATTTGTCACCTGTAGAGCTTCCGTTTGAAAATCAAATTGTATTTCGAATGTTTGAAAATATTTGAGATAAAATTTCGAATATGATTCGAATATCATATAATATTCGAATTAATTAATCATATGATATTCGAATCTCACATGATATTCGAATTAATATATGATATTCGAATCTATTCGAATTTCATAATTTTATTACGAACTTTATTTTTTTTTAGTAAAATTACTGTATGTCTTTATTTCTTTATTTTATTTAATATTTATATTATTTCCTTTATGTTACAAATTAAAGTAATTACATGATATCAAGTAAATTGGAATTTCTTTTTAAAAAGATTAATTTTTCTACTTTTTCTGGTTTTAAACTCTTCAATGTTGTTATTACAGTATATTCTGTTTCTTGACCTTCTTCCATAATAAATTTATAATAATCAAAAGAAAAAATTAGTTAAATATCGTCTATCGAAGAATTTTTTTTATCAACTATTTATTCTGTACAGTGTACACAAATAGGCGTCAAATCAATGAAATCATGTGGCAAATTTGAATAGATTCAAATCTTATAAAACATTTTACATGACATTCAAATATCAGATGATATTCGAATCTGATGACATATTTGAAGATTCGAATTTTAATATTTCAGTTTTAAATATAGATTTAACTATAATTTACAAACGAAATGTTCGAATGTCCTAATTTCAAACGGAAGCTCTAGTCACCTGCATAATATGTCACCTGTGTTACCATAAATATATAGCCGAGTGGTAATAAGATGATCCCTACAGACATCTCCATTATGGCATTTTTATATACCTTTATGGCTTTATCTAATATTATAAATATATAAATATAGACATAGGTATAGGGTATAGGTAGAAGTATAGGTAGAGCCTAGGGGAAAGCCAAGATGAAACTGACAAGATATGTAACAAAATAGAACATAAGGATTAGATAAGCTTAAACATGATATCAAAACTCAGGCTGGTAAACGCCTGATTTATATCTGATTCTTTCATATTTAAAGCCAAAATGATGATCTGGTTAGTGTCAGTTTTTGGTGGTACAGGGACCACCATTTATTAAAATGTTTACCACATAATCCGCCTCAACTCTATCAAAATAAATAAATTTCATGCTTGGTTTCACTTTCTTTTCCGTATAGGAGAATTTTATAGCATTTTCAGCCTAAAAAATATTTCTTCTCATTTCTTTCAATTACGTCATTTTACATGACTGATATATATCTTCTATAAAATATATTCCAAAAACTCAAAATACTGCGGTTAAATTCCAAACTTTGATGGTTTTCCTTAAAATAAATAGAATTAAAAAAATTGAAAAAATCAAATGATCAGTAAATAATTTAACAAATGATCTGACTGATAGTTTTAAGGGATGAAAAATAGATGTAAATTTCCTTTTTAAAATAAAAAGGCAATTTTTTTTTACATAAAAAATTATTTTATTTGCATGTAAATACTAATATAAATTAAATCAATAAATAATGTAGTGCATTCTTCCTAAGGTTTGGATTAAAAAATTTTTTCTGGTAATATTTATTCCATACGTGAATAAAGTGATAGGACGACCTATATCTAAATTGCTTATTAATTATAAAAAAAAAACAGCTAAAATTAAATATCGAAAATATCGAAAATATCGAAGTTAAATGATTAACTTAAAACCTGTTGATATAATTTATAAATACATCTTAATATATACAAATTATACATAATTTTTTTTGTATAAATCAATATTAAGTTGATCCTGTCGTAAAAGCAACTGCTAACATGACTAACCTATTCTATTCCGCTTATTTCGAACCATTTACATTTTGTCTCAATATTTATTTATTTAGGCCGCAGGCGTGAAAATCAGGATATTCCACAGAACTTATTTATATCTTGATTCCGATCATAAAACTATTTAACACCTTATACTTTTTTCTTTTTAAATAAGAATCATCCGTGAGAATATCAAGGATATACAAGGTATGTCAAATTTTCACTCTAAATGTCAATATTATCAATTCTTTTTTCTGATAAAATTTTTATTTTCACAAAATAAAAAAAAAGAATTTCAGACACAATGAAAGTGAATTCTATTATTTCAAAATCTTCAATAAGATTCATTCCACAATCAAAGGAATACTTTTAATCACTCCTTTTACTTTATATTCTTCGGTTAAATTTACCCCTTTTATTCCGGAATGACTTATTTTTAACAATAAAGGATTCCTATTTTTCCAACTAGAAAAAATGATTCTATATCTTACAATTAAATACCTTAGAATAAAATTTAAATTTAAATAACTAATTGGTGATGATTTGTCTAATACTTAAATAACTTACCCAACTAAATTCATAATCTTTGCACATGTTAATAATTAATCCATTTAAACATTGACAATTAATTAACAAATTTTCAAATTCTGGAATCAATAAATTTCTATCTAATGACAATTTAAGATACCTAATATTTGGACAATTTTGATAAATTGCTTGAATAAGTATTTTATAATCAACGTAATATATGACATTATCACAATGTATACTAATTCAGAAAGATTTCCTGTTGTGTTTTCAATTATTTACTATAGTAATCAATGGAATATAATTAATCTTTAAAATTTTAAAATAGTAACGACAAATTCTTTAAATTATTTGGATCATACCAATTTATGAAAATGGTTTCTGGATTTCTAAATATAATAAGTTCACAAAGCATGAAAGAAATCTTGTAGTAGGATCCCAACCAATTCTTAGATATTGGACAGTATCTACATGTTTAATTAATGATTTTTCAAGAGATTTGTTGATTCGATAAACCGGATCCCGTGATCATTAACCAATAAAATTTAAGTAACGTGATGCGGTAAATCTTAATTTTTGCCAGAATTATAAAAATCTTAATTCCGGCTGAAGTTATGTATTACTTATATATTCAATTAAAAATATTTTATATTTATTTTCATGACATCTATTACTTAAAACTAAGATGAAAAAAATTGAATTATAGTGTATATTAGTTTTATTAGCATGAAAATTTTTTAAAAATTCAGTATAATAGATTTTCAATATATTGAAATTGTTTCGTTATAACGGATATCCCGATAAACCGGATATTTTTAGTGGAACCGATAGATCCGGTTTATCGAATTTCACTGTGTATATTGAATGGGTACCTTTCAAAAAATTTCAAAAAATTTCAAAAGTGGATTTGGTAAGATTTATTCAGCTGAATGACCTGAAGGAAATATTAATTATTGGGATATTGAAAATCAAAAATGGTATAGATATGCATTGAAAAGTTTAAATAATTCTTCTGATATTAGTTCAGAATTTTTAGATGAGGTAGTCTAAATTTACTTTACTTTAAATTTGATTTATTTGTTAACAAAATTATTCCATTTTTTTAATGAATAGGTTAAATCTTATCTCCGGATACACCTTTTTAATATTGTTAGATGTCTTGGAATAACTCAAAATCCAAACGGGGAATTTGGAACTATTCAGATTTCCACATAATTCCACAATATTTAAGGTGGATTTCCATGTGTGCACCAAACATTTTTAATGCTAATTCTCTCTTTCATTAGACTTAAACAAATTGAATCTCACCCGTACTTACACTCCAGAGGAACTTGAACAAATTAACAAATATCTTAAAGTTCGTACTAATTTTGAAAATGGAAGGCTAATCTCTCTTCCTCAAACTCCAATTGCTCATGAGGCTGTTGTACATGAGATTTCCAGACAACTTGGTAACTGGAATATTGATCCTGATGTTCTAAAAACATGCCAAGCTCAAATGACCTCTTGTTTAATTGTGAAAATTCTTAATAAGATCGTCGTCAGCTATAAGAAACAAATTGTAATAACATTTGATCAAAAGTATGACTTTTAAAACATTTCGATTAGTGACATCATGTACCATCTGACATAGTTTATTATATCTCAGAAACAAAAGTTTTAATTGATGGTAATATACTAAGCTAATAGGGAATGAAAATGATGAAATGTTAAATTGCATATCGCTAACTAATTTATAAAATGAAACATAAATGATAATAATTGGAAATTATTAACTTATTTTTAATTCGTACTAAAAATTTTTTATGGTTTTTTTTTTTTTTTTTTTTTTTTTTGTTATTTTTTTATTTTTTTTTTTTTTTTTTTTTTTTTATTTTTTTTTACCTATCTTGTTACCTATATATATATTGCTCGGGGTCCTGAAACACTCATCAACAGTTAACTGGAAAATCTTTTATCGGCAGGCTCTATAGATGATCTGGATATTATCCGGAAGTAGAAAATAATTATAGAAGTATTTTGACGCAGACAACCATATTACTAATAAAAAATAGGAGTATGGAGAAAATATATTTAAAAAAAAGTCTCTTTTTAAGGAGCAGTTGATTAATATTCACTCTCCATATGGTAAGAATAAATGAACTTGCAGTAATATGAATCTTATTTTCCAAAAACTACTCATTTTATTAATGTAATTTAATTTTAATTAAGGTTACTAACGGAAAAAAGTTGAAATAAGTAAATGATATTTTATTAAAATATTGGTAGTGAAGTAAAGAACAATTTTATAAAAATGCGTTAAACTTTTAAATTTTATAAAATTATTTACCTGAGTATACCATGATATTACTCGGTCATATATGGTAAAGTGTAAAACGAGTAATACTCGTTAAGGAATCGAATAACCCTTTTTTATTTAGGTATGATCAGGTTCATCCCTTGCAAATCAATAAGGATTAGCATCCCCATGCGAATAAAGATTGCCAGTAATACCCGAATATTGATTTACTGAATTCTGGAGATCGCAGATCTAGTTTATTATACCCTTAATCAAACCATGACCGTCCAAAACCAAACCTTTTTTCATTGGACAGATCACATGACAAAAAATTTAATTTTGGCCAGAATTATGACTAATTTTGGCTAATATTTTAATTGTTACTAAAATCTTTAAATATTATTTTTAATATTATTTGATTTTACATTAATTTTTATCATTTAATTTATTAAATATTTACTTTTTTTTAATATTCCAACATTATATTTATATTTTATTTTAGTTTCATATTAGAACTTTTGAACAGTTTTAAACTATGTCCAAAACTAGTTTTGGACAGTCCAAAATTGTAAACCAATTGGACAAGTCCAAAACCCAATACTTCCCTAATAAAGGCCGGCCAAAGACCAACCCTAGAGTATGATTCTCGTCAAAAAAGTTGAAAGAAGGTGGAAGGAAGATATTTTTATTATAATTTTTGTTATTATCATTATCACTTACATTTTCATTGATAAAGTTTTTTTTTTTTAAGTAATGGTTACAGTAGTTGTTAATAATCAAACAATCAACCATGTCATTTGTTTGAGCATCTATGTGATCCAAATTTGCATCATTCTCCGTATTATATGGGATAAAACAGAACGTAAAATGGAGATCACATTTATTGCTAATTTTTGTTCACATGAATGAGATCAGCCAAGTGATCTAATAAAAGGCTCTCCATTTCACCCACCGAAAAAATTCATAACTCTACTGAAAGAAAAAAGGCTTATTCGCCATGAAGTCTTCCGTTTCTTTTACCATAATCGTCGCAATCATTTTTATCCAAGCCTTAACGCCGTTCACTGAAGGTAAATTTTGAATAGTCATGACAAAATAATTAATAATCATCTGTTTTAATAACTTTCTATTGAAATAAGTGTATGCGGACCATACCGTATGGATACATAACAAGGTAACTGCTGGTACATTTACTAATGCTGCAACCGTCTTAGAAAATAAAAAAGGGGACTTTTATTGGCATGGTGATGTTGGTGCAATTGACATAGAGGGCGATTGGGCTCACAGAGGTTATTGCTTGAATGTTCCTGATAATGTGAAATCATATTGGCTTGCTTTTAGAGTTGCTGCGTCTACTGAAGATGATAAATGGCGCGGCCCATTCAATAATGATGGGGATAAATGTTGGCACTTTCATGGTACTATAGATTCTTGGAATGTATTCGAATGTTAAACCAATTTTATCCACAGAGCAGCAAAAATGTTACACGATTTCTTTTTTTCAATAATTCATTTTTAACGGATCCTGATCATCAGAATTTTAAGTTCTACTAAGTTAATTTTATATATATACAATATATTGTAATCTTAACCTGTGTGACTATTATCTATTTTACTATAGTTTTCGCTCTACTTTTAGCTTTCACAACTTTCTATAAACTATTTTCTTTCTATTACTTTTACTTTTAATGAAATTTTATTAACCTATTAATATTAATTATATAACAACAAATCTATTTGCAATTGACATTAAATTAACAATGTCTCTCATAACATTAAACTATTTAAATTCTAAACTATATGTTTTCATTTATTTCTCGCAATACAAAACCTTTTATTAGGCTCGTGTTAATTATGGTTTTTTTTATGAAGAGATTTTCTCAGACATCCGTGCAGATGGAATCAGCCTTGACGCATAAACGCAAGGCTGATGAAATCGATAATGGTCAGGATGTAAATTATGGCAAGTGCTTGACATAGTGTTCCAATCCGTTTACCGTTAACCATTTTTTTTTTGTATTATACGAATAACCAAGATCCCATCGCTTCAACTGTGATATATGTGGTTATAGTATTCAGCTATTCTACAGATTAATCATATAAAAATAATTATTACATAATAATTATGATGGAATTATTTCGTGATCAGATAACACATTCAATAATATGATCAACTAATTCGAATAATTGCCATTTACGAAATATTTCTATTATTCTTGTATAATCATATGTATATTGAATTTCAATTATTCAATGTCGCCAGTAAATTAACTAAATATAATAAAATATTTATAATTTATTAATTCGAAAGTATTTTGAGTGAAAAAAATTAATAATAGTATGGATGCATAAAAAATAAATACTTTATGGTCAAATTGACATATTCATCGTCGCACTGGAGCCTGGAGGGGTGGTTCACTATATAACAGTTTTAATCCTATCGATTACAAAAATTATTATCGCATTATCATTATGACACGTGTCTTAATCTTTTTTCGTTCATCTGGATCATTAGTGTAGTTAAACTAGGGTGGCGTCAGGAATCAAGTTGACACGCCCTTTAATATTTTTTCAGTTAATATGTTATTTATTGTGAGTTGTGTATTTATGGTTTTGTTTTGTAATAATGTAGAATATATTAAGAAAAAGAATCTGTTTATGGATTTTTTTCGCTTTATTATCAATTCTCTCATCCACTTTTAAGTATCTACATTTTATATTAAATTTGTCAGCAACATTTCCCTTTCCAACAAATTCATTAACATTCCCTATAAGAAATATGTATACGGAAAGGATACGTTTTGTATACATTTTATGTACGTTTCTATAGATTCCGCATACAAATTCCGTATATTTAATAANGTCAGCGGTATGAGTTTGTAATAGACAGAACCATGAATTCATGGTTAGAAATAATTCGAACCATATTTTTATAATGCAGGTCATATTAAATAATGCAGGGTCATATCTCAAGATGGAAGAGGACAATTATCAAGGACATAAGTTTATTCCAAAAGAGTTAAAGGACTGTCCCGAATGCGGGAAACCTAGAATCTCTTTCGGATGGTGCAAGGACTGTCTCTTATACACATCTAGATGTGTATAAGAGACAGGAATGTATACGGAATTTTTAAACTTAATATTTTTAGAAAATAATTTTACAAAAATCTCGTATCATAACACGAGATCACGTGATTGTTTATTGTTTTGTTATGATACGTTTTTTGTTTTTTATATAAACCCTTACTTTGATGAGTTTGATCTTCCGATCTTCTTTTCTGTCTTTCCCTTCCTTCTCTTTTCTCTTGTCTTATTTTTGTTATTTTTTCTAAATTTTTCTTCTTTTTTCGTTACCCCCCTTTTAAAAAAAAATTTTTTTTTTCGTACTTCACTTTAAAAATTTTTTTTTCGTCACTCCCTTAAAAAAAAAATTTTTTTTTGATTTTATTCTTTATTCCCACTATTCCCACTCTTCTTTTTTGTAAAAAAAATTTTCTTCTTTCTATTTCTATTTCCTCTTTATAAAAAATTTTTTATTTTTCTAACTTTGACGTCCTCCCTTTANAATGAATTTTTCGTCAATGCAGAATTACCAGTATGTATCTAACTATTTTTTTTTTTTTAACCTTTCTTATGTCGTTTTAATTTCGTATATATTAATATTATAATTTTGTAGGGACTGAATAAAGATCAAATTAACATTGATGTTCGTGACAACGCTCTTATAATTTCTGGTGAAACCAAAAAAGAACAAAAATATGAAAAAGGAGAAACTATTATTCAAGAACGTTCCTATGGTTCTTTCACTCGTAGTATTTCATTACCACCAAATGTAAAAGCAGAAGATATCACGGCTAAATTTGAGAATGGACTTCTTGAATTGAAACTTCCAAAGAGTGCTTCTTCTGGAAAGAAAATTACTATTGAATAATTTTCGTTTACATATATTTTTAAAACACTTTCCTTTAGCCTTTAAATAATATTCTTTTTTAAATTTCCTGTATACAGTATATTAGTTTTAAAAAATATTCATACTTTTTAATAGTTTTATAAATAAAAGGCTTTGACAAAAATCATTAGCTCAATATTGTACTCTAAAAAATAATTTGTTAATAACGGCACAGTGGCGTTCGAAACCCAACCAAGATAGCTTGTTTGTACTGTATATATTCTTATAACTTCTGAAAGATATTTTAATCGTACTGTAACGAATACTCCTGTGTAATAAAACCATTAAATACTATCTATACTATCTATACGTTGATTAAGGCTAGAGTCTGTCTCTTATACACATCTAGATGTGTATAAGAGACAGATTCCGTATCCAAACCATATTTTTAGTGATACGGAATTGTGCATTTTTCCGTATCCTATTATGATACGTTATTTCTAAGGAAAAAAATCGTATAAAAACTTTATAAAAAACGTATCCCAATTTTTTTATAGGGATTAAGTTTGATACTTTAAATAAATCATCAACTTGTCTTATAACGTAACCAATGAGAAAAAGAGATTGAACTAATCGTCAAATGATCACCTGTACTAGATGTAATCTAATTTATTTTTTTATTTTTTTAATTTTTAAAAAAAGATTTAATGATTATTTTCTTTGGGTATTCTTTTTTTTTTACATAAATAATAAATAAATAATTATCTCCAAAATATCATCATGAGGAGGTTCCTCATTGAGAGAAAATTTCCTGTAAACCTAACTACATCACAGATGTAAAATCGGGAATCCATTTTGACCTTTGCCTTCGCGGCTTCGCCCCTCCACGAATAGACCTTCTTTCATTAGGACAATATCATAGTCTTCTATTAAAAGTATCATTCCGTCTATGACAGTATTTACAGACGACATTTGAGTAAAAATGAAAGATCAATACGGGGAGGATAGTAATTATTGTGAAAGTATTAGACAGGATTTTTGCTACCTTTTGTTAATACTACGGATAGAACTGGTTATGCCAAAATAGTTCGCGGTTTGTATTATGCAGGATGATCTTACGGGTGAGATTAGGTGTCAACTTTGGAATGTTTGTTTTATTACTTTAATTTAGAGTAATTGCTACACCTCTGTTTCTGTCATTATGCTAAAAATAAAAATAAAAATAAAATATATTAAACCTTTCCCGGTTAATATTTCTCAAATAAACTAAATTTCTGGCAATGAAATAGATCTCACCACTGCGCATCTCAAGATAATGATACTTAGTGTTATGGAGAGTAGCCCCAATGTTTATAAGCACGCTCACGATAATTTTATTTTTATTTGCAATTTGTTTAGAAATTTAAGTTTAATGTCTCCAAATCCATACTTCAAAAATTTACTGGTATTAAAGTATTCATATTGCTTGTAAATTGTAATAGCAACTGAACACCTAAAATATTATCATAAAAATCATTTATTGAATATGTATCATCATGTGGCAACTTAGATTATTACTTTATGATCCCTTTTCTAATTGAAATTGATATATTATTTTTTATTGTAGACAAAATGGTTGATAGTGAATTAAGGATGAATAATCAATATGCTCTACAAATATTATAATTTCATACATTTTTATAAGATCGTTAAGGAAAAATTTACTCCCAGGCTCCTGCGGAACATGGGATCAACCAATCAAATTTAATTTACTCAATATTATAGGTATTCAGCACGAAGTGCCTAATGGTTAATTATTACAAAATAGGATAATTAATAAACAGTATAATTATTATTCATCTGATAGATAATTTTTATGTTGTTTAAATTTTGGAAAATTCCAACTAGAAATTTACTGTATACAGTAATTTATTGAATTTTTTTGTCTTTTAAAAAGGAATTAATACAATTATCATTCAATTAAATCACAGGAAAATCAAAATTTACATAAATTATTATATGGTCTTATTTTTGTTATTAAAAAAGTTAAATCAAATCCTTCGGAGATATTTTTTCCGATTCATTGATCTACTAGACTATTACTGCACTAGTAGTTAATCTTGTAGTACATTATGATATCATCAACTATCACGCATTTTGACTGTGTAAGTTTCTGCTCTTTATACTAATAAAATCTGTATTTTAAGTTTTTAACAACAAAATGATATCACAATTATGTAATTGTGCAACATAAACAAATACAAATATTTACGTCGTTTGGCGGAAATAATTAAAAAATTTCTTTTTTTTTAAAAATAACCAAAAAAAATGTCCAATTTAAATAGGGATATTCTTTATTTGGTATTCGAACAAATACAAGATGATGATAAAAAAACTCTTTTTTCATGTCTTTTAGTTAATAAAACTTGGTGTGAAATAATTATTCCAATGTTATGGAGAAATCCTTGGGAACACTTAAATAGTGAGAACGGAATGATATTATTAAATGTAATCAATTCACATTTATCAGATGTAACAAAAAACAAAATAAGGGAACATATGATATTCACCGATTTTGATCAAAAGCCTTTATTTAATTATATTAGTTACTGTAAACATTTAAATTTAGATGAAATCCAGAGAATAATTGACGAAAATGTCAACGAAAAATCTGAAATATCAAATATTCAAAATGAAATATTTAATATTTTTATTAATGAAAATATGAAATATAGTCACCTTTATGTATATCAAAATTTTGATAGTCAAATAAATTTTATTAATGGAGCTGAACGTTGCTTCTCTGAAATCGAATTTCTTAGTTGTAATACTGATGTAAATGATAATATTATAACAATATTAACAGAAACATGTAAGTCAATTAGAAAATTAGAACTTTTTATTAATTTAAAAAATAATAATTATGGAATTATTAAGTTGATTGAAGAACAAAAAAAGTTATCTGATATTAGTTTAACTCGTACTCACTTTGATGATATTTCATTTTATGAAATTTTAGAGAATTCATTAACTAAACATGCAAGTACCATACAATTTTGTAAGTTTACCAGATCCCCAACAAAACTTCTTTCATCTTGTATAAATTTAAAAAAATTAGAATTAGGTAGTAAAATACGTAGTATCTCCACTTCATGGTATTGTCTAAAAGATTTATCTTTTCCTTATTTACAAATTTTAAGATCTAGTAGTGTTCCAGTTGATGTCATGACAAGTTTAATAATAAATACAAAAGGATTTCTTGTTGAAATTAAAATAGATTGTATATGGTATGATGAAACTAGGAGTAAAATACTTATTCAAGCTATTTATCAAAATTGCCCAAATATTAAGTATCTCAAATTAAAGATTGGAAATTGTAGCATCTTAGAATTAGAACCATTGTTAATTAGTTGTAAGTATTTAAAAGTATTATATCTACTTATTGGTGAAGGTCAATTTGATTGGAATAAGTTATTTGAAATATTTACTAAATCATCATCATCTAGTTTATATAAGTTTAAATTTAATATTAATGGGCAACCTAAATTAGAATCCTATAAATTATTTTTTGATAATTGGAAGGGAAGACATCCTATGTTTTTACAAATCTTTTCCAATGTAATTATTGATTTTAATTTTAATATAATAGAAAGATATAAAAAAGAAGGAATAATTAAAAAATTTGACAGTTGTTATTGGTGGGACCAAGGAACTAAAGATTTTGAATTTAATTAAGAAATCCTTTCTTCTTTCTTAAATCTTTGATTGTGAAATTTTACGGGTTGATGATATAATTACTGTAACTTTAGAGTAAATGTAGTAAATGTAATAAAATTTTATATTTTTATATATATTGAAATTTATAGTGCTGTCAACATAATTTTTTAAGTACCTTTATTTTTTAGTTTGTAAGTGAACTTACATTTTCACTTTTTGATACCTTAATTTAGTTTTATAAATTTATTTGTTATTTTATATACTATGCGGCATTTCTCTTAAAAATATGCGAATCCTTTATATATCAACTTAGTAACTTATTTACCTTGTGAATAACTTGTTGGTTGAAATTTTATTAGCTTTTATAATCAAACAAAGATTTTTTTTTGTGTTAAAATGATCGTTTACTCTTTAATTCTCAACGTTAAGAACTAAGATTAATTAAACTTATGAAGTTTTAAGTAATCTTAAATAATCTAGATATTTTTCGTTCTAGAATTTAGTATTTATTCATTTTTATTAAGGAAAGGTGTACGATTTTAATGTATCAAGGAGACATAATTATTTAAGAAAATAATAATTTTATATTTTCATATCAAACTCTATTGTAGCATAAAATTCATTTAAATATTATAAAAAAAAAGACTTATCACATGAGCGTGAAAATTGCTTCGTATATATTATTTACAACACGATCGCGGGACAATTGGGCGCTCTCCATGTAGCACTCCTATTTCACAACCCTCCCTCCAGGAACTAGCTTCGCTTACTTTACATACTCAACGTGATGATCATTTTACGCCTTTATGGATGGTATACATAACGTCAATTATTTACATGCGGGAGGATGGACCACTTATATTAATGCTTATGAAAATATAGATCATTTTTATAGAAAACAATCTTTTTTTTAAGTTTAGATTCTTTTATTTTTTCTTTAATAATAATTTACGTAATGTATAGAACAGGTCATGCCTCTAGTTCTCGGTTTGTATTAGGCGGGGCCTCATGAGTGGAATAGGTTACAACCTTTTAAATGTTTAGTTTAGTTTATTTTATGGTAGCAACTACATGTTTTTGTTGCACTTATGTTCTGTCTTTATGTTAAAAATAAAAATAAAAATAAAAATATATTATATCATTTTTTTTTAATTTTAAAGAGACGCGTATTTAATTTTATTATCTGATTTTAATTAAAAAGTGTATATGTACTACTTTACATTAACTTATAACTACTTAATTAAATATTAAAACAACCCAATTATGTACCATATGTTTTTTTATTATAACATATTTTAATGCTAAAGACAACTTGTCGCTCGATGTGTTAAAAGATTTAACGGTCTATCATGGCAAGATAGTTTTAATTTAATGTTGAATCACATATCATTGGTCTGTCATACCATAAGGACATCTTAAATGTGGTTTCTATAACTACAGGAAAATGATTGAGCGGTCATGTTCTTTAGCTTAACTGGCCGGTTAAGGTTTGTAGGACTAAAATAATGTTTGTACGAAAAGTTATCAAGCAAAGTTAATTTGCTGATTTGAATCCGATTTACATTTGAAGCGGTATCGTACAGAATGTTGTACTTTCATGAATCGTTATTTACAAAATTTTAAGCTGTTTTTGAATCACTCACGTAACCAACTTTTAAATAAAATTGTTATCTTTTCTCATACTATGACGCAATAAATATCACTTGCAATCTGTCCTGAATTAGCTAATCATATATTAACAAAAATTAATTTAGATACTATTCTTTTGTTATCATATGTTTAAAGTAAATACCAAAGATTTAGCAACACTTGCGGTAAGACTTTTTGTGAGTGGCCATAGCGACGTTATATTTTTAAGATCTAGAAATTAGAACTGACAACCCTTAGCTGAAAATCGCGATTTCACAGATTATTTTGCATCCCATTTCACATTTTCACGTATTTTTGAACGTAATGATTCATAATCATTCCAAAAAATGTAGGATTTCATCTACAAATCTCCTGAAAATGATGTTGAACATGTCACCATATTGTAAAACGATCAAAAAGAACTCGGATGCTAGTAAAATATGATACATATTAACGTAAAAGAATGACCACATCCGATAAAAGTGTTCATCGTTCTGACACTTTTGGTATGACCCGCCGTTCTAACCAAAAGTTTGGATAAAATCCGGGATAAAATTTGGATAAATCTGGGATAAAACTCGAATTTATTCATTTCCTTCAGATTTATCGACACCATAATCACGCACGGTTATTTAACGATATGTACAAAATATTTGTTTTAAAACAGTCTTTAACCAAATAAATAATTTCAATAATTAAGAAATAAATTGTTTTAGTACAGTATTATTCTTGATAAATTATTTTTGTATCATTTAATTGGTTCGTACAATTACAAATCGACGTCGATTACGTAGATATAACACCATAAAAATGTATAAAAAAAAAATTTGTCGTTCCTTATTTATTTATTATATGAATGATTTATATATTAATACAAGCACGGCTCGCCATAGAATTCATCATTATCCGAATTATATTAACTGTGAAATTTACTGTCAGCCGAAATTATTGTAAATTCTGGCGAATAAATTAAAGTGTCGATATTATGGATTTATGGAAATAAATTGAGCCGGAAATTTTATTTGATTTGCATTTCAGGCCGGATTTACAATAATGCCTGTTAGTATCCAAAAAAGGCAATAAATTCTGGCTGACACATTCTAAAAAAGGAAAAATCTACGCGATTGTTTCTACCATGTGATAGAATTTTCGTGAAGCTTCCATGAAATTCAAAAAAATTTACTAGAAATTGCTAGCGGAAATTTCTTAAAAATATAAATATATCCTGAATCCCGGCATTTCAAGACACTAATTTTATCAAAAATACAAATAACAATAATTATAAAAAATAACACCAGAAAAAAAAAAATCTTTTAAAACCAAATTTCAAATTTAAATCGTACAAAATGTCTCTCTACCAAAGCAATGTTAATCATATATTCGATGATTTTATTAAAGATTTGAGCGTAGCCAGACGTGGTGGTACTCGTTCTGGTCGTGGACATAATACAAATAATACTTTCTTTGTTCCTTTAATAGATGTTCACGAAAACGATAATGAATTTTTCGTCAATGCAGAATTACCAGTATGTATCTAACTATTTTTTTTTTTTTAACCTTTCTTATGTCGTTTTAATTTCGTATATATTAATATTATAATTTTGTAGGGACTGAATAAAGATCAAATTAACATTGATGTTCGTGACAACGCTCTTATAATTTCTGGTGAAACCAAAAAAGAACAAAAATATGAAAAAGGAGAAACTATTATTCAAGAACGTTCCTATGGTTCTTTCACTCGTAGTATTTCATTACCACCAAATGTAAAAGCAGAAGATATCACGGCTAAATTTGAGAATGGACTTCTTGAATTGAAACTTCCAAAGAGTGCTTCTTCTGGAAAGAAAATTACTATTGAATAATTTTCGTTTACATATATTTTTAAAACACTTTCCTTTAGCCTTTAAATAATATTCTTTTTTAAATTTCCTGTATACAGTATATTAGTTTTAAAAAATATTCATACTTTTTAATAGTTTTATAAATAAAAGGCTTTGACAAAAATCATTAGCTCAATATTGTACTCTAAAAAATAATTTGTTAATAACGGCACAGTGGCGTTCGAAACCCAACCAAGATAGCTTGTTTGTACTGTATATATTCTTATAACTTCTGAAAGATATTTTAATCGTACTGTAACGAATACTCCTGTGTAATAAAACCATTAAATACTATCTATACTATCTATACGTTGATTAAGGCTAGAGTACACACTGTAGATCATTTTTCACTAATCATAATGGCTAATCAAAAATGATCGACATATATATAGTGCATATGTAAATTTTTCGTGTTCAAAACTTTTTTTTCGATAAAACCTAACGTTTAATAAAATAATTAGCTTTTTTATATACAAATATTCATACTTATGAAGACAAGTTCACTTTTTTTTACGCGTATTATATGTATTTATTTCTTTTAGTCTTTTAAAATTATTAATAAAGTTAAATTTTTAGTTTCGTTGTAAAAAAATAATTTATTGTTTGAAACAATATTGCCATGTAATACGTGTTACTTCTTCTTCAGCATTATCTCCCAATCCAACTATTATTGGTTTGAATGAAAAGTTTTTAGTCAAAGCTGCTGTCTTTCGAAGCTGAAAATTCAAAATCAAAAAGCCTTTAACACATAGATCATCTATAACAAATAAAACATTCTCTTTATTTTTTATTTTTCGTTCAAATGGTTCATTATAAATAGATAATTCTGAAAGTCCAAGTTCGTTGGCTCTTTTTAATTTACAAAAAACTGCTGCAATATCCAAAGGTATCATTTCACTTATTTTTCTAGATTCCAAAATTTCTTTGGCAATTTTTAGCAGTCTAACCACATCAGCTGAAAAGTTATTCCATACCGGATTATTGTTTGAATTTAGTAAACAATTATCACATAATCCACATGCTTCATTTGAAATATCTTCATTCCATGAAAGATGATGTGCAATCAATAAATGGCGACAAACATATTTTGTTTCGCAGAAGTGAACCACTTGTAATATTTTTTGTTGACCCTCATAATGTCTTACTCTTTTTGCTAATGTTTCACTATTATTCTCTTGCGGTGGACTAACCCATTGTCAAAATTTATTATTAAAAAAAAAAAGACAAATAAATAATCATACCTCTCTTCTCTTTGTGTAATTATTGAAAATAAGGTTCGTATATCATTTCTTGAATAAAACACAATACTTTTTGAGGGTTTTCCATCACGTCCTGCTCGTCCAATTTCTTGTATAAAATTTGCTAAATCAAAGACACATTAGCATATGATTTTACAATAAAACATTAGCAAAAAAATACAATACATACTCATTGACAAAGGAATAGTTGTATGTATAATCAGATATACATCTGGCACATTAATCCCCATACCAAAACCATTAGTTGCTATCATAATTTGAATAATTCCTGTTTTCCAATTTCTGATTGCCATTTTACGCTGTTCTCCATCTAATTCGCCATGATACAAACCAAATGATAATGCTGAAAGATTTTCATGCAGATAGTGAAACAATTCTTGACAAGAACTAGGTCCTGAACAATAAATAATGCATCTTCCAGTCGTCAAGCCAACCAAAATATTTTGTATTTGAGAATATAAATTTTGTTTTGAAGGTTTTGATATTACTTGAATATCAATTTCTTGTCTTGCCAATGAAGTACCACGAATAATAGTAAAATTGGTTGGTAAAATATTTAAATTCTGCCGTATATCTTCAACATCAGATGTTGTACATGTTGCAGTTAATAGCATAATAGGAGAGATTGGAAAGTCTTTTTTAAGATTTCCTAAACGTGTCCAAGAATCTCTATAATACAGAATTCTAATTTATAATTAATTCAAAATTTTATTATACTCTTTTTAAAACACTTACCTAAAATTGTTGTAATCAAGTATACAATGAGCTTCATCAATAACAAATTGAATTCCTCGTGTTTCATATATTTTTTGAAGAAATTGATGAAATGATTTATTTTTTTCTAACTTTTCAGGAGTTACAAATAAGATAGGTAAAATTCCTAAAGACAATTCAGAAAAAACACGTTCTTGATATTCAAAAGATTGTCCTGTAGATGCATAAAGCCCTGCAGCAGGAATTCCCATACGAACAAGACTATTCTATAATTCAAAAAAATTATTGGTAAATATCAAAAAAAATTGTAAACAAAAATAAGATATTACCACATGATCATCAATCAATGCCTTTAAAGGAGTAAAAACAATGGTTAAACGAAAAGAAGCAAGAGCAGCCATTGCAAAACATAAAGTTTTACCACCTCCAGTTCGCAACACAACCAAAGTATCTTTGTATTCCAAAAATGAACATATGGCTTCATATTGTCCTTCGCGAAAATTTGAAAATCCAAATACTTGCTTAAGTATCTGATTTAAATCTGGTATATGTTTGGAGAATGGTAGCTTATCATCCGTTATTTGAACTTTATTTTCAGGTATTCTTTGAATAAATCCCAAATCATTCCAAAGATTACATATTTTGCAATATCCATTTGGAAATTGTTTGGGAAAGGACTGACAGCCAATACATTTGTTTGAGACATCATAAAATCCATCAATCAAATCTGCAAAAGAAGGACAAAATGTTTTAGATTCTAATTCAACACGTGTTTTTTGTCCATATGGAACTAAACTCTTATAGCCATAGTTATAATATAACATTAGTATTAATATTGAAGTAATGTGATTATAATAAATATATACCTGGTCAAAATCAAACATTTCCAAATTCTTTTTTTGTTGTACAATTTTTGCAACTTTAGCAGCTTTTTGCGTATCCATATCCTGGTGATTTCTTTGTCTTTGCAATTCACGTCTACCAGCAATATGTTCAATATTTTGTACATCATTTTCAGAAAATGTATCTAATTCTGCTTGAGTACGCACATTTTGCAACATTGCTAATAAACTTGAATTATTGTGAATCACCGCTAAAGCATGTCGCACAGAATATGTTTTCCAATAATCAATTAATTTTGAAACAAAACTTAATTTTTGTCTATTAAATGCCTCATTTTGAGATGTTCTAGCATCCGTTATAAGACTTTGTCCAACATTCAATTGAAAAACTTCACCAAGCATTTCAGTAAATTTCTTTCGTTCTTCAGATGTACTGTTTAAAAGATTTGGTTCACAAAGTGCCAATTCGGGATTTTGGGCTATCCAACATACTTCTGGCCAACATTCTGAATGATCACCACATAAATGTTTTGTTAACCCATATACTTGTGCATATTTTACTGACTCGGTTGTAAGTGGTAAATCTTTTTTGTTTTCTCCTTGTACAGCTGCAATAAATATACATTTTTTATAATATTGTAATATTACGTCTTCATAATGTGAATAACGCTCCCATTTTTTAGCTATAGTAAAATAATTCTTTATAAATAATTTAAATAAAATAAATAATAAAAATAATATAAAATTGCTTACAATTTAATTTTTTCCTAATATTACGCGTTAAGTGTTTAAGATCAGGAAAAATTTTATTTACACATTTTACCCCACGCAAAGTTTTATTACTATCAAGATCACCATCTACTACAATATCTAAAAGCATATCTGTTTCTTCTAAAATGGGAACCACTATTTCAAGTATTCCAATAAGTACTGCATGTTCCATTTGTTTAGAACTTGCTTCGTGATTTCCTTGATGTACTGTTGTTTTATTTCCATTCTTATCTTTTTTAACACGACTTTTTTCTACAACAAAATATCCAACAACTGGTTTGCGAGTATATCCTATTAATAGAATTTGATAAATTTATCAATTTATTAAATATTATAAACATAACAAATTATATTTACCTTCGGGAATTCCATGATATATAAATTCCCCACTAGCTTGTGATGCATTACGTACATGTGACCATGATGTGTCAAATCCGACTGTTAAAACATTTTTCCCCTTTTTTTTAGCATCATCAATTGACGCATATAATGCTTTTCTAGTATTTTCTAAAGCAACATTTTTGATATTTTCACTCATTGATTTCTGATATTTATGATAAATAGTTTTACTAGGCAACTTAGTAATTCCAATAGTTAACATTGCATTTTGAAACTCTTGACGATTCAATCCACTACACAATGTAGCAGCAGCAAATGCTTTTGTATAATTCACATTTGAAGGCTCGTTTTGAAAAGATGAAGTTTCTTTACATTTTTTGCATTGAATTACTACTTTAACTGATAATCCACCCGAAGATATTTTACATTTTTTTTGTGAAATATCATTATTTCCACAGGAGCATTGCTGTGTTAAGGCCAAAGATAGGAATGATTCAGTACTGCATATAATGCTGCTACCAAGATTTTCATCATTTTTTAATTGTCTAATTTTTTCATCAAGTAGTTCTTTTTGTTTTTTATTATTGTTTTGTTTAGGAGATGGAAGCAGTGTTCTTAATTTTTCAAGATTATTTTGTGCTCGTTTTAAACGTTTATTAGCCTGATAAAATTTGTTTTGAACGGTGTGAAATTTAAATACTAGGGCTTGACTTTGTCGAGGCGTAAGCTTGTGTCCCGAAGTTGAAAAGATCAGGCCACTCTTGACTTTTTTGTTAGGCGATCCTTCCTCTTCACATTCCTTATCTAGTTCAAGAGCACGCTTATTCAATGATTTTGTAAATTTATTCATTTTCGTAATAGCGCTATAAGCTTCTTTTGATGATAAAAACATTTCACTATGTAAGTGATAAATAACACTACGAAGGTACATTGCATTTTCATAAATATTCAATCCAAGAATACTAGGTATAGATATTTTGCCCTTAATATCTCTTTGATTTTCAACATATTGGCGTAAAGATTGAAAAAATTTGCTATCTCTACCACTAGCAATCGGATTTCCCCTGAATGTGCTATCATTACCATAATCAATCCATTCAAATTGTAAAATATTATTACTTTCACTAATAGAAAGCCGCAAAAAATGCGTCCCAATTTTTGACATAATACTATAACCAGGAATAAGGGGAACCCAACATTTTGTTTGTCCAGGATCGGGTTTTACTGATGCAATAGTACAGAGTTGATATGCATGATCATTTTTGGATAGAACATGGTGGCAAGGTAATATATTAAGTAACTTCGTATCATCTCGTACAAGCCATGTTCTATCTGCACGTTGAAAATTAACATATTTTTCGTTTGTCTTTTTTAGTTCTTCAAACCAAATTTGAGTCGACATTATTCTATAAAAGTAAAACGCCTTATTAATATCTTTTTTTTTCAATATATTATATCATATACTAAAACTATATTATAAAATATAAATTTTTACTTTTAAAACCATAAAAATAAAGATTTTTTAATGTATATACAAAGATTCTAAGGATGTTACTTATGACAAACTAAAAAATTGGCAGCCTTACCGAAAAATTGGCAACCTTTCTTTGACTTCGTATATATTTTAAGGTATATTGGCAAAATAAAAACAAAATATTTTTTTTATATTGCGTGCAGAGCAGACCGCAAGGAGTCTATAAATCAAGTTTGAAGCTGGTTTGGCACGTTTTACAATTTTTTTATCAGAGCGATCTGATCTTGTATTACTTTAAAATCATCGTGCTACCACGTGATTATCAAAATTAGTTATACGGTGTACTCTAGCCTTAAAAAAGAAATCTTTTTTCGGTCTTTTTATTTTTAGACCAATTTTTTTTTTTTAAATAAATATTATTTTTTTCAGTCTCTTTTGGTCTCTTTTTTTAAACTGATTTTTTTTTATATTTATTTTTTTTTTTGGTTACTTTTTGGATCGAAATTTTTTTTTTTTTTTAATAGCCTCTTTTTTGGATGATTTTATTTTTTCATATTCAAATTTTAATAATCTTTTCTTTCTAATTTTCTTAAACTGAATTTTTAATATCATTTTTCGCTCCGGTTTTTTTTAAAACTGAATTTTATAACTTATATTCTTTTTATGTAATTTTTTTTTATTCGGCTATTAGCTCGGCTGGTACTATGTAATGCTAGTCGGCATTATCCACAAATGGAAGCGATCTACATGATTTTTTTTTTTTTTTTTGGCTCATTCTAAGCTTCTATGTATAAATCGGGGTCCTGCCACGCCAGACATTTTCTGTAGATCCGCTTATAGTGTAAATATAGGGGTTTACCACGAAATCCCGACAAGCACAATCCCGATATGATAAAATCCCGAGGCACGTATTCCTAACAGAGACAATCATATACTGAACGATCAAAATCCCGAAAGTATCATATCCCGAATGGTCTAAAATCCAGAATTTAAATTTCCTGAAAGTTCAAGTTACTGATGAGTCAAAATCCCGACACAATATTATAATTTTGAGTATCTCTTTGATTTTTGTTTACTAGGAAGATCATTTCCTACTGATTATATAATTTGCGACAATTAATACAATCATATATACAATACATATGCACTATTTCCAATTTAAATGATAAAAAATTGCAATTTTGATTTATGACTTACATGTTACAGTATAATATATAGTGAGATCACGCAGTAGTAATTGACATAATAACTCCTTGGCAAATTATGCAAATTATTAACAATTGTGCAATCATTACGATTTATTACATAAATGGTCACATGAAAAACTTTATTGTGTCAGGATTTTGACTCATCAGTAACTTGAACTTTCGAGAATTTTGAATTCCAGATTTTGGACTATTCGGGATATAATTCTTTCGGTATTTTAATCATTCGGGATATTGTCTTAGTCGGGAATAGGAGTGTCAAGATTTTATCACATCGGGATTATGGTTGTCGGGATTTCGGGAGGATCCCAAATATAGTGATCCAGTCTGGAAATGGCCAATCGGAAAATTGACTTTAAGAAAATGAGGCACGATCAGATTAATTGACGGTGCGCCTTTTTTCCGATTTTCATTTTTAATTTTTAATTCTTTCTGGATCGGCAATATAATAATCAAAATAAATACATTTTTATTTTTTATTTGAAACAAATATGTCTTGTGTGATTTTTTAGCTAGAATAAGTAAAGTACATATTTTAACTTAAAAATAACAAAAACATGCCCGACCAAAAAAATAAAATTAAGAAAATTTATTATTTTACTTTTCTTCTTCATAACTATAGGAATTACTAGTATCCACCCGTTTATTACCTTCTTTAACCTCCTTTTCCGGCTCTTCTACTTTCGTATTATTGGTAGGCGTAAAGAACAAATTCTATTAACATCATAACATTTCTTCCATTCCTCTTTCTTACACCTACTACTCCTGGAATCGATTCCGGGTAATACAAGTTCTCCCGGTTTAATCTTGTCTTCTAACGCGATTTGTTTCGCCAGTTCCTGTTATTTTAAGGCAGTGCTATACGGTATTATATCAAATATTAACAAAAACATTGATGTGAATAACTTATAATAAATTTACGATATTAAATATATTGTATTGCGAAAGGTGAATGGAATGGTTGATAAAATTTATTCAAGTTATAAAGTATGAGGAAGTAATAATTATTATCAAATGCTAAACCAATAAATCATACTGCAGTAAATATTACTTAATATTATATATGAAAAATTAAATTTTGTAAGACGCTAATAGAAGATATGGTCGCTAATAGTAGAAGATATGGTGATACTAGTATGACTGAATTACTAACAAGGTTATCTATGATGACTCATGCAAAGTAGAAATTCAATGAATCAAATTTATAATACGATCATCTGATTTTAATAAAATTACATGTTATTTCACGGAGTTACTGTGGAAATGCATGATTTTCACGGTACAGCCATGAAAATCAATGATATCCGCAGTTCGCGAAATAACTATTAATACAAATTATTAAAAAGAAAAAAAGAAAAAAAATATTAAGATTTTTAATCCAATTTTACCTGGAATTTCCTTTTTCCATTTGGTGATATAAAAATCGGTATTACAAAAAAAAGGATAATGATAAACCATTAAATGAATGTAATGGATAAATGTTTAAACTTTATTTTTTAAAGTAATATGTTATTAGTATAAATATTTTTTAGATTTTCATTATTTTAAGGTTAATTAGAAAGATTATGGATAAGAAATTCAATGGAATTTTAATCGTAATATAAGATCGGCATTTTTATTTTGATCTACACTTCCCAATTTTCTTTTCAGATGATTTATTTTAATTAGTATTACAATCGATAAATAAAACATTGCTCGTGTAGGTGCATCTTATAATTCTCATATTCATTCTGTTTTTATTTTTCTTCCAAATGTTTCAGTTCATTCTAAACAGGGTTTTTTGAAGGATTAACAAATCTAAAAATACACGTTGTTAAATTGTATTAAAATGAAATCAAAATATTCCCAAATTTATTTAGCACTAAATTAAAAGCTGAATTTTACTGATATATAAATATAACCACAGTTCCCTCTAATTTCATTATACAAATAATTTATCAATCATGAAATGTATCGTGTTTATTATTGTATTTCTTAATACGTTTTCCAATACCTTTGCTTGGGGTTTTAATTATGATTGCACAGGTATGCTATCTAAGAACGATTTTTGCTCTTGCACAAGATAGCGTGATGATGTTAATAAACCATCTATTTTTTTTTTACTTTAATACTATTTTATCGTAATAAAAGATATTAGCTTTTTAAACATTGAATTTACGTCAAATCATCAGGTCGCAGTGACCGTACATGGCCCACAAAGAGTTTCAAATCCTGGTCATGTCCCTTGTTGTTTGCAACAGGGGCCAATGATCATTGGTAATTATAGATTTTACAAAGATAAAGATAACCTAAAAGACCCGATTGCTACTATTTGGAAAGGCCGTCAATGGATAAATGGTTACTCTGAGAATAATTCCGTAGATCCAAATGATTGCGTATATCGGTCACAAACGGATTGTGACAAAGTTTATCAAGGAGCAATTGAATACAAGCGTGCTGACTATTTTGATCCTTCAATGTTTCCCTCTCCAGGAGAGAGTGTCATAATAGCAATGGATGTATATGCACATTGTGTTTTTGACTCTAGTTATAAAGGGAGTACGTTTTGCTTTCAGGAATGCATAGCCCACAATGGATCATGTCGGCTCCCTTGAAGTATCAGGCTAATTATTTATCTGTTGGGTCAATTTAGAGTCCTTACCATTCCCAGGTTATAACAGCAGCAGCTCCAAAGATATCAGGAATTCAGGAAAACGAAATGATTAATACACCAAAATCAAATGTTACGGTGTGTACAGAAAATTTAAAACCCATCGAACTAACAAAAAGTACGTCCTATATTATAAGTTATACATATATACGAAAACAACGTTAATTTTTTGTATTTATTGACAGGTTCGCCGTCAAAATTTCGTGTACAGTAAGTAGTTTCATAGATTATAATTATCCGTAGAAATAAATGGATTCTTTTATTTTTTGTAATTTGTCTTTTGTTATGTTATAAAATATCTTTTAATTATTTTATTTATTTATTAATATTTTTTATTATGATAATATTTTTTTTAATATTTTTCTTTTTTTTTCAACAAATCTTGTTTATTTCAAATGATAATATTAATTAAAAGATAAGCAGGGTAAATTTTGCTCTTATTAGCTTATCATATATTGTATTTTCATGTTACATTATATCTACGACATAAAAGTACGTAAAAAGTACTTATTTTCAAATAAAAAATTTTTCAAAATTAATTATCACAATGCGTCACACCTTTCTACTATGTTAATTAGGATCGATAAAAAAACTTTTTTTTTTTTCTTTAATATAATAATGTTTCTAACACTAAAATATGTTATTTTCTAGGCGAATACTGCCCTTGTGATAATTACGATAAAAGATAATGTTGATTAGTGATTGGCAAAATACATGGACCCTATACACGGGTTCCCCAAAATCCCGACTGACATATCACGTGACAAATATATGTTATTAGTCACATTCTTGTACTGCGCAACATTGGGATTTAAAGTTTCGTTTGTACCAGATCCTTCGCGCATGATTTGGATAACATATTTATGATTTTTTAGCTAGAATAATAAGTAAAGTACATATTTTATTTTTTTTAAAATTTATTTATTTATTTTTTTNGAAAGGATGGTAAGTTGGGTAGTAAAGTATCTGGATAGTTTATTTCGTTTATATGTACAATTTGTTTTTTTAGAAGTAGATACTTTATTAATATTATGATAATTGTATAAACACCTATCATAATTTAGACGTAATACATCTGCTAATAAAGTATCTACTTCTAAAAAAACAAATTGTACATATAAAACGAAATAAACTATCTATCAAATAACACTAGCATTTACTATTTTTAATTTTAATTTAACTCCTTTTTAATTAAAATTTATGCTAATACCCTTCAAACAGCAGATACTTTACTACCCAACTTACCATCCTTTCTTGTTCTTTTTCTTCGATTTGCTACCCTTTTTACTTTTCCCTCATTGAGCAGATTTTTCTTTTTTCGCTACTACTGTAGGCGTTTTTTCTGATCCGCTCTCTTCATCAGTACCATCACTACTAACAATCCCCCTACTCAATTCTTCTTGATTTCCTCGCTTATGTCCAACTTTTTCGTCTACCAAAATTTTTTCTTTTTTAATTTCAGGCGGTAAACGTGATGAACAAGCTTGATTAACCTTATTGTACAAATCTACCTCCTCTTGAGAAACTGGCACCTCACCAGTTGTACTTTTCTTTCTCACATCCATAATCACATCTATCACCTCGTCCTCAGTCACGTGACCTTTCATAGTTTCACTTTTTCCTAAGCTACGAGATGAAAATGCACCCTTTCTATACCTATTCACTAAATCTACCACTTCTTCCTCATTCACACTTGGCGTAACCTTTGGCGATTTTGACTTCTGTTCATTAATCAACTTTTCGGCATTAGCTTTTTGTATTTCTTTGAACAAAACTTCTGTTTGTCTATCTTTATTTACACTGCTAACACTAAAGTCGATATTATCTATCCTCAAACCCATCATACTAGCTATTTCTCTTGCCGTCTTACTTACATTTTCTTTAAACATTTCTTTTTCCTTCAGCTGATCTTCAATAGCCTTCTCCACAATCTCCATCACCTCTTTTTCCGTGTACTTAAGCTCTGAACTGTTCTCCTTATGGCTACTAATACCCAATGACTCTTTACTATCATCGTTATTGTTCACAAGACGTGAATTATCATTCCTACTGGAAATAAACGTGTTAAAATTTTTTTTCTTTTGAGGAACAATCCAGGCGTCCTGCAAGCCCATACTCAAACTATCTACCACTGCTTTCTCTAATCTATCCAAATTCGCAAAATATGCATATATATATCTCTTTCCTTTAATAAAAATAACCTTAGCATAAAACCATCCTCCTTGTTCCTTATACTTTTCTAAAATATCTGCCTCCGATAAATTTCTCCAGTCTTCTTTAATCTCTTTATAGGCCACAAACTTAAACCTATCTCTAATTTCTGATAATTTCATAGAAGCTGGGAACCATTGGAACCAATAAACTTTATCCTCCATCTTCATATTTATACTATATCTATTTCTCCATTCTGCTTTTTCTTGATCCAGCTTCAAATGGATAGTCAACTTAACCGATTTATACTTGAACTGATTCTTGATAGAAATCTTTTTAACCAGTCCCAAGTTTTTGAAAATCTTAATAATTTGATCCTCTTTCCATCGTGCCGGAATGTCATACACAAGTATCTCAATAATTGGTGTCACCTGATATAATGATGTTCAATCTTATCGATCGGCAGTTGATCAACCTGAATTTCGGTCACACTTTTTTGTCGGTTTGCACCTTTTCTTTTATTGAAATTTTTGGCGCCTGACTTGACCTTTTTAAGCTCTGACCTCGTTGTTTCAACCTCTTGAGATATATTTATTTTTTTTATCCGATCAAAAAAATAATATTAAGAAAGTTTATTTATTTTACTTTTCTTCTTCATAACTTTAGGATTACTAGTATCCACCCGTTTATTACCTTCATTATTTAACCACCTTTTCCGGCTCTTCTACTTTCATCTTTTGGTAGGCGTAAAGAACAAATTCTATTAACATCATGATATTTCTCCCATTCCTCATTTGCTGAGATTCTTACACCTACTGCTCCTGGAATCGATTCCAGGTAATACAAGTTCTCCCGGTTTAATCTTGTCTTCTAACGCGATTTTTTTTCGCCAGTTCCTGTTATTTTAAGGCAGTGCTATACAGTATTATATCAAATACTAAAAAAAATAATGATGTGAATTACATATAATAAATTTATGATATTAAATATATTGTATTGCGAAAGATGAATCTGGAGGAAAATTAGTGACAATCATTAAATAATATAAATGGTTGATAAAATTTATTCAAGTTATAAAGTATGAGGAAGGAATAATTATTATCAAGTGCTAAACCAATAGATCAACACTACAGTAAATATTACTTAAAATTAAATTCTGTAAGACGCTATTAGAAGATATGGTGATACCAGCCCTGTAAAAAAGTCAATCCGTTTATTCCATCTCATTTCCGTAAAAAGCTCATATTTCCAGAATTAATAACCTTATATCACGGAATTTATCGAATTATTTACATTTTCCGTGAATGGATCCGTGAAAGGCTCATTTTTACGGAGTTTGTACAGAAATAACGGATAAAATTTTTTATAGGGCAGTATGAATAAATTTGTAGAATGTACAAAAATCAAAGAATCAAATTTGTGGAATATCATGCATGATTTTCAAGATTTTCACGGCACAGCCATGAAAATCAATGATATCCACAGTTCTCCGTGAAATAACTATTATCTTTTATTTTAACTATTAATTTTCTGAAAAAAATTATTTAAATATACAAATTATTAAAGAAAAAAGAAAAAAAATATTAAAATTTTTGATCCAATTTTACCTGGATTTTCCTGGTGGCTTCTTTTTCCATTAGGTGATATAAAAATTGGTATTACAAAAAAAAAAGGATAATGATAAACCATTACCTATATAAAGCGTGTGCTGCCTAAAATGAATGTAATGGATAAATATTTAAATTTTATTTTTTTTAAAGTAATATGTTATTAATACAAATATTTTTTAGATTTTCATTATTTTCAAGTTAATTAATTAGAAAGATTATGGATAAGAAATTCAATGTCGTAATACAAGATCGGCATTTTTATTGATCTACACTTCCAATTTTCTTTTCAGATGATTTATTTTAATTAGTATTACAATCGATGATCTGAATTTTGCTGATATATAAATATAACCACAGTTCCCTCTAATTCCATTATACAAACAATTTATCAATCATGAAATGTATCGTGTTTATTATTGTATTTCTTAATACGTTCTCCAATACCTTTGCTTGGGTTTTAATTATGATTGCACAGGTAAGCTATCTAAGAACGATTTTTACTCTTGCACAAGATAGCGTGATGTTAACAAACCATCTATTTTTTTTTTTTACTTTAATACTATTTCATCGTAATAAAAGATATTAGCATTTTGGACACTAAATTTACGTCAGATAATAAGGTTTCAGTAACCGTACATGGCCCACAAAGAGTTTCAAATCCTGGTCATGTCCCTTGTTGTTTGCAACAGGGGCCAATGATCATTGGTAATTATATATTTTACAAAGGTAACCCAGAATACCTGATTGCTACTATTTGGGAAGGCCGTAAATGGGTAAATGGTTACTCTGAGGATAATTCCGTAGATCCAAATGTATGATTGCAATTATGAGTCACAAACGGTTTGTGACGAAGTTTATGAAGGAGCAATTGATTACACGCGTGTTGACAATTTTGAACCTTTCTTGTTTCCCGATCCAGGAGAGAGAGTCACACTGTTAATGGATGTATATGTTCATTGTGAATTTGACTCTAGTTATAAAGGGAGAACGTTTTGCCATCAGGGATGCACAATAAATCATACCACAAATTATAATTATCCGTAAAAATAAATGGATTCTTTTATTTTTTGTAATTTGTCTTATGTTATAAAATTCCTTTTAATTATTTTATTTATTTATTAATAATTTTTATTATGATAAATATTTTTTTTTCTTTTAACAAATTTTGTTCATATCAGATGATAACATTAATAGAAAGATAAACGGGGTAAATTTTGCTCTTATTAGCTGTTAGTATTTTATAATATATTATATTTTCATGTTACATTATATCTACATATGACATAAAAGTACGTAAAAGTACTTATTTTCAAATAAAAATTTTTTCAAAATTAATTTATCGCAATGCGTAACACCTTTCTATGTTCTATTCATAAAAACTTAATTAAATTAGGATCGATAAAAAAACTTTTTTTTTCTTTAATATGCTAATAGTAATTTTCTAGGGAATGTTAATCATAGGTCACTGCCGAATACTGCCCTTGTGATAATAACGATAAAAGTTTCATAAAGATAATTTGATTAATGATGGGCAAAATACATGGACCCTATACACGGGTTCCGCCCAAAATCCCGATGAATATATCACGTGACAAATATATGTTATTAGTCACATTCTTGTACTGCGTAACATTGGAATTTTAAAGTTTCGAGATTTTGTACCAGAATTCGCGCATGATTCGGATAATATTTTTTGTTACGAAATACATTTTATTTCTGATTGGCACCAATTACAAATAATGTACTAGTTATACTTTTGTAGTAAAAATTAACTATTGATTAAACTATAATAGATGGGTTTGAAAATTTGTGTAATTCAGAAAGGTTTGCATTTGAAAAATGAAAAAAGTTTACTTTTAATTTATCTATCAATATTATCCTTTCAAAGTGTAGTAGTAATATGGCTTTTTACTCATTTTTAAAATTTTTTTAAAATGGAATAATAAAGAAAAATCAAGCAAAAGAAAATAGGACTTAATAATAAAATATGTTATATTTATATTCATTGATGAGAATTTGATAATTTTGTAAATGGTATATGATATATACATTTTTAATAGAGCCTTCTGAGCAGATGGATATAGGAGGTAATGAACAATTTCTTCTTGTACTGATAAATAAATTAAGCCAGAATTCGAGCTGGCTTGATTAATACATGTGCAAATATCATTTTTGCTTACTGGTTTCAGAGCTCGCGAGCCGGCTCATAGTTGAACGAGCCGAGCTCAATTGATTGCGAGTCACGGCTCGGCTCCCTGGCTCGAAAGCTGGCTTGAGCTAGCACGGCTCAATCGGCTCATGCGGAGCACTAATATTTACCTAATTATAATATTTTTTAGTTTTATGGCTTAATTTTTTTATAATATAATACCTTATAATAAAATTTACATTTATTTAGTTAAGATTCTGTTACCATTCTGTTTCTAGTGATAAGAAATGTTTCTTTCCCTACCTATTTAGTAAAATTTAAAATTTACTAAATACAGTAACTATGTTACAATCAAAGTCATTAAAATCCGTCGTTTTAATTCATATGTTTATCAATACTTTACGACGCCTATATTTCATGAGTTGTAGACATGAATATCTAATAATTTGATCTATTACAATACCACATTTTTTCAATGTTTAATTTAAAAGTTTATAAATGAATTGATTTTGTGATAGATTGTCCATTCTTTTTTTTACAAATGAATATTAACAATGTTTATACAGTGTGATAAAATAATTTTTCCATATATGTCAAAATTACACATCACCTAACTGGCTTAAAATCATCAGTTTATAAGTGTCCGGTTTTGAATGATCTGAATTTTTTTTCTGTTACAAATTATAAAAACCTTAATAGTTTTGTTTAATAAACAGAATAATCCAATAAACGGCATAATAAATTACCTGACAGATGATTTTTAGAAAGTTTTGTCATGCTCGAAATTTTTATGTGAGCAAATTTCAATTTATTATTTTTAAAAAAGTATTGACGCAATTAGCATTCGATTAAACCAAGGAAAACTAAGATATATTTACATGAGCTTTTACATTATAAAATGACAGCGACATAATAATATAAAAACCTAAGATTTTGTTAATAATAATACTAAAAAGTAATACGCAGTACAAGCAATACGCAGTACGCACATTACGCACAACATTACGCAAACTTAATACAAGCCCCCTAAAATTTCAGGGTATAATTATTTATTGATCAATTAAAAAGTCAATAACCAATTGATCTACATAGCGGGACAATGGATAGATGTGATTGGCTAAGTACGTAATGTAAGGTAGCTAAAGCATATAACATTATTTTTTTTATACTTTACGTTACTGTCAACTTTTTCATTTCACTAGTTCAGTTTCTAAAGTTAATTATTTAAGAGTATATTTCCAATATATAGAGGGTATTGATCACATATCACTTCAAGAGATACTTTCAAAATTCTATAAATTAAAAATATTAATAAAAGACACTATTCATGATGACATTCCTTGTCACATTTTTTACATAGATTTATATTTCCATTATATATACTAAACATCATAAATAATTTTTTTTTTAAATTTTGAAACAAACAAATAAAAAAGTCAATCACGTGACTCCGACAATGATCACTGCCCTCCTTATATATTTGATACAAGAAATAATTATGCAATTGTATGTTACATAATTTAAATTAATAATTTTGCTATGTATCACCGAGTAACGTAAGACGTTACGTACCTTATATTATAATGAGTAACACAAGAAAAATATGTGACTTTAAGTTACTCACTTAGTCAATCACTTTCTATATACTCTGATCTACATATTTAACCCTGTGGTACATCATGATATCATCAATTACGTGGCGTGCAACGCAAATGAATATTTAAGCTGTTTTTGGCGAAAAAAATCTTTTTCTTTGTTTTTTTTTTAAAAAAAAAAAAAAAATGTCCAATCTAAATAGTGATGTTCTTTATTTGATATTCGAAGAAATACAGGATGATAAAAATACACTTTATTCATGNAGTGATGTTCTTTATTTGATATTCGAAGAAATACAGGATGATAAAAATACACTTTATTCATGTCTTTTAGTTAACAAACCTTGGTGTGAAACAACTGTTCCAATTTTATGGAAGAATCCTTGGAAAAATTTAAAAGAGAAGAATGAAAAGTTATTATCAAAAGTAATAATATCACATTTATCAAATGTATCAAGAAACAAAATAAGGGAATATAAGTTATTGACCAATTTTTATAAAAAGCTTTCATTTAATTATATTCGTTATTGTAGACATTTAAATTTAGATATAGTTCAAAGAATAATCATTAATAATAATGATATCTATGAAAAAGATAAAAATTTAAATGTTCAAAACGAAGTATTAAATCTTTTAATTAATGAAAATATGAAATATACTCATCTTTATATATACCAAAATTTCGACAGTCAAATACATCTTACTCATGAGGCTAAACGCTGCTTTTCCGAAATTGAATTCCTTAGTTGCAGTACTGGTATAAAGGATAATATTATATCTATATTAACAGAAACATGTAAATCAATTAAGAAATTAGAACTTTTTATTAAGTTAGTGGATAATAATTATGGAATTGTTAAATTTATCGAAGCTCAAACAAAGTTATTTGATGTTGGTTTAATTCGTACTTTCTATTATGATGGAACATTTTACGAAATCCTTGAGAATTCATTAATTAAACATGCAAGTACCATACAATATTTTAAGATTACAAGACGACCCTCAACAAATATTCTTTCATCTTTTATAAATTTAAAGGAATTAGAATTGACTTGTGCTGCACAATGTGTCGCTTCATTGAATTACTTAGAAAATTTATCTTTTCCTTTTTTGCAAGTTTTAAAATCTAATAATATTCCAATTGAAGCTTTAACAAGCTTAATAATGAATACAAAAGGATTTCTTGTTGAAATTAAATTAGATTATATAAGAAATGATAGACATGATGAAATTAGCAATAAAAAACTTATTCAAGTTATTTATCAAAATTGTCCAAATATTAAGTATCTAAAACTAATAATTAGTAATTGTGGCATTTTAGAATTTGAAACATTATTAATTAGTTGTAAGTATTTAAAAGTATTATATCTCATTATTGATGATAATCAATTTGATTGGAATAAGTTATTTGAAATATTATCAAAGTCATCATCAACTAGTTTGTTTAAATTTAAATTATATTCTGATAGCTTACCTAAATTAGAATCCTTTAAGTTATTTTTTGATAATTGGAAGGGAAGACATCCTATGTTTTTACAAATCTTTTCCGATCCAGTAAGTATTGACTCAAGGATGATAGAAAGATATAAAGAAGAAGGTATAATTAAAAAATTTGACTGTATGCATTGGCGGAGAAAAAGAAATGAAGGTTTCGATTGGACTTAATAAGTAAAATTATTTTAAAATATTCATTTGTTAAGTAATCTTCTTTTTTGATATATAAATTATGGGATGCTCTGATAGGATCGTATGGTGAATGGTATAATTGTTGTATTTTAGAGTAAATGTAATAAATTCTATATTTTTTTATAATAAAATTTTATTCTTTTATTTAAGAAATTTTTACCGTTTAATTTGAAGCTGTATTTGAGATTTATGTGTCTCCTAATTTTATTGATTAGTATAAGATTTATTAAAATAAACCATATTTAAATTTTGAATCAATAAATCATGATTTAAAAATTATATGTTATTGTTATAGGCTTATATATTTACTATTCTATAATACTATGTTGTATTTCTCTTAAAAGAAAAAAATATGCTCATATTTACAAAATTTCAATGGAAATTTGTGAAGTATTTTCACTTTAATAATGGTATTATTTAATACAAGGTTATTTTGTAAGGAGAGACGGAATAAATAATAATATAATAGATAATTCTTTACCCAGTTGTCAAATATTTGATAAACATTTCTAATATTGTTTAGTTTAATTTTTTGTCATAAAATATACCAAGAAAAATGCTCATACTTCGTATCTCGTGAAATATTTCTTTAATAAAAAAATTAATTTAAAAATCAGGAAATTTTCTATAAATGTTTTGCGCGTATTAGTGTATAATGTATTATAAAAAAAATTTATGAAAATTTTCTAAGATAAAAGTGTTACGCGCGTATAAATGTATATTTATAAAAAAAAATTTATGAAAATTTTTTCTGAGTGTTATGGTTGTTATGAATTTTACGCGTGTATACAGTACATCGTGAAAAGTCTTGTCCAATGGATTTCGGTGGCTGATTAAACCAATCATATTAAGGAGGGTCTAGGATAAGGACGCTCGAAAATAAATAGCAGAGCCGTCGAAATCACATGAACCGTTAATATCACATGATTCCGATTGTGGCATACAAACAGAATATCCACAACGATTCCCATCAGTCCATTAATGATAAATGTATTTTCCATAGATAATTACGTAATAAACAAGTTCAAACTCGCAGTAAAGTTTGAATACACTATACACTAAATATCCCAATTTACATACGAATTTTTATTAATAAATACATTATTATCCATAAATACACTCTATACACTGTTTTTTTAATTAAATAAATTCATTAAATTATAAATTAATTAAAAAATAAATAAAAAGAAGGAATAACTATTTGTTTCCGATACCCAACGAGCTATTCAGGGAATGGACTTTGACCTTGTGTTCAAAATTTATTTTTCGCCTATATATATTCGTACAAATGAAAAAAAAAATGAAAATGAAAATAAAGGAGTATCGTAGATCACTGATACAAACCTAAAGGGGAAAAGAACAAAAACAAAAACTGTTAAAGGAAAATAAATATTATTAAAAAAAAAACCAATCTTAAAAAGAACCGGAAGGAAGAGGAAATTTTTTTTAAAAAAATTCTGAGCTTAAAATAAAAGAAAAAAATCCGGTTTTTAAAAAACTGGAGAGTGAAAAAAAATAATTAATCTGGTTTTCAAACCCCGTAAAAAGAAAGAAAAAAAATTTCTCGGTCTGTTAAAGAAAACAACCAAAAAAAAAAAAAATTTTTAGTTAATAAGAAACAATGGATAAGTTCGGTTTAACCATGTCCTGAAATGATCGTTTGTTAGTCACACATGACCTCAGTAGCCAATCAAACTACATGGAATAGATCAGGCGCAGACAATTCAAGAGGGTAATAAATTTTTTGTTATATATACAGTATATATTAAAATTTTTTTTCAATTTGGAAATTTTGATCAAAATAATTATTTTCAAAATATGTAAACAATCTATAAATATTTTTCGTTAGTCATTACCATTAATATTTGACTTATTCAAAACGAAAAAAAACACATACCGAAGATGACACAACTCAAATCAAGAAAAAAAGTATTCAGAATATATTTTTTAAGAGTAATTTTCATAAATGAATTATAATTTAATATTTACAATTGTTGTAAAATTTATTTATTTATTATTTTGTAATAGTGAAATTAACATGAACTAGGAAAATGTTAACCGTGACAGATTTCTTGAATGGGTATCGTTTGATAATTTGTAAATATAAACTAGAAAATTTTGTTTTTCATGTAGTTCTTACTGCCCAGTTTCCTCTGTATAATAAAAATAGAAAAAATAAAATGATAATATAACATACATATTTCTAAAAGTGTTTTCTATTGTAAGCACATTTATAAGTTATTGTATCAGATGATCTGTGCTCCTTAGAATACTCTTGTGATTGGCTATAATTAGTGATGCCGGATGACAGACGATACCGATTGGTTTTAACAAAACCAACATTTGTTGAAATAGTTTTTTTTAGCTTATTTTCATATCATGTTAGTAAGATTAGTTATATAATAATAATTTGCATTATCTAATGAAAATTTTCAATATTATCAATTTTTTTTTAAAAAAAAAATTAATTTAGGAAATTTAAATAAATTTATTTAATCAATATTTGATCAAATTATAAACTAATATGATATTACTGTATAAAAAATTATTTAGCATCATTTCTTTCTAATAATTTTTCCAACTTAACTAATATTTCACAATGAGATTTTTCTAATGTTTCCAACTTACCTAATATTTCCAACTTATCTGATTTCTCTGATTTCTCACAATAAGATTTTCCTAATGTTTCCAACTTATCTAATTTCTCTAATTTCTCTTCTAATTTCTCTAACTTATCTAATTTCTCTAATTTCTCTTCTAATTTCTCTAACTTATCTAATTTCTCATCATTAGATTTTACTTTCTCCAATATTACCCTATTGTCATTAAGATTATGTTTAATTTGAAGTTGTTTTAATAAACTTTCCTGCATCTCTGAAAATTCCTTAGTATCACATTCACCCTCTTTAATTAATCTTTCAATTTCTATCCGAGTCTTATCAGTATCAGCATAATAATGTCTTGAAAAATAAATTTGATTAGTAATTAATAAAATCATGACATTATATATATTTTTTTTTTAAAAGAAAAAGTAAAATTACATACATTACTTCAGGAAACCATGCCTGCCAACGTCTCTGATGTGGTAATAGGTAAAATAACTCAATCTCAGCCAAAATCTTTAAAAAGTAAAAATTGATAAATATCAGTATATTCAGTATATTTATAGAAAATAGAATGATCAATATTAATATTATTTACTTCTGCCTTCTGTATCAAATATGAGACTCTATTATTATCTTCTTCAATTGCAATATTGAGCAATCCAATTAACAAGTTCATAAGATATACAACAATCAAGAGGGAAAATAAAACAATCAATATTGCAATTGATGGATTATCTGCATATGACCAATTGGATAATGCACTTGAATCACCTATTGATAAGAAAGAAGAATTGCTTAAAAATATTAGAAAATACTTATACTGTATATAATTATGAAAGATTTAAATATACTGTACCTGCTAAAAATAAATATATAGCAAAAAGAGAAGTTCTAATATCTATAAACATGTTTGTATTTTTATCAGGCATTTGAATCATAAATGGGTTAGAGTTTATATTTCCATCATTATCAATTACTTGATTATAACTAGGAGCTAAATTCCAAGGATTATTCGGATCATCATTATTTGTATGTTGTTTAAGTGAAAATTCAGATTTTGGTGATAATAAAATATAAAATGCATGTGCAAAACTTATTATAATAATGAATATGACTAATAAAAAGAAAAAATCTTTTTTCCAACACTGATAATAATTGCAAAATATACACCAAAATATTCAAATGCTCTAAAAAATAACAAAAACTTTATATCCAAAAATAAGCATGAAAAAGAAAGCAATTGAATTAAATAATTATTGTTCTTATCATTTGTTTGAAGCCAATAAATAGAAGTATAAATTGAAAGTACATAAGCAATTATATCTGAAATATTAAAATATTATATAATTAATTAATTTCATTTTCTTAAATATTGTAAATATATAAATTAAACATTTATATTACCAAAAATATTCCAAAAATTATAGAACCACTTAATAATATTATAAAAAAATTGACGAATTTCAAAAATCAGATGAATAAATCCAAGTATAATCGAAGCAATGAAAAGTTGTTGTCTAACTTCTTCATTAATATATTGCTGAGATATTGTTGCAGCAGCAGTAAAGCATCCAAGTAAAGCCATAAATAAAATCCAAATCATTGCATAATAATGTTTTCCATAAGCGTTCCATTTAAAATTAATTAATACTTCACCATTCCATGTTTTATAGATATTTCTATTTATTGATTTAGTAAATGGACTAGGTTGAGGTCTAATTAATTCTAAGAACAAATTATAATCTTTTGAATAATTAACAAAATTAATATAAGGAATCATAAAAGTAATTGTTGGTGTTGTTATATTTTTTTGAAAGTCGTAATTAAATTCTTTAACAGTAAAAAAATAAGCCAAAGAAAATACATCTGGAGTGTAAATATCATTAATAAAATTGTATTTTGATAAAATATAAATGTAGCCAAATAAAGGGGTAAAGTTAAAAGTATTATTAAAGCTTGAATAGCATAATATATAATTAATAAAATAAATAATAAATATGTTTCACGATCAAATTTATAAAGTTCATGATAGTATTTTGTCCATAAAAGAGATTTCGATAAATTAGCTAATTGAGGAGATTGAAAATAAGAATAAAGATGCAAATTGTTATTTTGACGTTCTATACTATAAAAAGAAGAATCTATTATCATATTTGTTTCTGATGAATATTTTAGAATATATTCTGGATAATATTCATCTAGTAATGGCATTGCAGAAGTGATAATACTTAAAAATGACTTATTGTTCATTGGATCCTCTTTAAAATAAGCCATACATTTTTTATAAATATCATCAATTAATTCTAGCTTATGTTCTTTAATCGCAAATTTTAATAATTCAACTCCATATTTCAAAAGACTTGACTTATTATTTATTACATCTGAAACCCATCCATTTAACCTAAAACTATCATAATTTGGTAATGGTAAAGTAGATTTTGAAAATATTCTTTTGTTATGTTGAAGTATTTCCATAATTTTTTTTTTATCATCTTTGAAATTCATAAAATAAAAATAGTTTAAAGAAATAGATTTGTTATTTTCATTAAAAGTATAAATAAGAATACCAAATGTCGTCAATATAACAATATCATTATTATTAAATAATGAGCTCGCAATTAAATCATAACCATCAAATGTATAAGGATTATTTTCAATTCTCGTGCTAATTAATTCCCATTTAGTATTAATTTTTTTGAAAACTTCTAGTTTAATTTTACCTATATCAGAATATATTTCCCAATTAATTAAATTTTCAATTGATTCAGTTAATTCTTTTTTACAACCGCATCCAATGGCTCTTTGAAATAATGTAGATACAGTATCCATGTATGGATTAAATGAATGAACATTTAAGTGATTGTAAGTTTTCTTGTCATCATCATCACATTCAATAACTTTAGTTTTTGACATATTTTCGTAAAATTTAGATTTCCAAACACGTTCATTTAGAATTCCAAACACAAACTTTGTTTGTTCGTCAGTTGGTGCATCAGTTGATTCATCAGTTGATTCATCAGTTGATTCATCAGTTGGTTCATCAGTTGGTTCATCAAATAAAGTTTGATTATACCTATTTTTGTATTTACTATTCCAACAATATTTGATTTCTTTATCTGGTGTATAATAGAATAAAGAAGGTAAAAGAAATAAACCAGTACGATTCATAAAGTTATATAATTGGATATCTAAATAAAAAAATAATGAGTAAATAATTAAAGTATAAATAAAATGATAAAAATGGGTACCATCATTTATATCCAAAGAAGCAATAGTAATTCCCAATTCGATTGAATAAACGATGATTTTATCATTGACTTTTAAAATATTAAACTTTTCATTACTGAATATTCCAATATTTCTCGTTTCAATCTAATAAATAAATAATATTCAATATATTTAATTATAATTTAACATCAATTGGTTTGAAAATAATTTATAATATTTATTACCTTATTCTTATCCTTATTATTAACAAATATTTTTACACTTTTTTCAGTATTAATATTCCATTCACAAATGTAATCATTTGAAACCAGGTAAACTTTATCATATTTTGATATACTAATTAATTCATAATCTTCAGGTATCCTGTAAAATCTCTTACATTCCCATTTGTTATTTTTAGTTTGTGTGGAATAAATCCAAATCATTTTATGGTTTTCATAAGTATAAAAATTTCTAACTTCACTATATAAAATAAATTCACCTTTTAAGTTAAAGGTACAATACCTTGGATAAACATTTACACCAAAACTTAATGCAATTTTTTTATCTTTATTATTCATATCGAATGTATCGATTATATTTCTGTCTACAAAAAAAAATATTAAAATTAATATCAATTAACATAAGTTTATAATTACATAATATTACTTACTATCTATACTAGATTCAATATAAGCAATATAAGCAAGTTTCTTATCATCAGAAACACATAAATTTGTGATTTCATATCTAATATCTTTATTAATTTTAACAGTTTGATCAAATTTAAGTTGAACCTTATCTTTATCTTCAACATTCCAACCGACAAATGATTCATCTTCTTTACTATAAGTAATAAGGAATTTTTCATTTGGTGATATTTCTATCAAAGTAATAGGTTTACCATTATGTAGTTCATTATCGGAGGTAAATATTTTATCATCATTTTTATCAACATCGATTTTATCAACATCGATTTTGTCAGCATCATCGTTAATTTCGATTACTAAAATATCACTCATTTGGTAATTGCTTATAAATATATAAATTTATTGCCAAAGAAATTGATTTTTTTTTTTTATCGTCCGTTTGCGATTATATATTTTTTATTATTTGAAACACGTGTGTAAATATGCATTTCAGCCTCTTGCATAAAAAAAAATTTTTTTATTGTGAAAATTTAATCGAGTTTTTTTATTTTTGAAACACATACGTAAATATGTACGTAAAATTTCAGCCTCTTGCATAAAAAAAAAAATTTTTTTTATTAATTGAGCAATGATCATCTTTCGAAATAAAAAAAATTTTTCATTGTGGATCAAATTTTATTTTTTTTTGTAAGTGGTTGTACATACAGTATATATAAGGAAATCTCAAATGAAAATATGTTTTCTTTAAAAATGACAAATCTGTTTATTTATTTATTTTTAAACTATAATATAAAACATAAAAGAACTTATAGTAGTCTTGCATTAAAATACTGAGATCAGCATCATAAGAAAAATCCTTATTAGGAAAATGTGGTTTTGTTACAAAGATCGTCGGTCCGTGTGATAATAGGGAACACACGGATTTCTAATTGTCCGACGTTTCTGTAACTTATATTAATATAACTTAAACTTAATATGTAAAAGATAACTTATATCAAATTTAGATAATTATAAATATCGCCAGTAATCGATTAAGAAGAAGAACGAATGGATTTAGGATTAGTTTAATGATCAGCATATAATGCTCCTGGTAAACAGTAAACTACTATAACTATTATAACTATTATAATAAAAAAAATATATAAATTTCATTTATATTTTATTATTATTTTATTTTGTCAATGTAAAATCATTCCACACACAGCCTATGCATGTTAAATTAGCCCGCGTGAAACGCGGGCATCAGGCTAGTTATAATAAAAAAATTCATGTCGATCAGTAACGTATAGATTACCCGTATAAATAATCTTTGATTATGTTGTGCCTGCGCCTGATTTGTCCCGTGATTGTATAATTGAAAGTTGTTGATTGGCGGATTACTATTTCTTAGACAAAATTTGAGAGATGTTTATAGTTGTTATGAGGTATATGAAGGTCATTATATAAAGAAATGTATTTTTCTTTATTTTTTTTTACGGCTAACGCAGGACATAATACAACTGCGGTTGATCTTATAAAAAAAAAATTTAAATTTATTATATATATTAGTATACGAACATACTGAGACATAAGCTCACATTTGATTACTAATATTTATTTTAGTTCATTTTGCATTAGTAGATATTTAACTTATTTAGTTAATAAAAATTTTTTTTACAATAGATCGATAATTTTTTTTTTTTTTGACAATTGGTAAAAAAAAAAATTTTTTTTTTTGTCTGCTTGATCGGCAAGTCAATTCCCGGTTAATGAAATTTTCGAACCAATTTAAATTTTTTCGGTTCCCCTTTGTTTTTTTTCTTGAACCGATCTTTTACTTTCGGTTCTTTCTTTTTTTTCAAATTTCCTCTTTTTTCTTTCGAAACACCTTTTTCTTTTCTTTTTTCTTTTTCTTTTTTCCCGAATACATTCTTTCGCTTGATTCGATGCTGCGGCGCCACGGCGATTACCTTTTTTTTATAATTAAGGTTTAATAATTTATAATTTTAGTATCAGAAGAGTAATGATTTACAATAAAAACTTTTTTACAATATCCGATTCTTATTATTAATAATAATAATATTTTTTAGGCTGTANTTTTTCGGTCTTTTTGGACCGAATTATTATTTATTTCAGAATTTTTTCGGTACTTTTTAAACCCGATTTCTTTCTTTTTCCTTTACGGTTTCTTTTTCAAATTTTTTTTGTCGGTTTTATTTTTCAAATTTTTTTTTATTTTTATTTTATATTTTTTCCCGAATACATTCTTTCGCTTGATTCGATGCTGCGGCGCCACGGCGATTACCTTTTTTTTATAATTAAGGTTTAATAATTTATAATTTTAGTATCAGAAGAGTAATGATTTACAATAAAAACTTTTTTACAATATCCGATTCTTATTATTAATAATAATAATATTTTTTAGGCTGTATCAAACTCAATAATAGACTAACATAATTACTTATTCATTTATTTTTTATAATAAAGGGAATTTTTTTTTTTTTCATGACAATAGAAGTTTTTCGGAATTTTTTCATATTAATTAGTGAGATAACTTTTTTTCTATAACAATAGATTGCTATAATGAATTTTAGTTCTTTGAGATATAATAACAATATATATGTATTTTTTTCAGCAGAGGATGTAAAATTTTTTTAATGCTACAATGAAATTTTTTTAGATAAAAAAAATTTTTTTTGTAACAATGTAACAATGAACTACTTATACAAAATTATCTTTGTAAATGTATAAATATTAAATCATAAATTCACAGTACTGCAACATTTTGTTTCGTGTTAAATAAAATTTGCATTTAATAATAATATTTCATACACTGTATAACACTTGCACACAATTCATTGTTATTTGTATAATCATGTATACGATGATATTTAGTATAAAATTAACTGTATGTGATAAATCATTATAGGATAATAACTTTGTCAAGATAATAACCAAAATTTGGATTGTTGGGAATGAGCTTTCGAGATTATGTTTATTGGTCGGATGAACGATCTTCGGGATTTTGATTGGATACCGAAACAAAGTAAGCTAATTGAAAAAAATATTAAATTTTATGTAAATAATTTTTTATCCGGTACCACGTCAAAAATCGTGTATCAGGCATCAAAAATCGCAAAATTTCAAATCACGTGATACAGTATAATTCACGCCGATTGCCGAATGACTATTACTAATTATCAAACACGAATCTTGAAAATTATCAGTTTTTATCTTCGTATCTCACTTTGCAAGGCACTATTTATTATTTATAATTAGAAATTCAATATAAATAACTAACGATAATAATATATATAGAATTTAAATTGACATAATACATAATTAGAATAAACTATCTAGTACCTCATTAAAGAAATAATGGATAATGTTTTATTTAGATCTCATGTATTTCAAATTCTATTTTATATCCCTAGAATAATGAAATATCTGCGATAATGGAAAAAAGTTGGTTATTATATATACTGTAATAATAATTAATACTTATAAAATTAATATAGTTATAGTATACAGTAAATTGAAAATACATTTATATACTAACAAATATTATCATTTTATACAAATTATAATAGCATTCCAAAAATATATTGGTTCATCAAAGTTATATCATCAAATTGACTGACCTTGAATGATAGACATCATTCTATTATTTTCAATGTTAACCCAAAATATAATGGAACGAAAATATGTTAAATGGATGGAGTGATGTTTATAGTATTGGCGTATTCAATCGTATTGTTCCAGTAGTTAACAACATTTTTATAGTGAAAGCGTAGCATTTAGTATTGATTTGATCTGCGAGGTCCTACTAGAGAAATCCTGTTCCTGCTTACGTTAAGCTCTATACAAGCAAATATATACAAATATCTATATACTGTATTTAAATGTATTATTGATGTTTAATCTTATGCTTGTAAGTTTTTTTTTGAAATATTGGGATGGAAACCAACTTTTCGTTCAACATGAGTAAAGTAGTTGATCAATTGAAAGAAATTATATCTTCAATTGAAAAAGTGATTTGTATAATATTGTACATGAATCAGAAAAAAAACCCTAATGTTCCCAATAAGTGGGTAATCCCTCTGGAGCGTGTCACTCATTAAATATTAACTATTTTAAACTAAAATTAATAATTTCTCAGCTATCTATATGACGCCGAGAAATAAGTAAACGAAGATGCCCGTCATTTATAAACTCAGCTAATCACTCGCAATTTTTAAAAATTAGTATGAAGATGATTATGAATGACATTTAGTGCAGGGAATTATTTCACTAATTCCTTCATTTTCGTCATGGTCTTCAAAAAATTATATATGTTAAAGAAACAAATTTATGTGGTTAGTACCTTTCCTTTTATATTTATTTTTTATCACAATGCACGTATTTTATTTTCTTTAAAACGAACTAAATTTAGAAGTTCATCAGATGAAGTTTGGGCACGTGATGAAACAAAATCACACGAAGCATGAACTAGTTATTTGGAGTTTCAATTTACAATAGAATTTATAGTTTTGTATTTATTTATGTTTTTACTCTATTTTAACGTCATTTATCAGAATGAAAAAAAAGTAAAATAAAAAATAATTAATTTTACATAATATTTATTACTGTTCAAGATATGGAAAAGCGTACAATTTAAATGTAACGAGGTGCGATCTTTAATAACATAATAACGATAATTAATAGTAATACTCTGATAAAATTCCATAATTTTGATTAATTATGTTATAATAAAGTTTAATAAAAATTTCACTTCTTTTTCCATTTAAATATTATAAAAAAAATGCGCTGAATTTTATTAAATAGAACAACATTACTTATTTTTCAACATCTTTCCTCGTATATATTATTTATCCTTTCTTAAGACAGGATGGACGTTATGGATTTTAGGGGTATTTTTATTTATCACCTGGCTACTAATTGGTATTTAGGATTTTTTCCGCCAGTTATAAACTGGCGGACCAATTAGTATGTCTAGGATGATAAAAAAGTTATTTACTGATCTAGTATATAAATGGGTCATCATCCTTCGGATGATAACCCATTGATATACTACTAGATCAGTAAATAACTAATACTTATCCTTTTATAAGACAGGATGGACGTTATGGATTTTAGGGTATTTTTATTTTGATCAAATCTTATAATTTTGAGGGATATGATTTTAAAGGCCCAATTTCTTAATTTGATTTTTGATCCTTTTTTTTTCGGACCGTAAATTTTCCGATTCATTGATCTGCATTATAAAAACTTTAATACTATATTTATTCCTGTGATACATTGTGTCGTAATGTGCAACGCAAATAAATATTTAAATGGTATTGGCTGAAAAAATACCTTTTTTTTTAAAAAAAAAAAAATGTCCAATTTAAACAGTGATGTTCTTTATTTGATATTCAAACAAATACAAGATGATAAAATTCTTCGTTTATGCCTTTTAGTCAATAAAACTTGGTGTGAAACAGTTGCTCCAATTTTATGGAAAAATCCTTGGAAATATTTAAAAGAGTGGAACGGAAAGTTATTTTTAAATGTAATCATTTCACATTTATCAGAAATATCAAGAAACAAAATAGGTGAACATAAATTATTCAAAAATATTTATAAAAAGCCTTCATTAAATTATATTAGTTATTTTAAATATTTAAATTTAGATGAAATTCAAAAAGTAATTAATTTAAATATCATGGAAAAATCTAAATTATTAATTCAAAATGAAATATTTAATATTTTTATTAATGAAAATATGAGATTTACTCACCTTTATGCACATAAAAAATTTGATAATCAAATAAAGTTTATTTATGGATCTGAACTTTGTTTTTCTGAAATTGAATACCTTAGTTGTAGTACTAGTATAAATGATAGTATTATGTCAAAATTAACAGAAGCATGTAATACAATTAAGCAATTGGAGCTTTTTATTGGAATGGAAAATAATAATTGTGGAATTATTGAATTAATTGGGGCTCAAAAAAAATTATTAAAGATTGATTTAACTAGTCATACATATGGCAATGAATTATTTTGTAAAAATCTTGAAAATTCTTTGATTAAACATGCAAATACCATACAATATTGTAAGATTTGTAGACAACCTTCAACTAATTTTCTTGCATCTTTTATAAACTTAAAAGAATTAGAATTGGGTTGTGATATACGAGTCTTTACTTCATGGAATTTTTTAGGAAGTTTATCTTTTCCCTTTTTACAAATTTTAAAATCTAGTGGTGTGCCAATTGAAGCCTTAATAAGATTAATTAAAAATACACGCGGATCTCTTATTGAAATTAAAATAGATCGTGTAAGACATGATGAAATTAGTAATAAAAGACTCATCCAAGTTATTTATCAAAAATGTCCAAATATCAAGTATCTTAAACTATTGATTAGAAATTCCAACATCCTAGAATTAGAATCTTTGTTGATTAATTGTAAGCATTTAGATGGATTATTTATCCTTATTAGTCATGTTCAAGATCGTACATTTCTTTGGCCTAAATTGTTTGATATATTATCTAAATCATCATCATCCAGTTTATTTAAATTCAAGTTTAATTCTAATAGGTTACCTCAAATGAAAACCTTTAAGTTATTTTTTGATAATTGGAAAGGAAGAAATCCTATGTTTTTACAAATCCTTTCTTATGATGCAATTATTGATTTGGGGATAATCATAGAAAGATATAAGTCAGAAGGAATAATTGAAAAATTTGAATATAATTGTCAGAACCATAAAATTGAAGATTTTGAATGGAATTAATAAGTTTAAAATTTTATACTATATTTAAGAAATTCTCTCTTTTTTTTGAAATATTTTTATGATACTTTACAGGTGGATAGTATTATTTCTGTACTTTAAATGTAATAACATTCATATTTTATAATAAAATTTCATATTTTATAACTATATTTAAAGGATATTTAAGAAATTCTCTCTTTTTTGAAATTTTTTTATTACAAAATTATTGGTACTTTACAGGTGGATAGTAACATAGTATTATTACTGTACTTTAAATGTAATAAAATTCGTATTTTATAATAAAATTTCATATCTTTATAATAAAGTGTTTGATTTTAAGTGTCTCTTAATTTTATTGCCAACATAAAAAAAAATATATTCAAAAACACCTAGTTACACTCAGATAAATGTCAAATTATTACTTCGAAACTATCGTATAATTAATTGTCTTCTCATTATGAAAAAAAATATGACGAATTTATATTCAGGAGTCAGGACGAGCTATCTCACTATAGGTGAACTGCCTACATTTTTAAGAAGACTTAAGAATTAACACTATTAAGCACATTATAATTAATAGAGAATATTGGGTTAAACATTGGTATAATACGGATTATGTTTATTGTTATAATCAGGTTACTTTACAAATCAATTTTAATTTCTGGATCATTTTCAATCTAAATAAAATTGGACTATTCTCAAAATTTATTCAAAATATTACTGAAATTTTCTGTTATACTACTAAATTCTTAAACTTCGACTAAAGCATCATTCAAGAATGTTTTCAATGATATTCGGGACACCTTATAAATATCTGGAGCGTTGAATAAAAAATTTTTTATACTAGGGACTTATTTTACCTTAATATACCAACCATTTTAACCATTTTATTACCAAAAAATTTCACGCCTTTTCACTATTTCTAAAAGACTTAACATATAAATTTCCGCAAGTACTAAAAAGTAATACTATTTGATAATAAAAATTAATTGGATTAAAAGTTATGAAGATTATTCAAATTAAATAAAAAATAAGTGTACTCACTTCATGTTGAGAATTATGATTTTTAACAAAATTATGTGATAATTCATGACAAAACATCATGTACCAATAAGTCATAGCATTAGTCGTAGGTTTAGTTTTACATTCTTCATCATGTAATCCAAGATAAAATCTTAAATTGAAAAATAATATTCTATCACGATTGAACGCAATTGTGTTTGAATTATTATCATAAAATATGTGAATATTTTCTGGTGAAAGTTTAAAAACCTCTGCAAGATCTCTCAGCATAGTTACAAATCGGTTTAATGAGGCAGTGAGTGCTTGAGAGATTTCTGATTGATCCAATCCACTAGGCAAGTACAATTCAATTTCTTGCAATTTTCCAACATTATACAATAAATGATCTAAATAAAAATAAGAGTAAATCATAATTTAAGAATAAATACAATCCGTTAATAGCATAATATTATATAATAAGTTTACCTGGTATAATTTCACAATAATCTATTTGATTTCCATTGATAATTTTTACATTAACTGGATAATAAGTAAAAGCTTCATTTTTATTGGCATCATCATCCACTAGATTGTTATCAGTATCCATTTGTTCGTTATCAATATCCATTTGTTTGTTATCAATATCCGTTTGTTTGTTGGTAAAATTAGATTGACTAATAACAATATCTTTTGAATTGGAGTAACAGTCATTTATAGCATTTTGTAAAGAATTTCTTAGAAGCTGAGTAGTTTCAAAAGTTATAACTGTTTTCTGATTTGTTAATGTGATAATCTCGCTATATATTCCAGGATAAAATGAAGCTGAATATGATGTTGATGAGTATGGCATATTATTTGCTTCTGAATATTGTGAATCTTCATTAGCTACCATTTGATCAACAATATACTGTAAGTTAGACTGTTTTAATATACGATCAACCGGATACCCCATTTCTTTTAAATTTGATAAAGGAGTTATTAAAAGCATATTAAGATATGCAATATCTTTCCAGTTATAAAATTTGTAAATATATTTAACTAGATGTTGTGAAATACTAAGAATATTTGAACTAGTAGTTATATAAAGAGTCCATAAATTCTTTTCATCTTGAAGAATACTAGTATTATTTTTTTTAATATGATCAATATTTTCTAATGTATAACTCGTTTCTACGTAATCAATCTCTCTAACTTTTATATTTTTAAGCCATTCTTCATCTCTTTCAATCTCAGGTTTAGAATAATTATGATAGAATAGACTTGACCTTTCTGCAATTAGTTCTTTAAAATATTGAGACCTTTCAGTTTCTCGAATAGTGCCTTTTGGGGTTGAGGTCTCTTTCACAGACTTTTTTAATGATTTACACCCTAACATCTATATAATGAAAAATAAACGAGATATATCAAATTCAATTAATATAATGGCATAAATACAAGTTCATACCTTGTACAAAAATTCCAGGTCATTTTCTTCTGGAGCTGTTAATGGATTAAAAATTTGTTGGTATATAATATTATCATTTATAAAAATATCTTTTGCTGAAGCTAATTGAGAACGGTTAAATTCCTTGTTATCACCAGAAGTTGAGTGGCATTCTTTCTTTATAGCTACTAAAATAGATGCTTCTTTCATTGCTGCAACTAAATTTGGCTTACGAGCTATGGTACCAATATGCTTAAAATCAATGGCAATTTTTCTTAAAATAGATAAATAACTATCTACATTATTTCCAATCGAATTCCACAATTTATGTGATGATTTTACCAATAATTCAGCATAATCTATTAAAGTTGGTTCTTTTTTAACACCACAACTTAACAGAAATCTGTTGGCAATATCTCCAAAATTGACATATAAAAAGAAATCTTTTAATCTAAAAATAAAAGGTATTATTTTTAAAGTTTTATAAAAATAAGTGAAATTATAAAATAGATTTTACATACATTTCATCTTGAGTTGTTAAATAACAACTACATGGACTGGCAAGTGGTTGAGTTTCATTTTTAATTGGAATGAATTTGAAATTAGAAAGCATTTTCAAATCGGAATCAGTAAAGTGTGTTTGTTGTGATGCTAAATACTCAAATATTTTCTTTGCATTATACTCATCTTGTGGTGGATCTTGAGTTAACCTATTTAAAAGTTTTTCCCGGTTAGGATTCTGACTAACACCAAGCTTTCCTACTTGAAATCGTAAATCTTGGCGTATAACTCGGAATTCCATTATCTTGCATTCAGGATTAATGAAACATTCTGAAGGTTTTGCATAAATTTCTGGATCTGAGCAAGGTAAAAATGCAACGCCTACTTTCGCTGGGTCATAATCTTTGAAATATTTATCTCCAAAATTATCAATAAAATATTTTAGAGCTTCGCTACGAATTTTAGAATCAGTTGAAGGTGCTGCTAATTCCAGAATTTTCCCAAGTTTTGGATATTCTTGTAAACCCAACAAAATTAAAAATTTTCCTACAAATTTAAGAATGATACGCACAAAATTTTTTAATTATTGATAATATTAATAATAAATAAATTTATAAATATACTGTATAAATGGAAATAAGTATTACCTTCTTGAGTATTATGAGACCATCTTCCTTTCAAACTAATCACTGGTAATCCAAATTTACGGTATAATGGTTTAGGTATATACAAATCTCTAGCAATAAAACGTTGTTTTGGTTTCATTTCTTCACATCCATTGCTATTACTATTACTACTACCATTTGGCTTTGATTCGGTTAAATCTTCCTTAGGCCAAATAGGTCTGTTTTTTAATATCTTTATTTCTTCTTCCTCAAGATCATTTTGTATTGAAGCTAAATATTTTAAAAGTTGCATATGATCAAAATCTCCCTGGCCATTAAGATGATTAAAAATGAGTCCTAATTCAACAACCTATAAGTAAATTTAAAAATTATGCTTAGTCGTTTAAATATTAAATATTAATTAGGAAAAAAACTTATTGATTACCTTTCGAACACCGAAAAGCTCCATTAAATTCTTAACGCTCAAAGGTTTCTCAAAATCGATCGTTGGTAAGCTGGGAAATAGATTAACATTTTCAAAATAAGCTTCATTGGGAAACTTCATTCCTAAACTAGTCGGAATACATTTCTTTTGAACAAATAACTGACGAATAATTTCCTTATTTTCTTTTGAAGTATTATTTAAATTTTTTGTTAAAATTTGGTGAACTTTCTTAGCAAATGTAGGGTCACTTTCTAAATTAGGTTTATTGACAATAAACTTCGCCCAATCAACCAAAGCTAGTTCTGACCACCCAAGCCACTTTTTTAGATCCTGAATTTCTAAATTTTTAGAAATAGTAAACGGGAACACTTCATCTGGAACATCAACATTTGGAGGAATTATACCTGGATTTAAGAAATAACGAAATGTATTCAAAGGCCTATTACCAATACGTGCAAGTCGCATGAACTCAACAGTAGGATCAACAGTAATAGCATACATTGGTTTTTTAGATTTAGTAACTTTTTTATCTTCTGTACGATTATTTTCCTTTGTTTTGTAAGAAATCCACCATTTCAAAAGTTTAACCATTTCATCTTCAGAAAGGGTTCGGTTTTTCAATTCATATAAAACATCTTGAGGAGTCAACTCTATTATAAGTTTCATTGTATTTTTTGCTTTCTTGAAAAATGAATCACATTGTTCCAATATAATTTCAGGAACAAGTGGAATTATTTTAATGAACCCTACCATTTCTGAATTAGGTATGCGAACATCAGATATTGGAAGGACCCCATTCGTTGATAAAATCGACAGTTTTTCTTTCAAACAATTAAAAAATTGTAATTCCTTTATTTTGCCGACTTGCTCATTTGGTGTGCTTGGATTAAATGTAAAGTGCGCTAAAGCATGTGCTGCCCGTTTCTCAAGCAATTCTCGAATAGATTTTATATCTTCTTCTTTAGTTACGCTGATAATCTCATTATATATTCGTTTCATTTGATCCATCTCATCTTCATACAAAATTCTACATAACTTTCCTGCTAAACACAACATCTCACCATTATATTCAGCTAACGTTTTATTTGCTAAATCAATTGACTCTCGTTCCATCTAAATAGTATAAACCTTTAATCAGTAAATTAAATAAAGAAAGGACATATCATAAATAAACCTTCAAAGTATACATACAGTAGGAATTACACGTGCTGCTAAATGAGAACAACATCCGGTAGTTTGTTGAGTTGAGAAACCAATATACAATCTTCCTTGATTTGGATATCTAAATAAATCTTTAAAGACCGGAGAAACACTTTTACTAGATGAATTATGTTCATCAAATCCAGTAAAAATCATTTGGATAATTGTCTTATTTGGTGGTTTCTTTTTAACAATTCGTTCCATTTCGGCAGAGAATGCATCACTGACTTTAACATCCAAATTTCCACTAGCAATTCTAAAAAATATTGATGATTTCTCTGATTGATATTTAGCGTCTAGTTGGACATCCCTAACATCTACCGAGGTAAGATGAAATAACTTTTGTGGAGAGAACACATCGTACTCAGATGTGATGTTCATAAATTTCGGTTCTTGCATTTTCTTTGATAGTTGTATGGGCATTGCGTCATTAAAATATACTGATATATCCTGGAGATTTACTGTAAACACCTGTTATTATTTTATGAAAAAAAATTATATATGAATATACATTATATAACTAGGAAACGGAACCGAGATAAAACTAAAATTTGACTGACGACCACGTGAGGGACAGAAAAACACTCGTGACCACAAATTTTTCACGTGCGTAGTCCTTCGGACAATCATATTATATGAATAAGTAATATACCAGTGAGTTGGCCAAAAATCGTGCGAATTCTTCAACGTCTGGTAACTAATTATTATAAAAAAAAAGTGACATACTAAATATTAATAGTGTTATTTGCAAAATTTCAACAGTTTTGAATGTATATTTACCTCTATAGGTACTCTTGTATCCATTAAAAACGTTGTCCAACCTTTGTCTTTATCTTCAATAGGCCCCTGTTTTGTAAATAATTGGTTTTCACGCCAATAGAAAGCCATACCTTGTCCACCAGAAGAGACACTATCAAACAAAACGTGAATTAATATTCATTAATGGTCGTACTGTAATTAATAAAAGATTAAGTAAATCATTACTTACAATGGATTTTCGCAAAATGAAAACAATGAATAAAAGCCAACGCCAAAAGCTCCTATCTATTAACGATATTAAAGTAAAGTTAAAGATAAAATCAAGTTCAATAGAGATAAATCAAGTTCAAAAAAAATATGGCGCGCAGTATACAATAAAAATACAATACTTTTTGCTCATCTGGATTTCCCTCGGCAATAGTCTTTAATCGATTCCAATCCTCAAGTCTAAAAGCGAAACCATTATTTTTGAATAGAATTCGTGTAACTTTATTATTTGCCGTTTCAAATACAATCTGGACACATGAAGATTTCGCGTCATCTTAACGTTAACGTACAGTACAAAGATATTAATCTTCCATCACATTATAAATTAAAAAAAAAATAAAATGATAAATTTTTACCAGAATTTTGCATTAACTCTCGATATACTACATATTCTGAAGAATACCTAATTCAAAAAAGATTTTTTTTTTTTTTTTTAGAAAAAATTTCAAACGAATATAAAGTTATTAAGAGCTAACTAAAAAATTATACCGAGCTAAAACCTTATCAACCAAAAGTCTTTGATTGACTTTGACGCTTTCCTCGTTAAAATTTGAAAGAATTTGATCTCTAAGATCGTCCAAGGACATTTTGAATATTTTGGCAAATAAATATATAAATAATTTTGAAAAAGTTGTTCTGGTCGAATATATATAAAATTTAAGGTTATACAATGGGCGTAATTGATTAATTCCAAAATCATTTTATTTTCATATACTGCCAAAAATGTGATGTTTGTGTAAAAATAAAATTTCATTATAAGCTTTATATAATAGTATTATAAACTATTTTTAGGGGAATGCCAAAACCATCACAAAATCAAATTCCTAATTTTAGTAAAGATAAAATTTACACTTATTTTATAAAATTATTATTAATAGTTTATTTATTTTTGATTCATCACTATTTTCAGAATTAATGTCAGGAAATAGATTTGTTCATTCTAATCAAAAAAATTTTCCCATAATCTTTTCATAGACCGATAATAAAATGATAGAATGGTTAAAATGATCTACGTATGATCATATGTTTCGTAGACCACACGTCATAAAATAATTTGAGTGCCGATCATTTCTATGGCAGATAAAATATTTCATAAAAATTAGATAGTTATTATTGTTACATAAGAAATCAAAAGGTCATTCGTCAAAAATAAAGATTGATATATAATCATATATTGTAATAAAATAATGAAATGTTTGGAGGATTTGTCAACGGTCTAAAAAATGCATGATTTAATTAATGATTATGCATTTTTAATAGTCATTTAAATTATTATTTTAAGCTACTCTAAAATCACACTCAATTAATGAAATTTAAATTTATATTGTTAACCATTAATTTTAATTAGGAGGAATGCCAAAACGATCACGTCGATCTTTCCTTTTATAGATAATTTTTAATCTAATCATATTGGTTGTCATTATTATAATTCCGGCCCAGTTTTCATTTTTGATTTGTTTATAAAATTTGTATTCGCTAACTATTACTGTTAAATAAAAATAAAAATAAAAATTATAATTCCGGCCCAGAAAGAGATGCTTGGAACTAATAGAAATTTTATTTCTGCAACCTTGGGTCCTACTATATATAAAAAAATCATAGTTCCTTTCTTTAAAAAATACGCCCTTTTTTCTTTTTTTTATAAAATACACCTTCTCTTTCTTTTTTTTAAAAATATACACTTCCCTTTCTTTAAAAATTACACACATCTTTCCTTCTTTAAAAATACACATTATATTATGTATTTTATTATTTTACTCTTAAAAAATTATTTTTAAGTGAGACTTCCTGACAGTACAGTCTGAAACTTTGGAAGTTTAGCGTTAATGAATTTGAAAATAAATAAAATAATCTTTATTTATTAAGGTAAGCTTGCGCTCCCTGCTTGCATAGTTTTAATGATACTGGTTTACGGATAAAAAAAGCTGAGGAGTAAGATATAAGAGAAACTGGCTTTCCCTTAAGAGGGTTATTATCCTATGTACCTGGCTCTTATGGTTGGTGTCATGATATCAGTGGTTTGCCATAAGATTATACAGTGTATTGTACTAGTTCTAGGGTGAACCACTGGTAGCATGATATTAACACTTTTCTGGAAGCTTTTTTTTATGGAGTATGGTGCAAATCATACTAACGTTTTTTTATCTTGTTTAGATTATCTTAGGTCTTCATATGGAATAAATCAATGACTTTTAATATAAGATAACATACTTTTATGAGAACTGGCAAGAATTCCAAACGCAATAGAAAAATAATAAGGAATATAATGAATATAATTGGATTACGGGTCATTGCGAAATTGGTAAAGTATTATTCTAATTATGAGCCCAAAATATTGTGCTGTAGTCAAACAAAAATCTCAATAAATTGTCTATGATCAAATAAAATTCATTACTATTTTATCAAAACTTTATTTTTCTATTCTTTTTGCTGCGCTCCTTGGTTTTTACTAATAATTTTTTGATAACATTTGTTTCAATTTCTTGTATTACTTTTTTAGAATAAGTGATTTTAATAGCTGCACGAACTGCATGGTAAATCATGATATAGTTGATCAATAACTTTTTTCATTTGTTCCTAAAAAATTTTAAGAATTTTATATTTGCTGTCATAACAACTATTATACTCAAATTAAGCACTCTCGTTAATTTCAAACACATAGCATCTGATCACATTAATATACTGTACAATTTATTTCTACAGTACATCCAAATGGGAGCGTTCTCAGTCAAATGGTCTTAGAGAAGAGTCAGTGCTTAAAAAAAAAGTATTAAAATTCGATATCATTAGAACCATGTTGAGAGATAATAATGATAGTTTAAAAATAGTATATCGTAATTAAAAATATATTTGTTCACCATACATAAAGTATAATAAAATTTGAAATTTTTTTTTTTTTGCACAGCGTAATATTTTTATAGCATAAACCCATTAATTATAAATTTATAAAAATTATTCTTTACTTGAAATAATTTAATAATTTAAGGTTATAAGAAGCTCTTTGTACTTTTTGACTGACTGTTTGTATAAAATACGTTTGGCGTAATTGACAATTAATAATTATGTTATATATCACGTATTTATAAATTAACTATTCCTTTTTTAGACTTCAAAAAAAAAAATTAAATCATTAAAATTTTCTTCTAGACTTTTATAAATATATATATTCTTTTAATAGAGATTTTTCTTAAAATATAAAATATATCTCCAAGAATTATTATGAAAGAATTTAATATTTTATTGTTTATTATCGGTATTTTAAGATCGGTTAATATTGTTGTAGGTTTGTGAAACTTCAACGTAACACAATGCAAGTCCCATTTTGATAAGTTCTAAGAATTCTGTACGGAATGTACAATAAAAATCGAAATGTCATTTGGAAACATACTTTAACCATATTAGGCATTAAAAAAATCAATTTTATTAAACAATGTAGGATCCATTTTGTATCAAACATTAGAAACTTCTATCGGGTATTATACGCAGATTTTTTTTTTTTAATTTTGTAAAAGAATTCATTGTTCAATTTTTTATTATAAAAACGTATATATATAGAAGCTGTTTCTTTTAAATATATTCAAAAATAAACAAATAAATTAATAGAAAAAAAATTATGAACCAATTAACAAATCATAATCATAAAATTGACTTTTTAACATCAAATGATACATCATCATTTCAACCAACGCAAACAATAGTCAAATCAAAGTATAAAAAAGAGAAATGTAATGAATGTAATAAAAGAAGGTCACGATTAGATGAAACTCACCAGATTTGTCACGTTTGTTACAAAATGAAGACATTATTTGAACCGAGTGGAAACAAAATTATCGATGATTTCATTAAATTTACACAAGTCAACTTTGTCAGGAAGGAAGGAAAATTGGAGTTTGTTCCCTATGAACAATTTAAAAATATAGAATTTATTGCTGAGGGAGGATTTAGCAAAATTTATAAAGCAACTTGGGTTGATGGTCCGATTAATTGGGATAATATTGAACGTAAGAGTGATAATATTTCTCGTAAACCTAATTATACAGTAGTTCTCAAAAAAATCAATGATTCTAAAAACATCACGTCTAAGGAACTGAATGAGGTAACGTAAAATAATATGTTAAAATAAATCGTAGATAATTAATAACATAACCTTTTTTTATTTTAGCTTAAGATATATTATGATTTTTACACAAATTGGAATTCACAACATAATAATTATCAGGTTAAGCGTAGAAGTAATAAGATATCTTACCAAGAAACTCCGCTTAATAGTTGCATTTGTAATTATTTTGGTATTACTCAAGACGTAAATACACAAGATTTTATGATTATTATGCAATATTATGAATTAGGTAATTTAATACATTACCTAAGTAATGATTTTTATAACATTAAATGGTCTAATAAATTGCATAATTTAACATGTATCGCAAATGGACTTATTAATATCCATAGTGTAAATATTATTCACAGAGATTTACATAGTGGAAATATTTTTTTTACAAGTAACCCGTCGTATAATGTAGTAATAGGTGATTTGGGGTTAAGTAAATCTGCTACTGAATCTACAGATGATAATAATGTGAAATATGGTATTATTACTTATATGGCACCAGAGATTTTTCAAGGACAAAAATATACTAAAGCTTCTGATATATATAGTTTTGGAATGATCATGTGGGAGTTTATGACAGGTAGAAGACCTTTTTGGGATGAACATCATGATACAAACCTTATAACTAAAATACGTGATGGATTGCGACCACCAATCGTAACAAATGCACCTGAAGGATATATTGAATTAATGAAAGAATGTTGGGATTCTGATCCATGTAAAAGACCGACAACCAATGATATATATAAAAGAATTTGTATATTGGTTAGAAATGAAGAACAAAATAGTAAAAATCAGAATCCAACTAAAATTATAGAATCATCAGATATTGGACCTGTACCAAAATATAATCCAGGTGCCATTTATAAGAGCAGGCCTTTAAGTAGCATGATTAATTCTGCAATGTCTTTAAGGAGTTCAAGAAGTCAATCTATTAACTTAGAAAAAGTCAAACGAAAATTTGAAGATAATAATGATGATGGTATGATTTTATTTACAATTTTATAATAAGATTTTAGGGTGTCAATATTTATTAATTAAAATTTATTTAGGTCAAAGTATTAAAAGAAAAAAATTGTATGAAAATGAAAATAATGGTAATAATTTTTTTTTTTTTTGATAATATATCAATTTCATAACTTGATTTAATTAAAATTAACGTATAATTTTTTCTTACAAAATTCATCGAATTAGATATTGATATGAAATTAAGTACTGATGGTATGTAAATATATACTGATTATAATAATTTTTTTTAATATTAAATTCTAATCTAACGTTCTTAATTTATATTTGCAGAATATATTACCCAGGAATATGATTTTGATATCTAATTTTAATTTTTTAAATGTTTATAGAAAGTTTAATTTTTATTTATCATAAATAATGGAGTAATAGTTGTGCCGCAGCATATTACTAACGTTCGCGTATTGATATTTTCACGACTTCTCAATAATAGATGGCTATTGATTTACTATTAAAATAAAGTTAGATTAAACTTTTTATGTAATTAATGTAAAATCCATTAAATCTACATTTTTGATATAATATTTATAACTGCGGCAAACGTTTTAAGATTAAGAACCAAAAAAATTGATAATATTTTCTACCTTTTGAAATTTAAAAATCCATTATATAAATATTAAAGTTATTAAGTAGTAAATTATAATGTTTTCTATTTACGAATTAGTTTAATTTTCCAATAAAAATTTATACCATAAAACTAAATATACTACAATTTGAACTATATTTACATACGTCAATAATGTAAAGTCAAATTAAATAAACTACAAATGACAAATTTGTAAATCAACCATTAAGCGTTTTCAATATCATTGTTAACGTTTAATATTGTATTGCTTCGTTAAACATTGTGATTCAGCTCAAAATATTTTCAGATGAGTTCATCATAAACACGTGAATCTGTTAATATCAAATTTTAGTCTTTTTTTTTCTACTTTTTTTTTAAAAAAAAACTTTAATAGCTTATCATGTTAATTTTTTAGAAAATAAAAGCAATATTATATTTGAATTCAATAATAATTATTTTTATTTTATATATCGAGATCTGTCAAGTTTAAAATTAAATCTAGAACTATAAGAGGGAATTATCAAAATATAAATAAAGTTTAAACTTTAAACTTTTTTGTGATCAATTTCAGGTAAATCTAAAAGATTTCTGCCTATTTGTCTAATTTATAAACGGTTTAAATTTAAAAAATACTCGATTTTTTTTTTGTTTCGTTGACATTTTGTGTAACCTTTTACCTTAATCAAACAAAACAGCAGGCTTATGATACAAAATTTCCTGTACGATATTCCTTCCTAATAACTTTTTAATGTAACGTAAATATGTAGTCGTGGCAGTGCCGCAGTGACACAAGGAGGTAATTTTTTACGCCTTTGATAAATATTGACCACAAATGGAATTATCCGAATGATTTTCATCACGATAACTCAAAAAAAAAAGTTAATGAATCTAAAAATTGTTAGTCCTGTTTAACATGGCGTTCCAAACAATATTAAACCATTTTTTTTTAAATTCAGTAAGATCTAGATTGAAAACAAGGCAATCTTCAAGTTCTGATACCGAATCTGCTATTATTTCCAATGCATATACTCATTATTCCATTTAAACTGAAAGTCAATTTACCGATTCCAGAGCTCCAAGTATCTTAAGTCAATCTCTCGAAAGCATTTTTGGGTTATTATGAGTGTTTCGGAACATTCTCTATAGCTAGAATCGATCTGTATGGGATAACAATCATAAGTTATAACATCATGGCGGATTTATGAAATACCTCAAAATTTGTCCATCATGTCAAATTAAATATTTGACAGTGCTTTAGTCACCAAATTTCTATGTAAGTCAAAATGAGCTCTAAAAAAATTTAAATTTTTTTGTACCCAAATCTTGCGTCTAACCAATTTTCCAATTATCTAACCAATTTTTCCAGTGTTAAAGGCGCGTCATTATTTTGACATATTTTTTTTAGGAAAAAAGCTTAATGTTTCCGTAAGTCAATTTTAATTCCCGAGGTCGCAGTAGAGTTTTTGCCAAATTTCATACATCCGCCGCAATGATGATATTAAATGAAGGAAAACATTTGGTTTTAACGAAAATTAAAGAATCTCCCTATTTAAATAATACTTCAATTTTGGTAACTTTAAGGTGAAGACAGCTTATGCCGTATAGTGATATATATAGAACATGTACAGTATATATTTAATTATGTATAAGGTCCAAAAAACATTTTTGCAATAGTTAATGTATTTGTAAATTTATTGTACCAAAATAAAAAATAAAAGTCTCCATCACAATAATATCTCAAAAAATAATATCAACCACTATAAACAACCACTATAAACAAATAAAAAAAAAAATCATTTAATCATATCATCATCTTTACTTTTCCCAATTCAAAACCATCATCATCATCACACAAATTACTATAATTTTCAATTATTCCTTTATCTTCATATTCCTTTAATAAATCTTCCATATGTTCTGCTGTTGTCATATCAAAACTTAATAATATAGGACACCTGCCTACCCAATTATCAAAAAATGGTTTTAAAGGTATATAAAATGAATCAAATATAAGGTTGAATTTAAATTTAAATAAACCAATAGGTGATGATTTTGTTAATACATCAAATAAAAAATTCCAATAATAAAGATTATCAATAATAATAAATAATGTATCTAAATATTGACAATTAATTAATATTTTTTCAAATTCAAAAATATCCCAATCTCCTATTCTTAATTTAAGATATTTGAGTTTTGGACAATTTTGATAAATAGCTTGAATGATATCTGTACAATCATAATAGTCACAATAATCAATTTTTATTTCAATAAGAGATCCACAAGTACTTTTAATTAAATCTGCTAATCCTTTCTCTGAAAAAGATTTAACTCTTAAAATTTGTAAATGAGGTAAAGAATAATTCCATAAGAAATCCAATTCTCTATTATCATCAAATTCCAATATTTTTAAATTTACAAAAGATGAAAGAACTTTTGTAGGTGATGTAGTTATCTTATAATAATATATGTTATTTGAATGTTTAATTAATGCATTTTCAATAATTTCATCAAACGATAAATCACGATGATAATTATGATCTATTAAACTAAAGCTAAACAAGTTTTTTTGAGCCTCGATTAATCTACCAATTCCATTATTATATTTATGACCACCAAAACGAATTTCTAATTCTTCAATTGATTTACAATTCTCCACTAATTCAAATAAAATATTATCCTTTATATCAGTACTACAACTAAAATATTTAATTCCTGAACAACAATTTTCAGTAAAATTGATTTGATAATCAAAAAATTTGGGTATATAAAGGTGTGAAAATTTTAGATCTTCATTATTAAAAAGTTTTAACATTTCATTTAAAATTAAAGTAGTTTTAGATCTTTCTTTAAATGAATTAATCATAAATCGGATTATTTCAAAATTTAAATGTTTACAAAAACTAATATAATTGAACAAAGGTTTTTTTTTATATAAGTATATTAATGAATCACTTTGACTTAAATAATTTTTCGTTTCATCAGAAAAATGGGAAATTATTACATTTAATAATAATTTCTTATACTTCTTTTCTAATTTTAAAATTTTCCAGGGATTTTTCCATAAAATTGGAACAATTATTTCACAAAAAGTTTTATCAACTGATAGACATGAAATCAATGTATTTTTGTCATTTCGTAATTCTTCAATTATCAAGTAGAGAACATCTCTGTTTAATATGGTCATCTTTTATTAAAAAAAAATCGTTCTTTTTTTTTTTTTTTTTTTTTTTTTTGTTGGGATTGGGAAGGGCGCAAAATGATTAAATAAATATTTATTGTTTATATACTGTGACATGTCAATTGTCACATGTTACAGATTATGTGGCGCAGTGACACTCCTCAATATTAAGTAAGTTTAATCTGCAGGCGCGGACCGCAAATTTCCGGTCAATGACGATTTACTGCGCCTGCGGCCAGATCTTACCATACTAACGAAAATGAAAAATGAGATTATCACCATGCTAGCCAAAAAAAGTCTTTTCTCTTAAATTTTTATAAGAATCCTTTCAACCATCGGAACAGAACCATTTCGGAAAAGAACGAACCAAGAACGAACCATTTCGGAACAGAACGAGCCATTTCGGAACAAGAACGAACCATTTTGGAACAAGAACGAACCATTTCGGAACAGAACGAGATCGAATTTTGTATGATAGCCAATCAAAAATCTGTCTAGTTCACATGTTTTACCTAATTTTTGACGCTCCTAGTTTAATTAGTCGAGGAGAAGCGTCGCCGTTTCAATTATTCGATTAAATTACTTTTTTATTAGAACACTTTTATATATAAAAAATTGATATATAATTCACTACTTTTATTCTCAAAAATGCCGATATTTACGATATTTAACAAAAAAAAAAAAAAAAAAAAAATCGTTTTCTATACAATGATGACAATAATAAGGCTAATAATTTAAATCATTCCCAAAATGTATTTTATAAAATAAATAAAAAAAATAATAATAATTTATCTTTATAATTATATAATGTTTTTTGATATCCCATGACCCATATTTTCCATTTCCTAAAGAATTTAAATAATGTTCTTAATAATTTTCTAATTCAATATCATCACAATTTTTGATCATCCCCTCTGTTTCATATTTATGTAACCAATATTCTATCTCTTTTGCATTATTAAAATTTAAAAATATAGGACGTTTACCTTTCCAATTATTAAAAAATAATTTTAAGAATTCTAATTTAGGTTTTAATTCATAATCAAATGAATGAAATTTAAATTTAAATAAATCATTTGGTGATAATTTAATTAATATTTTAAATAAATTCTCCCATTCAAAAACAATATCATTAATAACAAAACTTAATACTTTTAAATGTTGACAATTTGTTAATAAATTTTCTAATTCTAAAATATTACAATTTCTAAACATTAATTTAAGATATTTAAGTTTTGGACAATTTTTATAAATAGCTTGAATAATATTTTTGTTACCAATCTCATCATGAATTACACCATCAATTTTTATTTCAATAAGAGACCTATTTGTATTTTTAATTAAATTTGTTAATGGTTTGATTGAAATAAAACTGGTTCTTAAAATTTGTAAGAAGGGTAAAGATAAATTCTCTAAACAATTCCATTCGCCAAAGTATCTATCTTCTAATTCTAATACTTTTAAATTTATAAATGATGGAATTTTCGTGGGTCGTCTATTTATCTTAAAATTTTGTAAGGTGTTTGTATGTGTAGCCAATGAATTTTCAATAATTTTATCAAATGGTGATTTATTTATGTAATAACTTTCTAATAAACTAAGACTAATTAATTTTTCCCGAGTTTTGATTAATTTAATAATCCCATAATTATCAACATCTATAGAAAGTTCCAATTCTTTAATTGATTTACATATATCAATTAATCCAATTAAAATGTTATCATTCATACTAGTATTACAACTAAGAAATTCGATTTCTGAAAGATGACGTCTCGCTCCAGGAATATGATATATTTGATAATCAAAATTTTTAGGTATATAGAGATGTGTAAATTTTCTATTCTCATTAAAAAAAAGTTTCAATATTTCATTCATAATAATTAAAATTTTTGATTTTTCATAAACTTCGTTTAAAGAATATATAATATAAATTATTTCTTTAATTTCCCCTAAATTTAAATGTCTACAAAAACTAATATAATCAAATAAAGGTTTTTGATAAGAATTTTTAAATATATTAATCTCTTGATTCTTTAAATTATTTTTTGTTTCATTTGATAAATGTGAAATAATTATTTTTGATAATGATTTTCTTTTTACTTTGGTCATGAATTTCCAAGGATTTTTCCATAAAATTGGAACAATTATTTCACAATAAATTTTATTAACTAATAAGAATGAATATAATGTCTTTCTATCATCTTGTAATTCTTCAATTATTAAGCGAAGAACATCTCTGTTTAATTTGGACATCTTTTTTCTTTATTAAAAAAAATATTTTTGGTTGAAAAGGCGTAAAATTGTTCAAATAAATACTGGTGTCAATTATTGTGGCGTTGTTACACTTGTTACACAGATTCCCTTGATTTAGCAATATTTGGTTCATCGATTTTGATTATGATTGATTATGATGGTTTGTTGATCTCAATTTTGCTGCGTCTACGTCCCTTTTTTTTGCGGCTAATTACGATACATATTTCTATATTAGTAAGCGGTGATTTTAATTATTTTAATTTAATTAATCCAAATTCATTGTTTAAATATGTAAATCGATGTCATATTCCATTTTTAGTCATTGATTCATTTTAATATTATATCCATTTAAAATAAATATGAATTATAAACCGAATTGTTAATAATAACCGATTCTAGACTTTATTTGGTTAGTACAAAAAAATCTGTGTAAATGGAAATATCTATTAGAACCTTCGCCTCGGTTTTAGACCTAAGGAGTTTGGTCGCATGATCTAATATTTATTTACATAATAATGACATTTGCTCTATTTTTGATTAATAAGAGGTGTGGCTTTTTCATACACTTTTTTTTTTCCGGAAAGTTCTGACATATTCTTCTATACCCAATTTTTTAATGATTTATGCAGACAGGTTATCTGCGGTAGAATTTTATTATTACATGTAAATACGTTATTACGACTTCATTATTCGATTATAGAATATTTGTTTCGTTCCAAGCCACCTATTCCGTTCCAAGCCATTTATTTTTTAGAGTTTTCCGTTTACATTTTCCGTTCCTATTATTTCGTTTTCCGTTACGTTACAGATTAATTCATATACCTTTTCCGTTCCTATTATTTCAGAGTTAGTTTTTCGCTCTAGTTGCTTGAAGAAACTTGATATAAATGTTATGGTTTCTGTAAAGAACCAACTTTCTCTTTCTTATAAACTCTGACTTCCTATATCTATAAAGTTTTTTTGAAAGAATATCACCAGCTTCAAGAAAAAATTTGTTTATAATAGTACCATGATCGTAGTAATAATTCCTTATACTTTTAATTAATATTATCACTCTCTAACGTTATTATCATAAAAATTGTCAAAAGATTGACAGCAAAAGGTAATTCCGGTGCTATTACTTGTGTGATCGAGATTTTTTTTTTTTAATAAGACGTAGTTATATTGAACAAATTTTCGTATGGTATATAAAATAACTATTTTCTGATTGTTAAAAACAAATTTAGTAATACTTCTTATATCTCAAAAATTCAATCAAGTGAAACTCCTATAGCAGTACCCATATGGGGCGCTATCAGATTGTCTACTTTCGCAAGCCATACATGCGAGGTTTTAGAGTTTGGAATCGATTAAGGTTAATCGATTAATTAATCGACTAAGACGGTTAATCGAATAAGGTATCTCAAAAATCGGTTAATCGATTAAAATTATCAACCCATAATTCTGGTCAAATTATCTAATGCGGCCCAGAGCTGTGAATTTTTGGTCACGTGTTCTCCGAACTTGGAAGAATTTGTATTAATTTTTTAATAATAATAATAAATAAGACTTTCCTATAACTAAATGTATGATCAAAAACAATTTGGTGCAATCTGCGGTCAAAAAAAAAAAAAATTTTTAATATTTTAATATTAATCGATTTATTAATCGATTAGGGCCCTTGGTTAATCGATTATTAATCGGTTAAGGTTTTTTTGGTCGGTTCCAACCTCTACGAGGTTCTTGCTTTTAATTCGGCAAATTCAAAATAAAAAAATTCACTAATCATAGAATAATTATAACCTCTTGCAAATTATGGCTCTGTAAAAAAAAAATAATAATTTCATGTGATTGGCAAAAATAACTGATTTTTTTTTAAAATAAAGACAGTGACGGAACGTTACAAATCTAGGCGCCGATCCCTTTACGAAAGCTACACAACCACCCAATCCCCGAAGGAATCGTCGTACATGTACAAATCAACTATTTAGTGTATGGCATGATCAACATAAAATCAAGGTTTGTACAACACGCGACATGACATAATATATGTAATTATTTTACGCCTTAACCAAAAAAAAAATATTTTCTTCCCCGTAAAAAAAATGTCCGAATTAAATAGAGATGTTCTTTACTTGATAATTAAAGAATTACAAAATGATAAAAAAGCATTGGTTTCATGTCTATTAGTTAATAAAGTGTTTTGTGAAACAACCGTTCCAATTTTATGGGAAAATCCTTGGAAATTCCTAACGTTATTAAAGAAGTATAAAAAAATGTTATTAAAAGTAATCATTTCTCATTTATCAGATGAATCAAGAAATAATTTAAATAAACAAAATTTATTAATAAATTCATATCAAAGACCTTTATTCAACTATATTGGTTTTTGTAAACATTTAAATTTTGATATAATCCAGAAAGTTATAAACACCATTAAAAAAAAGTCTGAAATTCCTTTAATTAAAAATGAAATATTCAAACTTTTTATTAATGAAAATATGAAATTTACACACCTTTATATACCCAAACATTTTGATTATCAAATAAATTTTGTAGTTGCCAAACAATGCTTATCAGAAATTAAATTTTTTAATTGTAGCACAAATATAGATGATAATGTTTTGATGGGATTAATAGAAATTTGCAAATCAATCAAGGAATTGGAACTTTGTTTTTTAGTTCATGAATATCATAATAATGGAATTGGTAGATTGATTGAAACTCAAAAAAACTTGTTTAGTGTTAGTTTAATAGATTATTATTACCCTACTCTATCATTTGATGAAACTATTCAAAATGCATTGATCAAACATTCAAGTACTATTCATTATTTAAATATAACCCAGCCACCCATAAAACTTCTTTCATCTTTTGTAAATTTAAAAGTACTTGAATTAAATGATAAAAGACAGGTGGATTTTTCATGGAATTATTCTTTACCTCACTTACAAATTTTACGAGTTAAATTTTTTTCAGAGAAAGCGTTAATAGATTTAATTAAAAGTACAAACGGGTCACTTATTGAAATAAAATTTGATTATTGTAACAATTGGTTTAGAAGTTTAGAAGTCATTCAAGCTATACATCAGAGCTGTCCATATCTTAAATATCTTAAATTAGTAATCACAGATGGTAATATTCTAGAGTTTGAAAAAATTGAAAAAATATTAATTAATTGTTCATATTTAAGTGTATTATATATTGTTGCTGAGTTAATTTATGGTTGGGATGTTTTATTAGAGATATTAACAAAATCATCTTCAGCTAATTTATTTAAATTTAAATTTCGAATTATATTCTCTGGTCCATCAGATCCTACACCTTTAAAGTTATTTTTTGATAATTGGAAAGGCAAGCGTCCTATATTATTAAGCTTTGATAAGAAAGTATCAGTTCGTATGGAAGATTTATTAAAGGAATATGAGGCAAAAGGAATTATTAAAAATTATAATAATAATTTGTGTGATGATAATGATGGTTTTGATTTGTGTTTTTAGAATGAAGCAAATATAGTTCATTTTATTTAAATTTTTTTTATATTTTAAAAAATAATTCTAAATTTTGATATTGTTACTTCAAATTATGTGATAGAATCTAAAAATAAATAATAAATGATTTGAATTTTTTATCATAAAAATGTTGGTTATCATTTTGAATTATTTACAATATTCATGATATATTCGTGTTAAATATTAGCGACTTGTTTTATAAATTCATGAAATATCTGTAATATGAAATGATGTTATAATTTATTTATTAGCAAATATATGAATAGTAGTATTATAAATTTATAATTTAAATTTTAAAAATTGAAAATACATCGTTATTTTATTAACTAGCACGTTATGATTGGCCAAAGATTCTTCATAAAGTTTGCGAAAATTTGTACAAGTTTTTTATTTATAATTTATCTTAGTATAATTCTGGATCAATTTCTTTAGTTGATATTCAGAACCTGTGAGGAACTAACTTTTTGAAAGTTATAATCATTCACTAATGAATTGAAATCACAGATAGTCAATCACGAAATAATTTTTACGAAATAATGTTAATAAGGACGTAATTATTATTTATTGTGTAAGAAATTGCTATACCACTGCTATATCGTTAACAGATCATATTATTTATATGCATGAAAATGATAATCGCGACGTAAAATAAACATTAATCGATATTGCTTTAATATTGTTTTTTTTAAAAAAAAAATAAAAGGAAAATATTATATTATTCACAAATAATAAATATGAAAATTTATAAAATCTGAAATAATTAAAGTTAAGTGATAATAGTTGACGATAAAAAAATCGGGAATCGAATATTGTGTAATGACCGTATTTATACAAACGTTGAATGTACTGATATATTATTAATTATCATTATATACAGTTACCATTTTCGGATTGTAAAAAAATTTAGACGTACTTCGATAAAAAAAAAAAAAAAATTTCTTTTTTCGGTCTACTACATCAGATTCTGCTTCTCCTATAAATATTGTTTGTTAATCTGCTTGTTGTAGATTATCATAAACACAATTGAACACAAATATACTAACCTTGTAGAGATTCAGGTTTTTATTTTGTTAATATACAGTAAATATAGTAATTCATCCTATTTATTTTTGGTTTAATTTATTAAAAAACTTTATTTATAAAATTCTAAAATAAATATATTCCAATAAAATACATATCGATATACTGTAAAAATGGTAAAGAAAATAAATAGTAAAATAATAGACACAAATAAATTTGTATTCTGAATATTTGTAAATTTTCTTTCTTAGTTGCCTTTATCTATAAGAACGAATTAAAGTAAATTATTAATAAAATTAACCATGCAGAAAACAAGTTAGTACCTAATTGAGTTTAGTGAAATCTATTGCTTCTATGGGTTCTAGAAAACAAAAAAAATAATTGTAAATTGTAAGTATTTCAAGAATACTCTTTTTAATATAAACTAAGACATTAATTACCCGAATATTCTCTAATTGAATTATCGTCATCTTTATTATCAATAGAATTTTTTGGTTCTGGTAGATTTTTAAAGTTTAAAAGCCTACTTGTGTAAACTGCTTGAGGATTTGTAGTATATGAGAGAGTAGTACCATTATATGATAATGAAGTAGAAGTAAGCTTTTCATTAATTCTTTCTGCTTCTTCAAATTGCTTTTTGACTTCACTATTATCAATACGATCATAATAAAATTCATCATATAAAGTTTCTAATTCACGATGTAAATCAAGTAATAAATCATATAATTCTTTTGATTTAGGTCGTTTTAAAGGATCAGCGTCCAAACATTGTTTAATTATATCCAAAATTAATTGAGGAATTTTATAATTAGATTTTGGCCTAAGCCCTTGACAAATGCTAATAGCTAAGATTTTATCATGAGCAATATCAGAGGAAGCCCTGTACAAACTTCATATGCAATAATTCCAAATCCATAAATATCACTTTCTTGAGTATATTCTTTTCCTCTTAAAACCTCGGGCGCTACATAAGGTAATACTCCATATACTTGTTTTCATATTCATTTTGAGAAGTTTTTACATTTGCTGGTTGACAATCAGTAATAATAGTAAAATCACCATCTTTTAACATATTACCACTATGAAAATCACGATGAATTAATCCTTCTTTATGAATAGAATTGAGGCCATTTGCAATCCTATGTAAAATATTCAACTTATCTCCCCACTTTATTGAATAAAATATCATATTATTTAAATATTGTCTTAAACTACCATCTTTTGCATATTCCATTACCATCATGAAATTATTAGATTCTGGATCTTTAGTAATGCCAAAACATCGAGTTACACAAAGTGAAATAACCTTAGTATGTGTTTCAATCTAAAAAAAAAAAATTCATAATAATAATAAATAATACATTGGTAGTTTGAAAGTATAAGTAGCCTTCTTCTCTTAAAAATTCGGATGTAATATCCTGAGAATTATGTAAACATTTTAAAACGATCGTAGAATTTTTATGATCTAGTATCTTTAGCTTCGAGCTGTGCTTTTTGAATAAACTTATCAACTTCATTATTTCCACTAGTCCAATTTTTGAAATTTTGTTGAAAATGCTTAGCATTACATGACTTACATCCAATATCACCAGTATTAGGCTGTCTACATTCTTTGCATAAAGCCATTCGTTATATAACGTTTTTTTAATTCTTTATTTATTATTAGTTTATCAATTAACAATTTTTGTTTATCTGTTAATTTCCAATATAAAATCTTTTATTTGCCCAATTACATAATCACTGAACTTAAATTCTTCCATATTAGATTACTGGTCAATTTTATGTAGAAGAGGAATAGTTTTCTTTTTTAAAAAAAATTTACGCCCTTATATGTTGCACTGCAGTGATCGACAAATTTTAAATCAGCTGATGATCACAAAATAAAAATTTCTCGTATGTGGTCTGTGCAACAACAAATTGCATGCATTTAAGCTATCATTTTACGCCTTTTTGGCAGGAAAAAAAAAAAAAAAAAAGTTTTCTAAAAATTCCTTTTTAAAAAAAAAAGAAAAATGTCTAAATTAAATAGAGATGTTCTTTATTTAATATTAAAAGAATTGGAACATAATAATAATGCACTTCATTCATGTGTTTTAGTTAACAAAACTTGGTGTGAAATAATTATTCCAATTTTATGGAAAAATCCTTGGAAATATTTGATTGAAGGAAAGGAAACTTTACTATTTAACGTAATTATTTCATATTTATCGGATGAAACAAAAAATAATTTAAAGAATCAAGGGATGGATTATTTAAAAAATTCATATCAAAAACCTTTATTTGATTATATTAGATTTTGTAGATATTTACATTTAGACGAAATTGTTAAATTAATTACTACGAATGAAATTATAACTAATATTAAAAATGAAATTTTTAATATTTTCATTAATGAAAATAGGAAATATACACATCTTTATATACCTTATAAATTTAATTATAAAATACATCTTATTCCTGGAGCTAAAAATTGTCTTTCAGAAATTGAATTTCTAAGTTTTAATGCTGGCATAGATGATGATGATATTATAATTGGATTAACGGAAATAATCAAATCTATTAAAGGATTGGAACTTATTATTGAAGAAAATAATAATTGTGAAATTGTTAGATTAATCGAAGCCCCTAAAAAATTAATTAAAGTTCATCTCATAAATAATTGTATACAAAAAGGTCAAAATTTTTGTAATATTTACTTAAATTCATTAACAACACACGCAAATACAGTACAATATTTTAAGGTATTTGATCAAACAACAAAAATTCTTTCATCTTTTGTAAATTTAAAAGTATTAGAATTGGGTAGTGAATATGAAAGTGATTGGGGTTGCTTAGAGAATTTGTCTTTACCTTTCTTACAAGTTTTAAGAACTATGTTTATTCCGATTCAATCATTAGCGAATTTAATTGAAAATACGAGTAAATCTCTTATCGAAATAAATATAGATAATATATTTCATTATAGATATGATAATAGAAGAATTATTCAAGCTATTAGTGAGAGTTGTCCAAATCTTAAATTTCTTAAAATAGTATTTAGAAATTTTAGTAGTTCAGAATTAGAAAAGTTATTAATTAATTGTCAATATTTAAGCGTATTATATATTATTACTTGTGAAATTTCTTTTGATTGGAATAATTTATTTAGAATATTGACCAGATCATCACCAATTAGTTTGTTTAAATTTAGATTCAGAATTTTCTCTAAGGTACCCGTACCTAAATCAGAATCTTTAAAACTATTTTTTAATGAATGGAAAGGTAAACGTCCTATATTATTAAACTTCAATAATGTGAAAAATATAGAAGCCATGTTAAATAAGTATGAAGCAGAAGGAATAGTTAAACATTTTAATAATTTACGCGGAGATTTTGAATGGGAAAGTCCGTAAAACATACATAAATATTTTTGGTCGGATAATTTGATCGCTATCGTTTGTACTGTAAATATTATTTTTTAAATAAATAAATAAATATTATTTGGATATTTTCTTTTTCAAATTTTGAGCTAATTCGTTCAAATATTATGTAAATTAGAACGAGAGTTTGAAAGTAGTCTATAAGGAATTTCTTTTCTTTTTTTTACGAAATAATTAAGTGGCTTGTACAATTGAACAATAAACTGAAATTTGCTTATATTTTGAAGTGAGGAAAATTGATCGATTTGAAGAAATTGTATTGCGTTATGGCGTTATATAATTACCATCTTAATTACTAGCTTGCCAATTCGTTAACATTAAAAAACTTCGTTGTTCCACAATTTACAGAATGACCTTTCAATGAAAAAATAATTGCGAAGATATTTATTTTATATCAAACATTATCAAGATAAAGTAAAAGCTCTTCATGGAGTTACATTATTAAACGTAATTATTTTACATTTTATCAGATAAATCTAATAAAACTAATATGGTTAAATAAATGTAATAGACGTGTTCGTGGACGTTTTCGTATTGGAATAAGTAATCATACACGACCAACGAGCGCGCATCTCGCGGCAATAAATAATAACAAGGATTAAGGAATTATTGCATCAAGAATTTATTTTCTAGTCATTAAATCTATGTACTTATTATATGCACTGATGAGTAGTAGATCAGATGATCTTTTTTCATGATTCTCGCGTAAAAAAATTTACGAACATATTGTACATATTGTGTTATTATTTTTATTATTATATATGTTTTTATATTTATTATTTATTTTAAATTTTGGCAGTCATCATTTTTATTCACCGTATTTTATTTACTAAATATAAATAAATCTATTTTAAAAAAGGAATTTTATGTATCAATTTATTAAATCCAATAAAATGCCCATTCGGAGATTGGAGTTTCGGGAAATGATCCAGTTCGGGAAACGGACAATCGGAAAAATTGACCTCAGGAAATGAAAAATGGCATTTGTGTAACTCATCTAATGATAGTCGTAATTGTCATAGTGTCTAACAAATTTATTACGCAATTTACCGCTTGATCAGGCTCATGATCGATTCATGTGATCTATACATTAAACGTGATCTAGTTTTAGCCAACTAGTTTTACTCGATCAAATCATCGAGCATGCATTTTTTGGTCGATTAAACTAGTTGCACATTGTATAATATAATAAAATTTTGAAATATCTCCTTTGATAATTGATGTTTGTTTACCAAAGTTTGAGATCATACTGTAATGAATATTATTTTATTTAGTCAATTTCACGTAATAAGTATTTTTGTTTTTTGAGAAATTTACGCATATCTATTTTAACTAATATCAAAGATTTTATAAAATTAACGGTATATTATCTTTTTACAATAAAAAAAAACCAAATGATATAATTAACCTACCATTTGATCGCTGATCTAATAAACCCCAATTATGTATGATGATCATACAAGAAATTGAGTTTTTGGTTAGTATTTGTATCCATAAATAACTTAAACCTTTCCTTATTCTTATCATTGCAATATTTTATTATGTGGCGTGCATGATTATTATTTTCATATTATAAATAGTAAAGTCTTGATTAAAATTCCCGTAAAGCATTATGCATCATATGAAACATAAAAATGGCGTAAATCACCAGATCAGGATCCTTGTACAACATGTAACAATCAAATACTATACTAGTTTGAACAATTATTTTTTTTGCGCCCTTTCAACAAAAAAAAATTTTTTTCTTTAATAAAGAAAAAAATGTCAAAATTAAATAGAGATATTCTTTACTTGATATTTGAAGAATTACGTAATGATAATAATACTCTTTATACATGTATTTCAATTAATAAGACTTGTTGCGAAATAATTATTCCACTTTTATGGAATAATCCTTGGAAATTCTTAAGAGATGATTGGGAACGTCGAAAGAAGAAATTATTGAACGTAATTATTTCACATTTATCAGATAAATCAAAGAATAATCTAAGTCAACATTTGGATCTTTCGACAAATTCATATAAAAAACCTTTATTTGATTATATTAGTTTTTGTAGACATTTAAATTTAAATGAAATCCTGAAAGTAATTAATACAATTAACGATAAAGATAATATTTCTATTATTAAAAGTGAAATATTCGAACTTTTTATTAACGGAAACACGAAATATACGCACCTTTCTATACCTAAACAATTTGATTATCCAATACATCATATTTCTGGGGCTGAACGATGTTTTTCAGGAATTGAATGCTTTTATTGTGGTACTAGCATAAATAATGATATTTTAGTTGGATTAATAGAAATATGTAAATTAATTAAAAAATTGAATCTTAATATCGAAACAAATAATAATAATTATAAAATTATTGAATTGATTAAGGCACAAAAAAAAATTTCAAGTATTAGTCTTTTAACCGAATTATACTCCAAAAATTTTGATGAGTCTTTTTGTCAAGTTCTTGAAAATTCGTTAATTAAACATGTAAATACCATAAAATATTTTAAGATAACTAAAAGACTTACCACAAAAATTCTCTCATCTTTTGTAAATTTAAAAGGTTTAGAATTAGATGGCAGTTCACATGATATGGAATGGAATTATTTAAGTAATTTATCTTTACCTTTCTTACAAATTTTGAAAGCTAGGCGAGTTCCAATTAATATTTTAACATATTTAATTGAAAATACAAATGGATTTCTTTTCGAAATAAAAATTGATTATATACGCCACGATGAAGTTGAAAATAAAAAGATCATTCAGGTCATTTATCAAAATTGTCCAAATCTTAGATTTTTAAAATTATTATTTAGAAATTGTAATATTTCAGAATTAGAAAATTTATTAGTTTATTGTAAATATTTAGATGGATTGTATCTTATCATTAATAATGTAGATGATGCGTTTGATTGGGATAATTTATTCAAAACATTGGCAAAATCATCACCAAAAAATTTATTCAAGTTTAAATTTGGTTTTCATTCACTTTATAGAAATATTAAATTAGAATCTTTGGAATTATTTTTTAATAATTGGAAAGGTAGACATCCTATGATATTACAATTCAGTCAAGCGAATAATATGAAACCATTTACTGATTTGATAGAAAAATATAAAGCCGAAGGTGTAATTAAAACATATTATAATAATTGGCACTTTGAGTGGTTTTAATTAATCCAACAATATTTTTCGTGATAATTATTATTTTTTTTTTTTGTAATAATTTCTTTTTTTGTTTATACTTTTATATACAAAAACTTTTTTCTAATAAAATGAATTTTTAACTTGTTCTATAACATATGAATGTATGAAATATTCTCTTCAATAAAATTTCTGGGATAACTTTTTAATGCTGAGGTTAAAATAGGACCCTGAAATATATATAAAAAAGTCATAAGCAGCCAAAAAAATTTTACCATTATCTGTACGCGTTTTTTCAGAGCCGGAATTATGTTAATTTCGGTCAGTATCCAAAAAGGTAATAGCTGTCCACTGGGAATTATCTATAAAAGGAAGAATTTTCATGATTTTTATTTTTTTTTGCCGCAAGCTCGAACATGACCTTTTTACGCATATTTCGAGGTCCTGGTTAAATACATTTAATCTTTTCTTTTTAGCCCCTGACTTGGAAAACGCTGCTTATTAAATCCTTTTGGTGAAATTATTATTATTATTTTTTTGTTTAATTCTCTTTGCCTTATCCTATTCTAGAAAAGCGAATGGTTTAATTTTAGGTCAATGTTTTCCGTTTTATCACAACGAAGTGTGATTTGATTTGTATTCATAGAATTTATAATGAAATGAATAAAATTCGTAAAATTAATCCACCTGTTAACGGTTAGAAGTAGATCATGGGCAGTGATGTTTCTCGAATCTCGACCAACAATCCGAAGGCGTGGAATATTAATTAAATCAAGATAAATGATTTCCGAGTTTCTAATAGATAATATACTTTCCGGATAAATTTCTTGTTTATACATTTTAAAGTTACACTCCGGTATGGCTAAGGTAAAAGTGATGATCATATTAATATTTTACTAATAATGGAATGAAAATTTTAATCGTTACGTATAAATAGAGGTATTTGAGCACAGTTAACAAGCTTTAAAATTAACCTTAAAATTGTAATTTGGTTAGAAAATCATATCCTTTGATACAATTATTTTTTAAATAAAATCTTTATAATATATTAGAGCTCTTTAGGTACAGTTATTGAGTTTAAAATATATTAATAATTTTTATTATTTTTTATAAGTTATAATAATACATATTTATAAATATAGTGAATGGAAATTATTAAATTTTTGTTGTAATCTAGTATTTAACTCTGCTAATATCTCATTATCCACTTTTGATTGCATTTGAATTAAAAGATCAAATTTCCATGTTTTGCTAAGATGTAGCATAACTCATTACAACATAAGCTCATCTAATGATATAGTTGCATGAAATAATGTAAGACCTTGTGTTTTATGTACAGTTACATTTTGAAGTTGAAATTGCATTCATTGTGCAGAAGCTCCATTTTAGTTCAAAATAAGCTGATTTATTCCAGAATCTCAACTTCATTTTTTTTGATTTCTTTTTATTTTAGTTTTGACATTGTCTAGGTTAAAAAAAAAAAGAAATCAGTAATATTTTTCATGATTTATTTGTAACTTTATATAATTTAATATGATTTAATAAAAATAAAAAAAGCTGATTAGTTAATAATTAAGCTTATGCATAATCATAAACTATACATCATAAACTATAAATTTGTTGTAATCTATTTAGCTCTGTTAACATTTCATTATTTACTTTGCATTTGGATTAAAAGATCAAATTTTCCAAGCATGACTCATTTCTATATAAGCTTGTCCATTGGAAAACATTTGTTCATCTAATGATACAGTTGCATGGGGTAATGTAAGACCTTGTGTTTTATGTACAGTTAATGCAAATGTATTTTGAAGTAGAAATTGCATTCATTGTGCAGGAGCTCCATTTAGTTCAAAATGAGCAGTCATTTTTTTTTTATTATTACTTGATTTATTCCAGAATCTCAACTTTTTTTTGCTATTCAACCTTGTATAGTTGTGAAAAGAATGTATAGTTGAGCGGTTAGTTGTGAAAAAATGTATAGGTTTCTTTTTTTTGTATTTTTTTGTTTTTTTTTGTTTTTGATTAAATCATATTAAATTATAGAAAGCTTATGAATCAATGCATACATGGTAATGACATAAATTTGATAAGAAGAAATTAAATAAAGTGCATATTATTATTACTTTATCATAATTTGTATTTCTTTAAGAATTTAGGTAATTTAGATGAAATTTTCTGAATTACATCTTCATCAATTTTAACCTTGTATCTTCTGCCACCCATAATCATAAACTATTCTATACATCATAAACTATATATTTGTTATAATTTATTTAACTCTGCTAACATTTAATTATCCACTTTGATGCATTTGGATTAAAAGATCAAATTTCTATGTTTTGCCAAGATGTATCATGACTCATTGCTACATAGTCTTGATCATTGTCAAACAATTTGTTCATCTAATAATATAGTTGCACGAGGTAATATATGACCTTGTGTTTTATGTGCAGTTAATGCAAATGAATTGGAAATTGCATTCATTGTGTAGGAGCTCCATTTAAGCTGTCATTTTTTTTTACTATTACTTGATTTCTCAACTTTTTTTGGGTTTCTTTGTTTTGTTTTTTTTGTTTCAAGTTAAAAAAAAGAAACTACTAATATTTTTTGCAATTTGTAACTTAATTAATTCATTTAACTAACCAGTTTTTTTTGTTTTTTTAATAATTCATTAATCATATATCATATATAAGCTATACAACATATATTAATTTAGTTATTATGCCAACTAATCTATTACAAAGTTTTTCATTAAATAATTTGTTATTTAAAAACATTACTCTTGCACCTTCTCTTATTGTTAATTCAGATGACAAATTAGTATGATGTTTATTAAATTGCTTATCATACTCCCTTGGTTCACATTCTACATTATTAAGATAGTCAACTACTGATATATTAGGGATCCAGAAGAAAACTTTTTAAAAATTGGGAGAAATGCACAAATCAAATTGTTAATTGAATCTGCTTCATGATAAAATCCACAAATATAAGTAGTATTGCTTCAACAACTCTTCTTACTCTTACTGTTTTAAATTTTATTTATTATGCACCAATAAGTATAATTTCAGGTTCCATTATTGTAAAAAGGTAATTAGCTCATCTGTGCTATATTTCTTAACAATTTTGGAAGACAACTGAGCCATAACAATAGGGGTTGTTAATGTTTTATTGTACATGATTAACTAGCAGAACCTCCTCATTTTCCAATAAAATTCTTGTGAGATTTTTGTAACTATGTTTTAGTGCAGTCCATTTTGTCCTGCACTGTTGGAGTGTTGCCATACAGAAGAGAGAACAATGCTGTTAAAAATATTATCTTTGCTTTCAGATTTCAACTTCTCATTAATAGTTTTTAATTCTTTATACTCTATATTTGTTGACTGGTTGAAATGTATTGTTCATAACTTTGAGCATAAAGAGCAACAAAAAATATAAAATAACTGAGAAAAAGTAAAGAAAAGTGTATTTGCAAAATAATAAGTGTTGAAAATATGTTTATAAAGTATAATAAACTCTTTTTGTATTTTAGGATATGGATTATAAGGAACAATCCATTTAATTTTCTTTTTCTGATTGTCCTTCCATTATTTTTCTTCTATATAATGGATATCCAAATTTATTTGTTGTTATTATTTCAACAAATTCTTGATGGTAATATTCACTACATTTTTTAATTATCATACAAGGGGTTTGGATTTAGATTACCACAAGGTCTATGAATTATATTTCTACTAGTAATATTTCCAAATAATAATAGTTGATGATTTTTATCTGGTATTTCTGCACATACCAATTTATCAAAAACTTCTGATATTTTTGGCTTATCTTCAGGTAATAATATCATTAAAATATGTGCATGTGGTAATACTCTTTTTTGGAATTCAATCACACATACATTATACCCTTTACAAAGAGATCATTAGTAATTTGATTTTAACTTTAATTTAGAACTCTTATAATTAAATCTGGATGGTCACTTGCTTTTTGATTTGGTAAAAGTTCATTTGTAATTTTAGGCCAATTTGGATTACATGTAATAGTAATAAATAAATCAGGCTTTTCATATTCTCTAACAATTGCCATAGAATCTTGATATAATTGTTGCATATATCTTTTAGATTTAGCAAAGTATGATGGTAAAATGATTTTTTTCTATCAATTTTGCCAACATTGTTGTTTTCATTTGAAATAATATCTTATAATCTTAAATATATCTTATACATGAAATTTTGCTGATTTGATTCCCATTTAGCATATTGGTCAACCAAATACTGTTGAAATAATCTTTCTGAAAGATGTAAAATACTTGTTGTTTTATTTGAATCTCTAATCTGAATTCTATATACTACAAACTCTTTAAGTGTAACTTTTTTTAATTGATACAATTTCAGGTTCATTGTCAGATTCAATTTCATTACTTTCGGAACTTGGTTCATCTAATCCAATTAGTAAATTTTTAAAATTCAGAGTTACTCCAGCATGTTGAGCCATTTCTTTATCTTCCTTATCAATATCCATTGAAATTATAGATTCAGTTTCAGATATTTCAGATTCAGGTTCATGTCCTAATATTTCAGGTTCAGGTCATGTTCATTTTCTCTAAAAATATTATCATGCCATCCATATTCACCATATGAAATTAGTAAAAGGATATTGTAAAGGATCATAAGCATCATGTAATTCAGAAATATGTTGTAATTGTCCTTCATGAGTTTTATAATAATATCTCTTACTTCTGGTGCATAATCAAAATGAAGCATAACTATTGCAACTTCTGATGCAGTTGGTTGATAGTATCAGTCTTATATCCTTACCATATGTATTATAAATAATAGAAATGAATATTTTTGTTATATTAATAATAAATAACTAACAACATTAAAAGAATAAAGTTTGGAAAATTTTGGAAGAGTTTTTATAAGTAAATTTTAGCATATAATTATCTAGCATCAATTTTTTAATTATATCATTAATGTTGAATTAGTAAGAAATAGTGGAAAGAGTTTTTTTCATTCAGGTGTATG